GATAAAAGATGAGCTGACCAAGAGTGTGACCTCAAGACACCTTAGCTCAATATTTGTCGAACATCTTCTGTAGCAATACACCATGAATATCGTATTTCACCGGATACTTGCTGTATCTCGCGATCTTTCTGGGAAATCAGTTGAATAATTAATACTAAGCATGAGTGTGAAGTGTCTCCGAGAAAAATGGTAGTTGCCTATTTTGCATACGAACGAAAATTAAAGCAAAGTCCCCTGTTTACAAATACTCAAACACATTTGTTTCGTTGCCGTATTTTAAGTCCGTATGAGTCTATGTAATGATATTCTTGTTTAACTCACGCGTGCTTACTCGGTCAGCGGTTCAACAAAGCAAATAACTATTTACCGTGAGGTGTCATTTCCGCTTTTCCTAGAATTAGATTTTAGTGACGTATGTCTTTAAAAATTTACGGAGAGGGGAAAATATGCAACTGTAAGAATCTTTTGTCATACTCTAGTGGCATTTCGTCGTGAATCGTCAAGGAATGCGGTTGTTCAGGATCCATTTTGCAGTGCTAATTCAGAGTGTCTTTCCTTTTATTTACAGCGATTGGTCAAGGTATTATCAACGAGTTCTAGGTAAGTTCAGATTAACGGAGAAGGTTGACGTTTCGCAAGAAAATATTCTGAAAGCATATCAACCTTAGACGCTTTGGTTTGATATCGCAGTGGTCTGTTATTACCCTTCCACTACGTAAAAAATATATTTCGAGGCAAAAATCGACTTGTAGAATATGAAATTGACCGCGACCACTAGATTGTGACCTTTAACGACGTGGCATAACCAGCTTCGTAAAAGAGATAGGACGTTTTGAAATTTCTCTCCTTCGAAGCCTTTCATGGCAATAGATTTTAAATAAACATTGATAAAAATAAGTCACAACGTCAGTCATTTTCATCTTGCTTTTTAGAGAGCATGAGAATATGTGTGTTCACCTTCATGCTTTTAAAATATGCCTTTGCTTGTGCGAGTGCAATAACATTGAGATCAGTGACCAAAATTTGAGGTCAGCATCATTCTCTCCTCAAAGAACAAATATGGTATCATTTTTTAGCTAACCATTCTTTCAATAATTAGAGTGAAAACTAAGTAGGAAAAACTTAATTAATCAAAACAGAATTAAAACAGGTAAAAAGCGTCTCTATTACCATAATCCTCATTTTCAAACAATCATATGCATCTTTTTACTTTGCTAGTTATAGATAAATTTGAAAGACGTTTGGGTGGTGTCCTTGAGGTGCTGCTATGGCAGAGAAGGAGAGGGAGGGGTGAGTTCAATAATCCATTTGTTCGTACATCTGTACCTCAGTTTGTTCGATTTTTTGTTTCCTCGTTACTTCGTTTTATTCTTTGCCTTTTCTTCGTTCTTTCTTGTTTCCCTCCATACCCATTCTTTCATTCATTGGTTCAGCCTGAAATTTACTTAAATCAGACTTTATTGAAATTTACTGAAGTTAAACCCTCAGGCGTTTGGAAGTTAAAGTGTTTTAAAGCAACTGGCTTTGATCGAATTTGCAATAGGTTCTTAAGCTAGTTGCATCAATCATCAATAAATAATTCAGTACTCGTTTTCCTTTCTCTTAAATGTTGACAACCCCACCATCAGGTTGACCATGATAACATGGTTTTTCAGTGTCTAATATTGTCAACCACGTTTAACAATGATGGTGACCATGGTTTCTGACCATGCTCACATTTAGCTAGTGACCATGGTTCACAGTCAACCATGTCACACCAAAAGACATTCATACCAAAACTATCTGACTGTTTAATGTAAAGGCTGATATATTCGAAAAAAGTAAAATTGATTTAAGTAATTCAACAACTCAGGGTAGGTTTCATCAAAATATATAACAACTCCTCACCATGGAATACCCTGGAAAACCATGTCCAGTGTACTAATGACACTTATTGTGAAAACTCTTGAGTTAGAAAAAGATCAAATTCTGAGTTCTAAATTTAAGACACTAACATAATTTTCATTGATTTGGAACCCTTACTTCGTCAAAGAATTCATTAAGAATTACTTTTTCCTAACTAAACTAGATAACGAGTCAGACCGTGATGTAACAACTTAAACAGTGTCACACTCAACGAAATTCTACACAGCCATCCCAATTTTTTTTTTAATTTTCGCACTTTTATGTTTATGTAATCAAGAGCTTGTAGCAATTTACTGCTCGCTTAACCCAGAACGTAAAATTGAAACATGTGTGCAGATTAAAGGAGTAAAATGAGACGTTTCAGTTTCTTTTTTCTCATCCTTGCAGTGTTTACATCTACAGTGTTTCTCATCCTTGCAGTGTTTACATTCACTTCACGTCGCGTTCAATCATGCATAATTCGCGCAGAAAATTAGTGGGACTCAGAGGCATTTTATGAAGTAAACGTTTATTGCCAGTAACTTTGATATATACAGCTAAATATCTGATGTAGTCTGTTATGCTTTGCTATATTACACCTGAGTGGAGTATGTGCATGAACGATTCCTTGGGAAAACGAAAAACGATCTCATAGCCACGATAACTTACATTAACAATTCGTACGAAAACTCAAAACAAAAAAATAGATAACTATGGGGGCGAGAGACTTATCTGGAGGTATGAGCTGTTACAAATAGTCATTTAATTTCTGTATTACGAGTCCGTCTCGTTGGGAAGCTGGATCGGGAAGCTTGGTTGATGGGCAGCGCTTGGTAACCACCCTATCTCCGCGATATGGTTACGCGGGCTCAACCTTTTTAACGGCTTCCGAAAAAAGTGCGTTGATGAGGTAAATTAGCCACTGTAAAGAGTTTGAAAAACCAACTTAAGCAACTGATTGAACACTCTTCATATTGATTGCTGGACTGCAAGATTTAAGTTGCAGAGGTTGTATAATATATATAAATTACGACTGTGAATGATGGCATAGTCTGTATAATATAGAAGGTCTTAATTGATGATTAAGAATTTTGTTCAAAAAATGTCCAATTTAGCTAAGATATATGTTGCTTTTGGTGTGAACATATTCTGAGTTGATTGTTGATTGGTCCTACAAATTGTGAAATAGATTTTTTCATCCATTTCATGGAAATCTGAGTGTATTAATTCCTGAGTTTACTTGAGGACGAAGTGTTCTATTCAAGAGAAAATGTTTAAAAGGATAAGAGGAGAGAAGTTGCTATCATGAAAGCTGGAAAGATTTGCATAGTTTTGAATAATAACACTTCCTTTTTAATTTCATTGAATCTCCTCCAGTGAAAACTATCGATGAAAAAAGAGATTGATGCAACCTATGTTTTTGGCAGTGACACGTGAATATTGGAAAAATAAGTTAATTTTTACCGTGTGTTTCCAATTTTTTTTGTGACACTATTATTCGATGTGATCTCGTACATAGAGACAGATTCCTCAGGTTTACCAAGCTGTTTTTAAAGCCAAAACCAAATTATAACAAAAATCTAGACGAAAAATTTTACCTCCTTTACCATTTTATTGTTTTAACCCTGAACTGCTTGGTTTAATTTACTCTACCTAACAAATATAGAAGCCTTGTCTGTGCTCTGTTCTGTTGTAAAGCGCACAGGAAGCGGCTAGAGTACGAAAGAAGTGTTTCTACCTACTTCTTGAGACAGACTTCATCTCCAAAGCGAGCAACAGTGTCACTAGCATGCTTTATACTCTCATAAAGCACGCTAAAATAAGCCAATCAGTTAGATATGATATTATTGGCTGAACAAGACAAAAGCTGTCAGAAGTGTCAAACCTTCAAAGTTCCTAGCCATTAAAGTTCTCAATGTGCAATAGTTTCCAAACTGAAATAGTTTGGCAGGTCGAATTTAACACGTTTACCTGAATTTTTCTAGTTTGTAACAGAGAATCTGAAAGTGAAATGTTCGGTGACTTTCACATTTATTGTGCAAATAGAAATCTGTACACCCCTTAAAGTCTTAGTCGTAATAATTTGCAGCATTTGGGAACAACAAATTGAAGCGCAATTCGGCGTACTTTTTGGCTAAGCAAAGTTGCTTTACTTTCCATCTATATCTATCTATCCATGCGTCTATTCAACGGTATATTTACTTATTCATCCATCCATTCATTCATTCATTCACTCTTTTATTCAATTATTTACTTTACTAATAGCCATTAATTCTTGTTTACATTGTTTCCTTCTATCCATTCATTTAATCGTCTATCCATTTAGTCAATCAATCGTTCGTTCAATCAGTCAAACATTCGGTCAGTCCGTTTGTACTGCATGTCCCCAGTTAGTTAGATAATCAGTCAGTTGATATCCGCCTATTTGCCTATCTTTACATTTGTGTTTTGTTTTGATTATTTGTTCATTGTTATCACCATCATCAATCATGTACAGGAACCAGAACGATGAGGGACAAGTAGAAGCAGCATTAGTAAGACTTAGCTTTTTGTCTGTTTTGACCTTCACTTAAGCAACGGTTCCGGACACTGCCTTGGGAGAACCCTTACTATTACCTCTACTTCATAAGAGTTTAAACGGATTTGGGAAAAGCTCGGTGAAATCAGCTTTACAATATCTGTAAAATACGGTCTTCTCTCAGATTGATATACATAATATCTCAACGACCGTTAGCAATCGTTATCCGTCGTTTCGCAACGAATATTACAAAAAAGACCAATATGTTGGATCATTATCAAATTTATGTTATTAAAAATTATGAAAATGAAATTTAAGCATGTACACTCGACCACGTGCTCTCTTTCTAGGGGAAATAAATTATTTTTTCTAAGCGATAGTAATCTGGATTAAGCAGGACCTGGAGATATAAATGTTTATTGGATTAAATATGTTTGACTCAAGCACATATTTTTTCTGACTGAAAAGACCGATATCCCATACAGCTGAACTAGTACTCTAAGGTACCATGCCTCAAATTTTCAAACATTTTTTTTGTTTGTTCGTTTGTTTTTTTTAATGTTTATTCTTCTTCTTTTTACATATCAACAAGAATGATAACTTCGAAACAAAGCGAAACTGCAGTGAAGGTGTGCGACTTTACTAGTATATTGGAGTTTTTTTTTTCCCTATGATATGTATTTGCAGTCCTTCACTGTTATATTCATGTTTTCAAAATTTTACATGTGTCGATGAAGATCCTGATATGTGTCTATTAGGCTTGGGATTATATTCGATGACAGGAAAACCGTGAAGAAAGTTGTAATATCATCTACGTGTTTTATAAATGAAGAGTTTAACTTCACAGATTTAAAGTTTTGGAATTGTTGGTGTTTGCAGAGTAAAAATGAAATGAGAATTCTACCAAACATACGCCAGGATTTCTTACAGTAGTTTCCCAACAGTCATAAATCCCCCAACCTTTGAGTAGTTTCACAAACAGACATCAATCCCCTTGGAACTGCGTTTGCTAAAACATAATTATTGTGTTAGTCTTAGAAAACAACCCCATTGATGATGATACAACAGGCCCTATGGATACAATAACTCAGAAACAGAGTGGAAAAAGAAAGGTCAAGGTCAAGAAGAAGTCTGCAGTCGTGAGTAATTACGCAGTAAAACCCTCCTTCTATGTAGCCAATTTGTTCCTGCTTCCTTTCTATCTGCAGAAAGAAAATTACCGTTTTTTCGAACACTTTACCTTAATACTAAATATCAAAATTTAGATAAATAATACTCCACAGATCGTTGACTGTGAATCTCAAAATATACACGAATACAACTCTTCCTCGACAAAGTAAAAAAGTCACTTGTTTTCACCTAGTGATCATGCATAGGTCGAATAATGATCAGTTATGACATCTCACTTTTAGCTATATTGTCTTTTCAGAAAATGAAAGTGTCAGCACCTGAGCCGGATATTCCTGAAAAGAAATCGGTACGTTTCATGCAGCCCCATACAATTTCGAGATTTAAGAAGTACCTTGGAAGAGGAGCCCCCATTATCAAATGAGGGCTCTAGGCTCATTGGGGACGTCTCATAAATGACATATTCCTTTGTTATGCAGGTTAAGAGCAATAAGCAGAAAAAAAGTGAGGAATACCGGCGAATAAAAGTAAGTAGTTCTTGTTTAGATCCACACCACAATCTTTGTTCTTATGGAGCGTAAGACCTCCGTGTGCGGTACGTGCTCATCTTTTCAGATGGAAAATGTATCCAAATTACTAGAGTTTTCTCAAGCATGTACGGTGCTGAAAGAAAATAATTAAGAGTAATGGTTGACAGAGTTACTTGCAGATTTATTGATTGATCAATTAAATTATTTTCCATAGGAAGTGGAGAAAATGGTTGAGGAACAAAAACTTAAAATGGAGAAAGATCGGGAAAAAGAACAGAAGAAAGAGGAGGTGAGTTGGGGAAACATATTCACCATCATTACAGGTTATAATTGATGATTGCGTGGTTATGAACATGTCTTATCTCCTTTTGTTTCATCCATGCCCGGAACTTATCTTCTTCTATGATAAAGTTCGGATGCAACGCGTTGTCATTGGTTGAACGAGCATGCTTTATCAGAGTACACAGCACAGAGAGCTGAGCTAAAGCTTTTACGCCTTCTGCCAAATTGTACCATTTCCGACCTTTTCCGGGACTTCTCTCTAACTTTTTTCCTTAATTGAATGTGAAATTTCGGAACAAGCGAGCCGACAAGTAGCAACAGAAGAACTGAAAAAAGGTTAGAGCAGAGACGAGAATCCTCAAAGAGAAAACAAAATGGACAGTCCGAGTTTTGAAGGTTTTCGGGCTCAGTTAGATTGCAAACTTACGTACGGTAATAACAATCAAACACACCTAACACTCGTATAGTATGTGTAGTTTCGTGTTCAAAACAAAAAAACTGAACAAAGCAGGAACAATTAAAAATATAGCCAAACTGTAACTGTTGAAATCCATACTAATCATGACGAATTCAGAGCGACTGCGATCATGCTGAGGTCCATCACGGCTAGCTCATCATAGCGATCTCCGGTCATCGCTGTGAAGCAAGCCTCAAAAATTACAGCAGCTGCCGCTCGAGTGAACAACCAAGAGCTGGCTCTAATATCTTCTCTGATCCGTTGAGTGGAAGGCGACATCAGTCACAGCAGCCGAGTTTTATGGCGTTGTCATTCATTCGTGCTCGAGCCATTTCCTGCGTGCTTTACAACAAAACACAGTAAAGGCTTCTCTATTTGTTAAGCAAAGGGTATGGGGACCAATTTGCAACTTACTTTAGATGAATTTTTCATTGCAGGATAATGAGAAGTTAGTTAGCCAACGGGTACTTCCCACTTATGATGTAGTATCAGGTATTAGTCATGCAAATTTTTGGTTCAGGCACAAAGATTTAAGACTATTCAAAATTGTTTACGGCTGCACTTTGGTTTTTCTTTGCAATTGAACTGAGAGTAACAGATAAGCACAGTTGTCAAAGCGAGATAGTTTTGAAAAGGATTTAACACTTGTGCAGTGCTCTAACGAGTTGCATAAATTATCGAGCCTAAATCAGAGCGAGAGGTTGTGTGAAAAACCATATCAATAATTGTGTTACCTTTTTGTTTTTGTTACCCTTCTGTTGATTTTGGCTCGAATGGGGCAGGGAGAAGCTTTACCGTATGAATATCGTATCCATTTTTAAGTGCAATATGCTCAATTTACGTTGAACCCTTCAATCATTAAGAGTGACTAGCATCTAATTTCTCCTGACAGTCTCATCCCTGAATCAAACATTTAGGTCGCAAGAATAAAGGAAATCATCACTTAGTAAAGAGGCCCTTGATTATTAAGCAAATTCTCCTTGTCATTACTTTAAGAAGTGTGCAGAGAACGGTATATAAATATGTATACTGGTTTTTGGGAGTAAAGGCATAATTCTGATTTCTTTTTAGTTTTTCTTCCCTTCGTTACTATCACACTACTCATTTACAAGCTGTGTACAATTATTGATAATCTTATTGCATTTCTTTGAAATACTGATTTTTAATCGCTATTTTTCTGTTACACTCAAGCCATGGAAGCGACATGCTCCAAGACGGAGAAAAACGATAAACAGGCTGGTAGGCTCAGTTTTGTTCATGAATTTTTTCCTCTTCATAGGTTGTACCATAAATGTAAAAACTATCGAGAACTATATATCTATAACTATTTCCCGTATTTGATGATGATCATTGTCCCGTATTGATTATAAATAGTAACATGCAAGTGACTGAAACCATCAAGTGTTGAACATAGATTAGAAAATTCATTTCACTGCGAACGCTCTAGATATCTAACAATTTAATATCCTTTCAAAAACTAAAAAAATACTCGACTGAAGTAGTAATTTGCCTAAATTTAAAGTATTTACCAGTATTAGACTTATAAAAAATTGTACATGTATCGTCACGAGTTGCATGACACGACAGTCTCAGACAATGTGCTTCAAAGCTGAATACGTTTATTTACTGGATCTCCACAGCAGATGTTGCATCAGGTGCAATACCTAAACAACGGAAATTTATCGCAGCATCCAGAAGAACCAGGGATAAGGATGGTAAAATTGAACAGGAGAAGAAATCCAGCCTTTTGAAGAAAGCAGGGTCATTTGTCGAAACTGAGGAGCGAAACGTCGTTCTTCGCAAAGGTGGCACTTTAAACATTCCTCACGGTAACGAGGAACTTAGATCATGTAAGGAGTATAAGAGTGAAGACAGGAAAAGTGACTGTGAGGAAGAACCAAATAGTGGAAAAGGGAAAAGGAATAGAGTCACGACAAGAAGCCAGGTACGAAGAGAAGTAATTTTAAACAAGCAATGAAAATGAGTTGAAAATGAGTTGTTTGGAAAAGATGACTGACTAGCCAATGTTCTCAGTGTCTTTATTACAAAAAGAGAATAATACATGGGCGCGCGTAGGTATGGAATTTCTCTTGGAGTTCAACACTTTTATTTATTATATAGACACAATAGCCCTTTAATGACAAGAAAAGCCAACTTCATTGATGAATGAAAATAAAAGAATCGATAATCGTACAGTTCGTTGGCGCTAAGGCTCAAGATGGAAAATGGCGTTGAAGCACGATTACAGAAACTACGTACAATAGCCGTAATTTTCAATTTATAATATTCTCATTTATTGACTTTGTCCTTACCGACAAAAGAAGTATTTCCAGTAAATGGCCAAAATTGACAAGTGGCAAATCTTCCAGTGGTCGATTTTCGTTCTCAGCCGCCAGAAATGCCAATACCAAAGCCATTGAATACAAAACTTTCGGTTTTTCTTTTCGTAGATTGGTTTTCTTTCTCTTCTTGGAAATCTTGAACGTTACTGTCTTTTAGTGTTTTAGCCGCTATAATCCGAGAAAGTTCCGACAAACTACCTTGTATTGAGAATCGTGAAAGCTTTACCGTTCATTCATCAAGTTGACCAAGTGGCACGAAAGGCGAGCGACCTGTCAGCAGCTGATTGATTAAATCAGACGCAAGTGAAAAATATCGTATTTTTTCACGTGTCTTGTTACGGCTTTTCTCAGGGCTGGAAATCCTTGTATGACACCATAATTTATATGATAATCAGTATTATTATCACCAGTATCACTTTATCATTGACTTTCAGGTCTGCTCAGCTGAGCCCACTTAGTATCTACCATCAGCGGCGAAAGGATTCAAGAAAGCTCAAATGATGGTAGATGCAAAGTGGGCTAGATTAGACACTGTAAAATCTGAATTATCTATTAGTGGAGACAAGATATTAGCCAGATAAGCGGCAAATCACATGCAAAGGTGTTCGCGCATGACAAAACCGGTCTCAGAGGTATATCGGCTTTATTAATCTTCAGTAAACCGCAAATTCTAGGGGGCTGTTTGTGTTGCGGTCTGATCTTGTTGTAGACGGCCTTTGATAGATGTCCGCTTCGTTTCGAGGTTAACAATTTTTCAGACTGCTTCCTCGTCAGAAGGTCTGTCGGATCTTTGTTCAAGCGTTGATACGGTCCGTTTTCGATCAGGGAGGACATTTTGGCCTGGTAGGAGTCGGCGTCTAATATTACACTGGCGCGTCCTCTGTCTGTTGTAGAACCTTGATGGAAAGGTCCTCTTTTGGTCGGTTAAGTGCGTTCCGTATTTCCTTCGTGATGTTAAGCTCTGGCGGTTTTGCTTGTTGAAGGATTCCGTAAACAGCTCTTTTAACAGTGTTTGCTTGTTCGGGATGAGTGGTCTGATCACTGATTCAACTTGACAATAATCTCTGCAGCAAGTGTGTTATTATGAGTTACGGCGAAGTTTAGTCCTTTCTTCAGTTGGGCAGTCTCGGAGTCGCTAAGGGACCTGAAAGATAGATTAGCATATCAGTTAGTTTTGTCAACATGCGGTGTGTTAGTTGGTGAGACAGCCACCTGTTTTTCCTGCAAAGTTTCTCGAACGTTTTCTGCTTTTGGTCTTGATCTGTTCCAGTATCCTGCTAGCGTCGTCCGGCGAGAGTTTCAATAGAACCCTTTGAGCCGTAGACTGTCTCCTCCGAATTTTCTTAAATTCTCTGCGTCAGTCTGATCGATTTTCTGAGTAATCTACGTACTTCCAGTACAATGGATAAATTTACGAACAGAAAGGAGGCGCAATTATGGAGAACTCGGTTTCCGCTGTTATTGCTTACCTCTGCATGGAGAGTTTTGAAGAACAAGCAGTAACATCATCAACCTAAAAACCCAGGATCTTTAAACGCGACGTAGACGACATATGTACCAACTTGACCCGTTACAACGTAGAAAGCTTCCTAAAGCGTTTGAACCACCAACAGCCTCCCATTCGCTTCACCATCTAGACGGAGAGCAATAGCAAAGTCACCCTCCGCAAACCGCAGTTACAAGAGAACCTGATGAACGCCCAACCAGCAGCGTATACAGGTAGCCAACACACGCTCGCCAATACATCGCGTATGATCCTCACCTTCCGCAATCAATAGGTCGCGGTATTGCCAAGTGCATTTAAGAGCGTGCGAAAAGTCTCTCTGTTATCTCCAATGGTTATCCTTCCTCGTTCGTGCAGAGGGTAACAAAAATCAGGGCACCAACCGTCAGCAAAAACGGGTGTATATATAATGCAGTAAATTTAGGCGTCATTTACCTCAGAGCCTAATATAAGTCCCTGTTTTATTATGGATTTTTATCTGTTTGGTTATACGTTTATATTTTGGTTAATGTCATCGTTTAATTCTGTTTATACCAAACTTAGGTGGATGAGGAATATAGAAAACGAGAAGTATCAGGGACTAAAGAAAAACGCACTGGCGTAAAAACAATAAAAGATCGGTTCGATGATCTAGGAACAGAGAACGGATCAAGAAATGAAATAGATGGCAAAGAAAATCATGTGGATTCAGGGGTAGTTTGGCGAGAAGATGGAGAAAAGAGAGAAGAGAACATTCTATCCTGTGAAAATGTTCCGCATGGTGGCTTGTTTGAGAACCAAGACGTATGTTCGTTGCATCGCGACAACCAAGGTGCTTATAAGTCGGAGGAAGAAGACAAAATCGATCAAGAGACTTTGGAACTATTAGAGGAATTTTGTATGGAGCGTTTTGGAAATGAAGAAAAGTATATATTCTACAATATTATCAAGGAATTCTTGCAGTGGACTGAAGAAACCAAAGCAAAAAAACGTCAGCACTTTTCACAAAGCGGAGAATACCCATTACCCCAGGAAGCTTCACCAGCGACCCGAAGTAAGTCCCAAGTCAAAGAACCTTCAAATGAAAGTCGGAAAGGGAAATTAGATCTTTCCAAATTTTCTCATCCTAGTTACGACGTTAAATATATCAACGGCCATCCGAAGGTTCGCATCGTAGATGTTGGATTTAAGACAACGCTGTCTGATCGACGAAAAAGGCTAACACGATCCGTCACGCAAGAAAAATTTCCTGACTTGGAGCGTCTGCGGAAATTGATACGGGAACAACCTTCCACGTATCGTCGTGCCACACTTCAACTTAATTCCAAGGCAGGTCACCTGTCATTTGCCGTTGTATCAGATACGATTACCCCAGATATCAAAATCAGTGGACGAGTCAAAGGAGCATTCGACATGGACCAAGTTGTCGTTAAAGCGCTAAATAAGCTGTCTATTTCAAGTGATGGTCTTCCCAGTTCCCGAGGAAAATTTGTAGGTAAGTGGCACAATGTTTCAAAGTATTTGTGCCGGATGGTGTAACAAGTTGCTAAAAGATAAAGTATTCAAGATGTACGTGCTCTGTAATGTTGGGGTTAACCCCCAGGCTATAGGGGGCGGGTTGTCTACCTTCAAATGTTTGCCGCTCAAATGAATCTTTGATAGGAAGAGCTTGCTCAAAACCCTTTAAGAGCTTTTCTGACTGTAGAAAATGCAACCTACTGATACGAACTGTTGCTAATCATACCTATAACCTTTTGACTATAGGTGTGATGCAACCCATAATCAGCCATAATGAACGACAGTTTGTGTGCAGGATCGATCCCGAGAACACTGACGTAATGATTCCAATCAATAAGTCCGCACCGAAAATTTTAATACCAAATTCAGCAAGAGCTGAAAAAGGATCCATCGCTGCAAAAAGGCAAGGTAAACAGAGAGCAAGTGAAAATGGAGTGGAACGTAAAGATTTATCAGAAGAAGAGTGCATGTTTCTGGTTCAGTTTGTTAAATGGATAGCAGGTCGCAATTATCCATTGGGCACAATAATCAGAGAACTGCCGCAGCAGCCTACCTTGGAGAATAACATGGAAATTCTGTTTGCAGAGCATTGCATTAAAAAGTTGTTCAATGGAAAGTGTGACGAACAAGTGAAAAGGGATTTTCCACCATCTTGGTCAATCCCACCTAATGAGGAGCAGAGACGTTTGAAAATTGATGGAGCGTTTACGATTGATCCTGAGAATTCCAAAGATCTAGATGATGCACTTTCCGTAGAAAAGCTTGAACACTCAGGAGTATATCGTGTCGGAGTTCACGTCGCTGACGTAAGTTACTTTGTGGAGCCTGACACTCCTTTGGATAAAGAGGCGTTATTGCGTTGCTCCTCTTACTACCCCGGACATGGCTATGATAGTGTTCCGATGCTACCACGAGAGTTGAGTGAAAACCATTGCAGCCTTCTTCACAATAAAAGCTGTTTGTGTTTGTCAGTTTTTTTTAACATGGCAGAGGATGGAAGCCACGTGGGAAACCCTGACATAAAAGAAACAATTGTCAAGTCCACTTGTCAGCTCACTTACCCTCAAGCCCAACAAGTTATTAATGGTCAGGATTGCTCATTCCTGAACGTGCCAAAGGATACTATGGATAAGATCCGACAGCTTAGTGACCTCGCACAAAAAATGAGGAAGTGGAGACTTCGACAGGCAGCCTCTGATCATTGGTCAAATAAAGACGAGTCAGGAGATTACGAAGCACATGAACTTGTGGAGGAAATGATGATTGCCACCAATAAGGAAATAGCTAAATTTCTCTATTCACAATATAGAATGATAACACCTTTGCGGACCCAACTTCCCCCCAAAGAGCACAGATTAACTAGCTGGCTCAAACAATTCGGGAAATTCATAAAGTTGTCCTTGTTTCCACACGCCGTTTATTCTGATGAAGAACTGCAGAGAATGACAAAAGATGAGGGCATTTCAGAATTGCCAAAACTCATGGTGCAAAAGTCCGTGTGGTTTGATCTTTTTAGTGCTGCAGAATCACTAGACAAAGTCAAGCTTCGCCAGCTGACTTTCAATGAGAAGGATCACTCTCAGTTGGCCATCGCCAAAAGGCAATTTGAGTTTATTAAACAGAAGGCTCGATACGTCTGCGAAGGAGATCCAGATGAAGATCCAGATGAAGCGAAGGGGATGCCTGGCCACTTCTCTCAGAGAATGGACCTCTATACACACTTCACGTCACCTATTCGACGATACATTGATATAGTGGTACACAGACTCGTCTTGAATTTGATATCTGAGCGTAGCACGGGAGCACCCTCGACGGATCGAGTTGCTGAGATCTGTCGTCGTTCCACGTTCGCTAGTGCGAATTCCAAACTCTTCAAAAAGGCATGTAATGAGGTTCACCTGGCAGCAAAACTCAGGGAAAAAAGCCACGAGACAACAGCAGTCGTTTCGACGATCGAAGATAGGAAAATAAGGCTGGAAATTACAAAACAAGAATACGATCAGGTCGCGAAAAGACAGAGAGAAATCAAACTGAGCACTTTACAACCATTTAGTGCTAAACATGGTGGCTCCGAGGAAATTGTACTTACTTGGAAGCTGAGACTTTACATTGCTCCGGAGGGAAACATCACGGAGAAACTTGATCGTGAAAGAGAAAAGGTTTCCATCCTTTTATCTCAGGAATTGCCAGAACGGGAAGTCTATTACTTTCCAGGAGAAAGGTGGGAAAAGCTTTTGAAAGCACTTCAACAAGAAAACTTTGAACTCGTTACCTTGCTAATTAGAGAGATGGATCAGCTTACCAGACCCCAAGAACAGAATAACTTTCGCAATGGTGGAAAACTTGGGTCAAATATGGAGCATACCCATGAGAAACAGATTTCTCTGAAGAAATTTGATACTGTAAATATTCAGCTCACTGCACATATGACACACGGGGTTTTCCACCCAGAAATTCAACTCTTCAAGATTACCCCTGGTGTCCACATTTGCGTCGAGCACCGCAAATATCCAAGGGAATGTTTTACTAACGCACCATGCTATCAAATCTCTGGGAAGTACTCGACTTTAGCTGATTACATCGCAGCCTGGGAACCCGTACTTGATTTGGAAGCTGCAACAGTGGCTGTGAACGAGAACGATGAATTAACCATACACAATTTGGATGTCAGGTGGAAGATGAATAGCAGTGGAAACCAAGAAGGCTTTTTCAGCCTTTTAAGTGAGTATTGCAAAAGCCGTCATATCAATATTCATGAAGGGGATTTTGTTTGTGTCAGGGTGGAGGAAGAGATGTACATGGCTAAATCAAGCTTCGTAACAAGTGAGGGGAGCAAATCAGAGGTAAATACATAGTCATTTATTTTCAGCAATAAAATAATATCATGTAACTTGCATATGTACTTTTACTGAATTCTCAGCTTTATATGGAACAGTTTGAGACTTCTGATCAGTTCTTTCAGTTTAAGCCATCAGCGTCTGTACCGAGTTGAGATCTTTTGTGGAAAATAATTGCATCAGTTGTCACCAAGCCGATTGAAATTTTTGTCCACGGTAGGGAGCGAGCGCATCTGCGAGGCAAGGAAGAGAGATAGTTTGAGATACCAGTTTCCAATGATGAAAGCTAAAATGATGGATATTAAATTTCAGTGGAACGAAACCTCCCCTTAAAGATTCTATTATTTAAAAACAACAAAATATAATGGATGACTTTCAATTCCTAGTGCTTCGAGGTTTTCAAGGCTCACCTCAATGGCTGCAACTACCTAACCCGCATAACGCCCCTATTGGTCAATTACAACCCGTCCAAAGCACGCTTAATGAATATTCGGTGATCACGATCTGATTGGTTCTTCCTTGGTGGCATTTTGACATACGGACCGTTCCATGAAAATGGTCAAATCGTTGTTTTTTGTCCTGGGAAGCCGGAAAATTTAAAATTTACATCTAAAAAATGCGACAAGAAAACCTGCAAATGATCTCACTCTTTGCAAAGAAACTTCCAAACGAGTAACCAAGCGTTTGAATTTTATCATCAATAAGAAATCTCTGCTATTAGCATTACCAATAGTCCGGAGGCTGTTGACCATTTTGTCAGCAAACAGTAAAGTTGTAAGACGGTTTCTGATATAAACACTCTTCTCCGCTTCGTGGAAGCAAATGTAATGAAAAGCTAGAGAATTGAAAGCCTACCTGTAAAGCTCGTCAATGCTCTTTTTGAAGCGGCCTTCGCGCTGAGAAGTTAATATTCACGAACACAATATGCTTAGCGCACGAGCAAGCCCTCATGTATTAGAAGTGCAGCATGAGATTTTCATCCCCAAAGGGCACAAGAACCCTTGCCCCCCCCCCCTGCCTCGCTTTTCTCAAAGCCTTACAATTGGCGCAGGGAGGCTCCTGCCGAGGCGCTTGTAATGGTGGTCTGCTTGCAGGCTATAAGTAGTATACTTGCATGAAATTAGGGATATAGTTAATGCCTTTAAATAATTTGACTGACACTGTACCCACTACATACGCTGAAATGTGAAATGAAAAATGATTGTTGTATTCGAACCTAACGGCAATTATGTTTATCTCCATTAAGATGGATTTAGATCTAGAAAACGAAGGGGAACTCGCCATGACGCAGTTAAAAAGCACCCCATCCTTAGAGAGCAACTCGAGTCGCAGTTCTAGGTCAAGTATTTGGGTGGGACACTGTATTATTAGGGAAGCTCAATTGAGTGAGGAATCGAAAATAGTGTCAGTGAGGATAAATCTCTGTCAGGCAGCGTCAGAATTTCCCAAAGAGCTGTTGATTGGAGGTATTCAACGCCTGAGTACGTTAACAATTATTCATCGACCTCCTATCCACAGGTAATAAAATGGGTTTTGTTAATCCCACAATGCAAATAGCTATGTCCAGAATGTAATCTTTTATCATGCGACTCGTATAGCTAGTTCTCTGATAACCACTAGAAGTGCTGACATTCCCAACCACTCTCCTCCCTGATCATCATCGTCCCTTTGTCATTATAAGGCAACGACCGTGTCATCGAGCAATTTTGCCACAGCCAGCGCCAAAGAAGTTTTGGAACACGATAAGCATCTAAAAACCTACTTCGTTATGAGGCAAATATGCCTTCTTTGAACGAATCATTAGGTCAGTTATGTAAACTTTATGGATGGCATTGAAATTTGACTGCCAAAATACTAACCTAAATGACCGTGTGGGGGTATTCCCTTTTTTTTAAATGGATCGCTCGCAATGGCCTTCGACGTAATGCGCATCTGTAAAATTCTGATTAGCAAATTCGACAGCTAAATCGTAAAGCTACCGATATGAATATCGAAAACCCCCCAAACGGTTTTGAAGATCAACCCCTCAGGATTGAAATTGTGCAGAAGTTTAATTTAAGCGGTCAGATTTGATACCTAATTAATTCACCTAAAGAAACGTCATCTATCTATAAATGTTGCACCTCAGTCGATTTAAATTAGGTCTGTATAAAACGGAACAATTTTTGCCGGATAATGCATTTCACAACCTATACATTGTTATATTGTTTATGGTGGTTATGCTTCTAATAATATACATGAAAAAATAACGTGCGTCTGATTGGCTCTGTGCAAATTACAAATAGCGCGCGCCCTGCTTTCAGTGATGCGTTTTTCATAAACTATAACAAGTAAAAACATACTTTCTAGTGCAATTTGGTGTAAATAAGCACTTGTTAATTTTTCCAAGACTGCAAATTGCACTTGCCCTACGGCTTCGTCCAACTTTGTTGTCCTTAAGAAATTCACTCGTGCTTATCAACACCAAATTGTACTCAAAATCATGTTGTTACTCCTACAAATTGCGTGTTAACAATTTTTCTCGCAAAGGACACCCGCGTGGGTCTAACGTATCCTTAACTTAGCGATCGTAAAGAGCCCTAATCTCGATCGTCTGCAATTACTGACAACCATACCTAGTAAAAAAGGCAAATTGCCTATTCGAAGAAAACTTTTGGGACATAATTATTTAAGAAGCTCGAGAAAAATTAAGCATTCATGAATCTAGTACATGCTGCTCCGTCATTTTTCGATTTTGGTTCTTTTGTGCTCCACTTACGACTTTGTTTACTTTCTTTTCTCTAGACGAATGTCTGCAGTCCTCAGTCGGGGGCTTAAAAATGCTCCCGAAGTAGTCGAGGCGATATGCTTGGGGCATGAGCTTAGTCAGGGTAAGAAGAACATAGATAACAAGAATTAAAAGTCTAAGCCGCTATTTACAATACACAAATAAATTATTTTATCGCTATATTGAAAGGTATGACACAACAGATAATATAGTATCGATCATAAAAAACACATTAAAAATGAAACTGTCTCCTCATTTTAGGGGATTTCGAGTTGCCGCCTTTCTCTGACCTTTCAATTTCGGTAAAGGATCCGAAATGCCGATTAGAGCCCTTGAATAAGTATCAGAACGACGCTGTGACAGACGCACTTGTGAAACCATTTTCCCTCATCCAGGGCCCTCCAGGTATGAGCTATATTGTCAACCTCCCAAAGTCCAATTTGAATTCTGAACAACGTTCACTTCATTGCTATATACAAGTTAGAGTGTTTGATTGTCTGTTTGTTAGAATCGAATCACCTCAATCGAACTATGTCTTCTTAATTTCAGGTACTGGCAAGACAGTGACCGGCGCTCACATAGCCTATTGGTTCGCATATCAAAACAGGACAACTATTTCACAACCAGATCAGAACTCGATTGAATCAGACAAAGCAAACAAATTAATACCATCATCACAAGTCATTTACTGCGGTCCCTCTAATAAGTCCATTGATGTGGTGGCAAGTAAGTAGCCTGTTACAAACCAGACACTAACGAAACAAATGTAACGATGAAACAAATTCTTTATTAGTTATGTTCAGTCACGGAAACAAGTCTCAAGAAAAACAGTTTCGAGTTGGACCAAAGACATCCTTAAACTTTGCGGAGTTGATACCAATGAAACCAAGGTGTTCGCTGCCCATAGCAGTGAATGAAAGTTGGATTGAAGTTCTATCACATGGCATAAAAATGCATACTGCTTTGCAACTTCCCAACCTTCTTGGTTTTGGTGGTATCGTGGGTATCTATATTGTTGTGGTGAAACACTATTATTCATGGACCCATTCAGTACTTTTGGGAATACTTGATATATGTTCTCTTGACGATCGAAGAAAAATCGACTCAAAAATAAGGACACTTACAAACAATTAAACATAATTTTTAATATGCCAAATAACAGTCACTGACATATTTGATATTTTGTTTGATTTCATTTTAATTTATTCATTATATTTTATTTCATCTCATTTATTTATTCATCTACATACTATGTCATCTTTCCTCCTTGTCAAGAAATTATGCTCCAAATTCCTGAACTCAAAATTCTTCGAGTCTATAGCAATTTAAAGGAGCAGGCTGAGTTTCCACTTCCTAACAAACCTAAACCTCTAAGAAGTTCCAACGACGATGATGAAGCTCAAGAATTGGATGAAAAACTGAAAGAAGTGGCGCTACACCACGTCATTCGTGCAGATGCGTGTCCATTCGCTTATGAGCTAAAGGAATGTGAAAGAAAATTTGTACAAGATGAGAAGAAAGGTTTAAGGACCGCAGATAAACACGTAGACAGCTACCGTGAGGTAAGTAATATTGTTGCCAAATAGAAGCGGTGCAAAGTCGCGTATGGTGATCTTTTCTTGATGTAATCGCATTAAGCATTACAAATTCTATTGTCACGGGACGCTCTAAGGTCCATTTATAAGCTTAAGTTGTTCGTTAGTTTAAATAATCATTTGATTTTGTAGAGCGTCGTATAATTATGTATCTTATGATCGGAGAAAGAGCAGAGTAACAAACACTATCAGACTTGTCCAAACACACCCTCCGCAGAATTTTTCACGATTTGGATTCTTCTGCCTCAGTTTTTTTGAAGAAAGATAAACATGGCCATGTATAGTAAATGAGAGAATTCAACTCTAAGCAGACAGTTAAAATATTTAGAATTTTCTCTTTTCCTCTTTCTTTTTACTAGTTTTCTTATCATTAGTATTACTTTTGTTATCTACTTTCATTTTATTACTTTTTTTTCACATTTTTGTGGGAATTGCTTTGTTTATTCTGGGTTATTTATTTAGTTATACAACTTTCCCCCTTCTGTACTGCCGTTGTGTTTTGATCAGTTGTTTACGAATGTGTATATGGTAATCTTACCTAGTAATTACATAACATATATGTAAGTTTTGAGTGATTCAAAGTGTTCAATGACCATTTGCAACTGAAGATAACATGACAATATCGAAACTTGTTTTTCAAACTTAAAATTTTTGTTGCTTTTTGTTGTTTTCGTACGTAAGAATTATGTATTTATTGTTACTAATGCGATTTTGTTTGTTATATCGCTTTACCGCTCAGCTTATTGAACAGGCTGAGAAATGGGCATTTCAGTCGACAGGTGTGCAGGTTATCTTGTGCACATGCGCAGTTGCTGCCAAGTCTAGTATAATCAAATCATGCAGAGACAATATCAAGCAGTGTATTGTGGATGAATGTGGTATGTGCATGGAACTTGAATCACTCTTGCCAATCGCGTTCTTAGCACCGCAGCAAATAGTATTGATTGGTGATCACAAACAGTTACAGCCCGTCATTCATGACAAAAAGGCACAAAATCTAGGCCTTCAAGTTTCGATGTTTGAAAGGCTCTCTGGGCAAGCCAAGATGCTACAGCTTCAATACAGAATGGTAAATTATAATCGTTTATGGTTTGAGTTATACATGTTACGGTTAATTATTCCAAACGAGAGTTCCGCAATACTTTGTCATGGTGTACCGCGAATATCTCAAGATTGTCTTGATTTTCTGTGTAATCATGAATCCTGAGACACATAGGTTTATAGAAGAAGGTCAAATTACGAGGGGTTGTAACATTTACTAAGAATGCGAAAGCAGCAGCACTTCATAGGTTTTAGATTCTTTCTCATCCACTTTTCGTCCGTTGATAAAGCATGTAGTTGGCTCGCGTATACACTCCAGCCCCACTTTGGTCGCAATAATCGTATAAATCAACGCTCTGTAAATTACCTGCACTCCTAGGGTGAAAGTCCAGAGGATCAGATCCATTAAATCAAGCCGATTGTAATCCATTTCATTTTCATTATTCCTACTCAAATTTCTGAACTGTCAAAGAGAGATTTTTGTGTGGCCATGCAATCTTTCTTTCTGAAAAATTTTGTCTTTCAAGGTCCTTGTAAATTATGTTTTTTAATGATCATAACTGTCATCACCATTATCATTTGTATTACTTTTTAATTATTATTATTATAATCGGGAATTCATTTCAGATTCTATCTAAAAAGAAATTTGTATAATGACAACATTTAAGAATTTCAATGCCAGAATAAAGGCAGTGATTGACCAATTTGAAATATGGCTGCTTTATATTTACAGCACGAGGAAATATGCAAATTTCCCTCAGAGTACTTTTATAAAAGTCAGCTGAAAACGGATCCATCAGTAAAGAGAAAGGGTACTGCTCTGAAATCCTTTTGGCCTGTTGCAAAGGTTCCTATGGCATTTTGTCATGTTGTGGGGGAGGAAGAGATTACCGCCATTAAGACAGCACTTAGCAATGAGCAGTCGAAAGCCAACGTCAAAGAGGTCGAAAAAGTAGTAAGTATAGTTCAGTAACTGCTGAGAGAGAGATCAACTCTAAGTTAAGCACAAAAGGTGTTTCTTGGGGAATCATGGAGTGGCTCTTAATCCAGACACAAAGCGGCAAGCTTATAATATTTCGACAATAGGAAAATCTCCATGAGGGATTGAAACGAACAAGAGAGAGAATACGGAGTGATACCTCTATGGAAGCATCTAATAAAGAGCTAGATGTGTACCTAAAGTTAGCCTTATTCATAAAAAAATCACATTTTTGCTAGTAATCTCGTGTAAACTAGGCAGTGAAGGAAATGTGACCTTTGATAACATGAATCTCCTAGTTGTTGATGGCATCCGACGTTAACTATTAGGAATATACCTTTTCTATCAGGTGCACGTGGCGAAATGCCTTATCAACATTAAAGGGGTGTCCTCGTCAAACATCGCTATTCTATCACCTTACAAAGAACAGCAGGCCAGAATAAGAAAAGCGCTGGCTGAAAAATCACAGTGCAAAGACATCTATGTTACAACTATCGCAAAGAGTCAAGGTAAAGCCACTTTTGTTTCGTCCACCATCGTCGTCTATCATTATATACCTTCTGTTTCATGTGACCCCAATGAACAATTATTGGAAACTGCTCGGTCAACGAAGCAAACCTGAAAGTCATGTTTTTGCTTCCTCACTGACGGCAAGAAACACAAAGCGCGCGAACTTGACATGATTACCCATAGAAATCATGCATCGTGGTCATATATACTTGACATGATTACCCGTGACCTTGAGTGTCCTTGACATGATTATTGTATGATCTGCGGCTAGATAACGTCCCAGGTTCTGATGTCAAAAATGCACTGTACGCTTTCGGCTAATCCGAAAAGAGATAGTGAGTTGAATGTGTAATAATGTTATATGTTTATCACCCAGAATAACGCTACTATCATGTACCATAAAAATAGTATTTTGTATAGGGCAGGGTTCTTTAAAGTCAGGGAGTCGATGGCCAGCTGCTAGGAGTAGACGGGTGACATATGTAGAGGCTCTAAAATGTTGTTTTATGCATTCTTTTGGAAGTACATGCAATCAATATGGCGGTTGCTTGGCTAAGTAATGGAATGCGGAAATGGCTTTCAGGAAAGCTATCTCTTCATGAAAAGTTTTGCAGCAGCGACTTGTTTTAATTTTTATTAAACCTTACCGTTCACAACTTACCAACAGGATTAAAGGAAGAGAGAGCTGCTCAGAAATTGAGGTAGCTCTTTATTCAGACGGCGGTCGGCACCTAATGAGAACCCTGCACACGTTTTTGTTTCTGTTTCTGTCGTACTTGTTGGTGGTTTCGGTGTTTTTTTATCTTGATTATTCGTTGTTTTTGTTAAGCCAATACGAATAATTTCATGGATAATAGATATGAGAGAGAAACAATGTAATGGACACTCCACATACATAAAAGATCAATCTCAAATTCGATCCTTTTTTAGGAAGTGAATGGGATTACGTCATATTATCTCTGGTGCGTTCACTGAGTGATGATGATCTCGACGCAGAGCCATCAATGTATTGGGTCCGTGAACATCTGGGATTTTTAGCAGACGAGCATTTAATGAACGTAGGGCTCACAAGAGCGCGCAAAGGGCTTTGCATTATCGGTAAGAAAGAAAGAATATCACAACATTATCTATTTTGTCTTTCTCCACGAAATGTTTGTGTTGATATCTTACCATTATTATGTATGTGATTACTCACCTACCGGCAGTGTTTCATTGTGTTCTTTCATTATGTGAACTGCTTAAGCTTCTAAGCAAGTGAAAAATAGAGCAGGTATATAGTTGGAATTGAAAAAAAAAGTCTATTAATAAAAATCGAATTAGGGACGATCATTTGCAATTTCTATATTTTTCCAAATTTTGTGGATCCTCTCTTCCCGGTAAAGATGAATGAAATCTTAAGTGAAACAACTTAAAAACAGGTCTGCTTTCTGATTTTCTGATTTTCACGTCAGCTTTTTTTATTTTTGTTGCTCTTAGGTAACAAGAACTTACTTAAACATCACTCCATGTGGAAGGACTTGATAGAATCCTTCGAAAAAAGACACTGCGTGGTCAATGAATCTACATGGCCGAAGAACTAAACATATTATCCAACGTGGAACATGTAAAGCATCAGAAAGTCAAAGAAACTTTAAAATAGGTTCCAAAACAATGATTTTACTCCAAATACTATCGCGTAGGTAAAATATTAAACAGTGTATTTTCCGAAATCAAGCCATAGACAGCCTCAACTTAATGCCAGACAGAAATTATAAAACAAAGAAAGGTCGTAGAAAGACTGAGTAACGTACTTTAAACGACCTAAAGCTCCCGATAAAGGCGTGGAAATTGTGTGGTTATTTAACAACTATACTAAAGTCGTGTGTCGGTAATGTTATGGAAGTAATTAAGTGTTATTGAAAGAATCTTTCCAGGCGTCCGTTTGTGATTTTGTTTGAAGTATAATTGTACTTTTAAAGGAAACCATTTGTGGTTTTTCTATTACATATAATTTGATCATTCTCTAACGGTTGTATCTCTTTAATTATCTTAGTCCTGATTTGAAGTTGGATTTGCACATTTTTCAACGCAACTTGTTCATAATTACTGCCAGTATTCAGAGAATAATTCATGGGCGCGCGTAGATCTGGAATGTCTCTTCGAGTGTTTAACTCGATAGCTCACGAGTGAGATCTCGGTTTGAATACGAGAAGAGGAATTTCATGTCTACAAGTAACCATGTATTATTTTGTTTATCATGTAAACACAATAGCCCTTTAATGACAAGAAAAGAAAACTTTTTCAACGCATGGAAATAAAAGGATCGGCAATCCCCGAATATAAATCGTAAAGTACGTTGGCGCACTCAAGATAAAAAACATGCGTTGAATCACTACAAAAGCAAACAATGGGCCCAATTTTCAATGTACAAAATTCTCATTTATTGAATTGTTCCTTACCGACATAAGAAATCTTTTAGGTAAACGGCCAAATCGGCCTGTGGCAAATCTTCCAGTTGTCGATTTTCGTTTTCAGCCTCAAGAAATGCCATTACCAAAGCCACTGCATACGTAACTTTCTGTTTTCTTTTCGTATTTTGGTTTTCTTCCCTTTCTAAGTAAGTTTGAACATCACCGACTGTAAGCGGTACGAAATTTTCAGTTTTTTAGCTCTCATAATCCGAAAAAAACACTGATAAACGACCTTGGATAGAGTGGTTAAAGCTTTGCCGTTCATTCATCAACCTAACCGAGTGGTGCGGAAGGCGCGTGACGTGTCAGCAGCAACATCAAAGACGTGAAAAAAAATCGTATTTTTCACGTGTGTTGTTACGGCTTATCGCAGGGCTAGAAATCCCTGTATAGCACCGTAATTTATATGATAAATATCCTGCAATAGGTGCAATGACTGAAAACATGGCCCTTAAATGCTCTAGTCATATGCCTGGGTGCCGTTGGCATGTACTCAAACACAGACGATAGACGACAGATGGTATACGATGGTCAGTAGACGGTAAACGGACTCCGTCTTAAAACAGGAAGAACAGTAATGGCAAAGCAAGCTTAAAACGGCAGAGAACGCCAGAAACTACAACGGAAACACAGGGAGTGATTAAGTTCTATTAATCTTACGGCTAAAATGTTCGTATTGCGGAATATTTAGTTGTAAATCGACTATATTTCATTCCCCATATTATTCCTTATAATTAATATTAATCCCTATTAATATGAATCTAGACATCGATAACTGAAAGGTCTGGACTGGGTAAAGGCAGGGTACGCATTAACCTTTCTCTTATGATTGAGCATAGATGGAGCCAATGGCTTTTCACCTCGCTAACGCGTTTTAATCGCAAAATTACTTTAGTATATTACCGCTTACGTATCTGTGCACGTGTGATTAGCAATCAAGTAAGCAAGAAGGCAACAAGCAACATTTTTAGCTTGATAAAGTTTTAGTTTCTAGTTTCATCGTTTAATTATGTCAAACAATTCACAACTGGAGAGGAAGGTGGCTAAATGCGCAGGCTGTGGAACCCCGATTACCGAGCATGGCTGGGTATTTCCCAGCAAATTCTATCAAGGAGAGGAGATCCGTTCTCTAACTGCGCATAAAAACAAGCAGAACGCCACGGTTGCCGGCCATGATGAAGACCAACAAATTGCAGACTTTGGACAGGAGTTGGCCGAGCTAGACATGGAAGAACAGTGGCAAGCCAAGCAAAAACGTATAGCCTCTATCTAAAGGCAGATAGAAAAGAAACGGACCAAGTTGGTCGCGAGTGAGCTACCAGAGCAAGCTGGTCCGTCGAATGTCAAGTATCTGCGTTCTCTTCTTCCAAGCGAAGCATTAACAACTTCATTGGATGGAACTCTTAACCTGACCACATACTACCTGCCGCTTTAAAACAATCCTCAGGCATCCCCAAGTCAACCATCCAACGCCTGGCTAGATTCACGAGCGTCGGAGATGTTTCTGAGGCCAGCCCAGCTTCAAAAGGGTGAGAGAGATTTAAGAAATGTTGACTTTCTAGACAACATTGTCCCTCAGGACGAAGAACGAACGGTAGAAACACCAAATTAGTAGTGTCATATGGCCCAAAAAAGCCCCATTTAGTGCAGATTTCAATTTCACAGTGGGTGGTTGGAAATACTAGGATTTTTTATAATCTTCCATCCAGTGACAAACTAACTATGGCACATGATGTGCAAAACTATTTCGCTTACACAATCAAGATAATGAAACTTTCAAACCGTTAACAGTGGGTCTCGGTGATCAAGTGCGATGACGAGTTAATTATCTGTGGAGTTTCGACTCTAATCACCTCCATTCCATTATTTTAGAACCTATCTACCATATCCTCCCTAATTTCAGGTCTTCTAACCGCACACCTAACCCTGGTCCCCAACTCGTACCCTTCACCAGTGATGGGCGTACTATTTTCCGCAACTTTAACAGTTCAAGGGGCGAAATTCACCGCTTAACCCACAGTTTGGACAATACGAACTCGCGGGCGGCTACGACGAGGCGTTTTTGGTAGATGGCATTATTAACGTCTCTCAATTGGCGGACCCTAATACGCAATTCACCGAAGTAAATATGCGAAATTATAAATGGGCCACTAATCCCACCATTGAATTTTTGGTGGAAAAAAACATTCGCGACGAAATTCAGGAAGGCAACTACGTTATTACGGCCACGAAACCTACGGTGGTAAACGTGTTAGGGACGATTCTTAAGCTGAACTCTTCGAATTCCAAGGAACGGCTTATCCATGATTGCTCTCGACCACATTGGCATGCGGTATTTCAAATTTTGGTCACTGGATGACGCTATCAAACTCCTAAAACCTAACTATTTCATGGCTAAAATTCATCTCAAACATGCTTACCGGTCGATACCCATCAGCCCCGCAAATTATCAGGCTAAAGGCTGCAAGTGGCGGTTTTCGGTGGACGATTTTGATAGTTATTATTACGACACTCGCCTTCAATTCGGTGCTAAAAGCTCTCCTGAAATCTTCATCGTCTAACACAGGCTGTTCAACGCATGATGGGAAAGAGAGGTTTTGTGAACATTATCGTTTATCTCGACGATTTCCTTGTCATTGGTGCTACGCAAGCGGAATACACCCATGCCTGAAAAGTTTTGCCACAATTGCTGCAGGATTTAGGCTTTACTATTAGTCAGCGTAAACTCGTGCCACCCACTCGCACATCAACCTTTCTGGGTGTAGAACTGGATACAGTCCCGTGTAGCATGGCGCTTCCACAGGAGAAACTTTACGACTGCCAGACCATAGTTTCTAATTTCTTGCGTAAATGGCACGCTTCCAAAAATCAATTGCAGCGACTGGCAGGTGTGCAGAGTTGTTTACGGCGGACGTAGGTTTCTTCGCCTCGTCCTTGACACCATGAATTCCCTTCCCTTGGGTGCTAAGCATCGTTTAGCTCCCTCCTTTTACCGTGATATCGCATGGTGGTACAATTTTTATAAGCCTTCCTCCTACATAACCGACCAACGTGCTCTCTCGCAGCAGGGAATTATTTCCGGGGTGATTAGTTTTATTATTATTTATTTATTATTTATTAATCTCTCAAAGAAACTTTATATAAATGATAATCCTTTATTCACAATGATCTCTAAAAATATTTACAAAAATTATAAAATCCTTAAAAAAATCGAAAAATACATTATAAATCTAATAATCTAATAAAAATTTAAGAAAAACTAACGGATACACGCTTCGTTTAGGTTTACTTCTTGAACTTAAAAAAGGAGAAGATAATAAAACAATTATAATAATAATAATAATAATAATAATAATAGCAAAGTAAAGAATTTTTAAATTCCTGCTTGACCCTTCTCTATTTCTAGATCCCTGTCCTTAACATTCAAGTTTCTCCTTCTCGGGGTTCTCGATCCCTTAGGCATAGGAGCGTGCTCCGAAAAATTGCAAAGGACACTTTCGCCCTGACCCATGAAAATTGTTGTGGCGTAGCTCTCTTGCTACTCGCCAACCTCGTCACTTCTCCCAATCTTCTGCCTTGCCACCCACATAATGCTCAAGATAGGACCGTGAGCCCAGCGCAGCGCCCAGGTGTTTGCGCCCCTCGGTGGTGATGTTAATACCAGTCCGTGCGAACATTTCCTTTGCGCGACCTTCCTTTTCCGGCTTAACAACAAGCCAACACTTCTTGGGATTGGGATAATATCCAAGGGGCGAACCAGCCTGCCTCAACTCGTCCCACCATTGCTTGACCTCTTCTAGGGCGCCCGCTCCAGTAGCATCATCCGCGAACCAGCATTGCTTCGCAATGCTACGGTTATGAAGTAGCGATATTAGCGGTTGTAAGCTGATTGCATACATTGACATAGCTAAGGGATCTCCCTGTGTGGTTCCATCTGCAGATTTGAGTTCACTACCACCAACCACAAAAAGGCTCGCAGGAGCTCGATAAGTGTTGATTACATAGGTGGCGATCAATGGGCATAGCACTCTTGTTACGGGAAAATTTACTGACTTTTCCCGTGTGTGTTATTCGAAACATATTTATTCGTAAACTTTCACATTTAACCATTTCAAGTCCTTTCATTTTAATAAATCAAAAAATGCATAAAAACCACAGTAGCTTTTGAATAGATTTTTGTTGTTACTCGCTTTTACTATGCACCTGCTTGTCGGCACTTTTGTTATCTAGTACATGGGTTTTTTGGTAAATATAAGTGTTAATGGTCTTTCTGGAAACATTGGTTTTCATGGTAGATAGCAGCTGAGTTAATACGCGTAAATTTAATTTCTTTTCATGCGATGGTTTCCAAACCAATCTTGCATAGATAAGCAGAAACTTTTAATTGATTTTCCGTTTTTTATCTCCTGAGCTGCGCTGCTGCAATTACGATAGGTATTGTTTTCTATATCAGAGCTGTAAAATTCGCACCTAGGTTTCCTACTTTAATGGCCTAGAGTTTATTGCATCCGTCTTTTTAATTTTGAGATTCTTTCCGTCGTAGAAACAGATGGAATATTTAAGTAGTTTTCGTTTAACTTCAAAGAGATATTTTTTCCGCTCCTTTGTGTCCTTATTCAAATATTGCGATTTGTGTAACAATAGCACTTCACACCAGTTACTTTTTAAGCAAGTACCTTGTACAGATTTGATTATTACAAACTAGAGTATGCTAGAGGTCATGTCGCTTGTTGGCCTGACCTAGAATAAAAGTACTGTGGAACCAAAGATTGTCTTATCCTTGACGTCCGTATAAGCTCGCTCGAAGCAGATCTCCGTGTACAAGGAAATCGTGACGAGTTTCCGTTCTCGCTGCCAAGTCGTCTCTACAGAGTTATTTCCCCCAGTTGTTATTGTGCCGTCCGCGAAGATTCAGTCCTCCAGTTTGGGCGAGAAAAAAACTATCGTCACACTCTGATGTTATTCAGCGCAGCCACTCTGTTTAGTGAATTGAAGGCGTTTGAGGCGTCAACTAGTAAGGCAGCATCAGTTTCATCGGCTTTAAAGATACTGCGCATGGCATGTATTGCGGCTTCCCCTCCACTCTTCTGACCAGCGCACACTTGCATGACCCCGCTTGCGTTGATCACATCTTGTTTTGCAACTCTAGTGACGCATTTGCCTATTATTCTTCTAATCACTTCGCCCACGCCGATTGGGCGAACCTCGCCATTGCCTTTGTCAAGCGGAATAAGGAGACTGACTAAGATAGGCTCAATGGTCAGCGGATCAACAAATTCTGTGCAAAGCCTTCTTGTGAGTGTAGCAATGGACTCACATAGGTTGATACTTGATCTCTTAAAAGACTTGCTTGCCAAGATCCTCTTGAAACCATTGGCGTCCACACCCGAAGGGCCGCCAGACCCTTTAGTTCTCAATGCCGCTTCTCTCACAAACTCTCCATTGATTTCTTGGTACACTGAGTCAGGCATGTCTTCCACGGGCCCGAACAACAGTGACCCTAGTTTAGCTCTCTGTGCATCAGGGTGTGTTTCTCTTAGTTGCCTCACAACATCATCAGTCAGCGGTAATACTCCTCCACTATCATCCTTACTGAGATATCGTAGGGCCGAATTAATCTGGCCCTCCATGACCAGCTTTGCAAAAATGCGCGCTTTATTTGGTGGATCATTCTTGTTCGACCTTAATAAGCGCCGTTGGATCATTCTCCCTTCGCGTAATAGAGACTCGATCTCGCCATTTCTCCACCGTTTCTCAAGACATTCTTGATGTTTCTTTGCTTTTGACCGCTGACGAGGCTTTTGTAGTGCAGTAGCGAGGAGAACAATAGCGGCTTTTAGCGCAAGGTGTTGCATGGGTGATCTATTGTTCCAGTCGTCAATCAGCTTCGTTAACTGGTCAATAAAGTCACGACCAGTTTTACCATACGGGACCAAGAAGGTGTTTTTTCTCCATTTTGTTACTTCATTATACGCATCATCGTAGCAGTGGTGATTGTTATCATTCCCCCGTCGGAATCTCGGCCCTAGTTGAAAGATCCTGGCAATTTGACAGTCGCATAAGTAGGTAGACACTCAGGAACATCATCAGACACATCCGGCCAATCGCCCATTGTAACTCTGCTTTCCATTGGGATTTGCAGCGGCTCTGCGCTATGCAAATTCAGGCCTCTTGTTGGAGAATTAGCATTTCCACTTTTTCTATTTTGGTTGTTTTGACTTTCATTTTCAATATTTTCCTGACTAGAATATTCACTTGTAGATGTGATATTCCCCGGATCCTCGACACTTCTCTCTCTGATGGATAGATCTGTTCCATTATTTCTTATTTTCTCCAACCTCGATGCCTGGTCCCGTAGATTTTGGCTCTTAAATTGTAAATTATTGTACCCCATATCATCCCACAACTCCTTCATAACGTCAATATATCCTCTTTTCCTTCCATTCTCGTTGCAAGGAGGATTCTCTGAAGAAATAAGCTCCTGCCCTTTTTTCATGCACTCCAAAATATCCTTATTCATCTGTTCTGTCCATTTTACTTTCAGCTTCCTCGCCTGACTTGACATGGCATTCAGTCCTCGCTTATTTTGCCACGTGCTTTTAAATCAATTCTTGTAGCTTGCTGCTAAGATAGATGCATTTGAGAACTTTGATTTGTTAAATGAATTACTTTTACTATCGTCAAACCAACAGAACCCAAAAGTTGTGCCAGGCTATTGCGTATTTCTAATAATAGTAAAGAAACTTTAGCTATAATGAACGGTTTGCATCTTAATTATATCAGGAAATTACTAAGTATCGGTCTCAGCTCTACGCAGAATCCACTAAAGCAACTTACAAAACTCATTGCGACACCTACTTGAGGTTCTGCCTCTACGTGGGTTACACCCACTTGCTGCAATACACTGCTTTCTTAGCTCGTAGTTTTGAAGCTGCCTCCGTTCGAAGCTGCCTGAACATCATAGGTATTCTTCACAAGGAGTTTGGCCTGCCTTTTATGGCATGTTTCGGAAATCCCACCTTTTTACACGTGTCGCCGACTTCCTTTGACCCGCGTAAGCAATCAATTAGGGCTGATTTTAAAATCTTTCCCTGAGGTGTTCTCATAACCAGTCGTTGGAGTAAGACCATTCAGTTTCGTGAGCGCGTTGTAGAAATCCCACTTTCCCGCATTCCGCGCTCTCCATCATGTCCAACGGCGGCCATCGTCAACGCACTTCGCTTTACGGCGTCGGGTTTAGCACGAGCTCTCTGGTCGGTTGAACGCCAGCTTGTTCAAGTTTTTCCATATGAATCTTTTGTTTCTCTTCTGCACAATCATTATGCGTCGCTCGGCTTTGACCCAAAGCCTTTCGCGGGGCACCCCTTTCGCAGCGGTGGGGCATCATTTGCTTACCAACCCGGTGTTCCCTTTGAACTGATTGAGGCTCTCGGCGATTAGCGCTCCGACACCATTCTCATCTATTTAACCATGCCTTTGACAGTTTGCCTTCATTCCGCAAGCATGCCATCCTACGACATAACCCACTACATCCCCCACGCTAACTAACACTTCCACTACTCCTTTCCTCGGTTTGGACCGTTGGTTGAGCGAGTAATTTCTATTAATCTTACCGGTAAGTAAGCGTTGTAAATCGACTATATTAATTTCCCTTTACTATTCCTTATAACGTGTTCTAATTCTCAACCGTTTCTCGCGTAGCTTGACACTGCATCACGTAGTGCGTGACGCTTTCATAAATTAATCGTTTGCTTTTTCTCAAAACGTGAGCTTGGGACGCCTGTGGAACAACGAGAAATGTTAAATTCCTAAATTTCAACAGTGCCTACTGTTGTACAGTTATGGTGTCTTGTATTAAAAAAGATACGCTAAGTAAACAGAGCTTGTACACTGATCAATTCACAGGCCAGGTAAATGTATTAAATGTGCATCAAATTTTATTTCTTTACCGAACTTCGCCACTTTCTTTGCTCTCTGCTTACTTAGCGCTGTGGATATGTTACCGAATGCATAAGGTTCCGGTCCTGTCCTGTCACGTCAGATTTTTCTGAGTCTTGCTTTTTCTTTTCTTTTGTTTTTCTTTTTGTTTTCCTTTCAGTTTACATTCTTGTTCAAAGGATATGGTAGCTCTGTTCACAATAAAATGCACATGTGAGAACGTTTGACGATGTAGCTTTTAACTTCGAATGTTTGGGGGGAAAAAATTACGTGACAATTTTGAATTTCGTGATCATCTTCCGTCACAAAATCTACCGTCTGCCCAATATTCGTTTATCTTCGATCGTTTGTCGTGACATGTTGATATCTTTTATGTTTAATCAAAGTACTTGAGTTTCCAAAATATTTCCGGTTACCTGTGGTTTTTCCGGGAATTGATGAATATGTAAATACACACGAAAGGTCGTATCAGTTCCGAGAAATGGAAAATTGCTTGAATCACAAGAATCTAAAATTTATTTCTTTAACACAAACAGTATCAAAAATATGATAATTCGTATGGGCACTTAGGTTGTTATATCTCAGACCCGCGTTTCCTTAATGAGATACACGGTTAGTGAGTGTATTCGTAACTCAGCCAGCAAATAAAGAAAACAAGTTAAAAGCACGTGGTTGGTAAGTTTTCTCAGAAAAGCAATATTTTGTTTTTCCCGAGAACCAACATTCTGTGACGTAATTCTTGGTGATTCTATTTTATCGTGACGGAGTTGAAGTTTGTTGAGTTACGTAAATCTCAGTCCGCCGAAACGTTGTCGTCTCTACTCCGAAGCACCAAGCAAAGATAGTTGTTCACGCAGTGAAGTGCGATCGATGAATTACAGGTAAGTAGAATGATTGTCTACTCAATCAAGTAACGATATTCAAGTCAAGGTCTGAATGCAAATGAGACATTGCGGCTTGTCTGTTGTGAAATTATCGCTGACGATTCGTCCCTTAGATAAACAAACGAAGTGACTAGAAGATACTACAGGAATATGTTTTTGTCTGGAAGAAAATTAGTCATCCAACTTCGTTATTTGAAAGCCGACTCGATAATATTCACCCGTCAAATAAATACCACTTCCTCGTCAAGAGATGTTTACTTTGTGGCAATGGCGTAGAGAAAGCGAAAAGCGAAAAGTGCACCACGGAGCGATTCTCACTGATTATAGAAAGTAAGACAAGATCAGTTCCGGATGAAAAGGTAAAAACACAGCTAGACCAAAGTTATCTTAGAGCACAAAGAAATTACGCCATTTTGCTATTTTATTTCACTACAATGTTTTCATTTAAGTAGTCACTTCTCTGGAATTTAAATGTGACTCAAACTAGTTGGGGCTTGCCTTTTCTTGTAGCCACATCAACCCCGTAGGCTTCTTACTCACCTAGAATGTAAATTTTCAAATTTATAATAGTGGTATGCCTTTTTACCACGGGTGAGTTGTTCAGATTCTTGTGTTTGTCTCGATGCCGTGAAACAACATTCAAGTTGTAGGTGCCGTCATAATCCGCTCCCTTGAATCATAATTTTACGCTAGCGCTAAGCGGCAGACCGTCAACAGCATTCAAACTCGCCGTCAGATTATCGCTTCTGTTCAGTGTAAAAAAAAAAAAAAAAAAAAAAAAAAAAAGCTGTCGAGATGACTCTATTATTTAAAAATTCTTGGCTACCTCATTCTGGCAGATTTAACAAAAACTCATGCAGTTTTTCTTCCTTTACCGCAGCGTTCAAAAGAATAGTCCAGATAACTGAGATTGACATTTCGACATGCCTCGTGGTAAAAGACGCAAAAATAAAGGGAGAGAGAGGTGAAGTATTGCTATTCATTTGTTATTAATTTTGTTTGATCAATGAATTGTTGATATTTAAATAAAGACTTGCACAGACAAATTCTCTCTGGTATGTTTTGGCTTCACCGAGATGTTGCTACGCTTGATCAACCTGGTATGTTACTGTTGACCTATATTATTTTTAAGGTATAAATATGCAATCAGGAAAGGTCGAATTAAGGAGCAAACCTTTGAGTGGAATGAGACGTTAGAAATTAGTCCAGTAATTAGACTATATTCACCACAGTCTCTGCCATTGCTTAATTAACACTCTGGGTATAAATCTAACTATTATAATATGCATTACTAGAAGCGCTGACTCACTGCAGCAACCGAGAGATGTGGTACCAGTTCAGGCGGAAATTGTGAGTTTTATTTCACTTGATCAGTCTTCATCTTGCACACGCCTTGCGAAAGCGATTTTCTTTTTTGCTAAATAATGGCAATCAAAAATATGGGTTACTGTATCAGATTCTCTGTCCTTCCACATATCCATGCTCTTGCCTTTATTAATTATCGGCCTTCGATGGATTCCTGTAGTTCTATAAAATGTCTGGAAATCATGATCAAATTCACTCAATGGATAATTTCAAATACGAGGAGCTGTAACTTAAATGTTGAAACTGAATGAACTTAATTTGTATATCCAAGTAACTTTAAGGTAAAGGTGAAGATATTCAAGCCAGTTTAATTTCTCTTGCTTTGACGTAGAAAGGTCTGCCCAGGTCAGAACACTCTTGCACAGCTTCGGGGAAATCGCTTACCCAGTCCACTAAAAATTAAGGGGGAAAACATTTTTTAATTACTGATTAAAACACACAAAAAGATATTTTGCTTGCTGTCACTGACGTGTATTACCTCCGTCCTACCAAATCGCTAGTTTAGATAGTAAAGTAACCACATGTTTTTGGAATGGTGAAGTCCCAATCATATTTTTCAAAAGCTACAAAACTTGTACTCATTGTTGTGACCTAGGCTCTAGAAATATTTCTAGTCCTTCGTAAATCCCTCTAGAGCCAATAACGTATTTAAAAATGAATAGTAATAATGAGCGGTTAGAGTATGAATCAGACTTTACAAATAGGATCTTATTCGGCCACTTACCTTGATAATGTTCCTCGTCAAAACGTTGCTGGAGTAGCTTTCATATAAAGATCTTCGGTTTTACAGCAACTTTCAAACTATAGCTCCCAATATTTTATTTTTTCACTGCCTTTTCTAAATTTTTCACTTCGCGAGAAGATCCTAAAAGTTTTGAAAGCGAAAAGTTTCATTGATTCCCTACAGGATACAACCACATACTTGGTGAATATGGATCAAAACTGCTTAAAAGATATCCAGCTTAGAGTTATGGCCTTGATGGAAAGAGCACTGTTTTTCCGTTTTAGGGTAATAACTTCCCTCCGCTATTTGTTTTCAGTCACTTATTATTATGATCATGATCGCTATCGTTGTCATCGTTACCATCATTGCCATTATCATTATTATAACTATTATTGATATGTGAAATACTCTCTCCCCTTCAAAACCCTTAAGATGAAGGAGAAAGCAAGTTAAACAGTAAAGGTGGTATCTTTCTTCTTCGATCATGTAGGGTAGGCCTGATTTATCTTTTGAAGAAAGCAAGGCAGGTATGTGCACACATTTTAATTTGTTTAGGCACACTTACTTGTGGTCTGCAATACATTTTATGATGATCATCGCGTTTCCCTTCAAAGCCGAAACAGTAAAAATACACTTACTTATTACCTGGGCTAGTTGTTCAAAGCTGGGCTTAGACAAACCAGTGTTAGTTTGAAATATGATTTCAGATCTGAAAGCTTAAAAAAAAAATTAAATGTAATTTTTTTTGTCGATAATTTGATGATCAGATGCTCCATTTAGAATAGAGAATATGATTTCAAGAAGGCTTTCGAACAAAGGCTTAAAGAAACCCAGATTAAAATTTAACCTTAGGTTACCGCTAATCGGCCTTCGAACAACTGAGCCCTGGTCTTTTTGCAAATATGATCGCTAAATTTGCTCCAACCTGTCCATTTTCAAGATAAAGCCTGTAAAGTGTAAGTTGCAAGCTGCACGACATTCGAATCGATTACTGTAAACTTTCTCGAACTTTGAGAACTATGATGGATTGAGATCGCATTTTAAGTTATTTCATGTACTTTTGTTCAATATCAGCTCTAAATCTGAGCAAAGAGAAAGCTTTTCAAGATGGAATTTGTGGTGCCACCCTGCTAATGTTAATCACCCTAGAGGAAAAAGGTGACATAGAAGCTGCTTTTCTACTTGCCGTGTCCTTAAAAGCGACTCATTTCGAGGTAAATGCAATATTTTTTTTAAACAAGCATAGCTCTTTGCAAACCTTTAAATCAAGCTGCATCTGTGCCATATAATATTTGAAAAGGTTTGACAAATATTACCTTGCTAAGTCCCTCTTGATCAAGGAGACTGATGTAGGGAAAACTTGTCATCGAAAAGGAAAGTAGAAAAGGCTGAAGAGAAATTCTAGCTTTGCAAATTTCTTTTGTGAAGCTCACGAGTTTCCTGCTGTGATAGAGCCGATTGCAAGAGACCGCTTAGCATCTTGTGCTCTTTGGCGCGAAGCAATTGATAATCTATAGGCCAACATCAACACCACAGATATTTTTCGCTTTTGGAAAAAAAGCGAATAAATAAATGGATGATGTAATTAATGAAATCACAAATCAAAAAATCACTAAAAACTCTTTTATCTTTTTTGAAAGCTTTCTAATTCCAGTATCGGGCAAAATTTTGTATCTCTCCGGTATAAATATTCTTGCTCCACTAACCTGAACAAGAAATAGAGTTTTTGAGAATAGCCTTAAGCTTGTTCTCTGTGTGTTTGTGTATGTATTACTCTACTGGGCGCAATTTACGTAGAAGAGTTGAACTATTTACTCGACTTTATTCGACAAAATCATTCGTGCTTGAATACCTTCTGAGAGTTAAGACGCTCAGCCGATAATGGCTGAGAACCAAATTGTTATCTAGCATAATCCGAATAACTAGTCTCCTTGTCGTTTTATATTTCAGGAAGTAAAGGCTCATGTTCGAAGGCTAAGAGAAATGTTGAAAAGAACTCTCGGCCAGGTTTGTTTACCATGAATGGAAACTTCACAATAATGTAAAAAAAAAAACTTTGCAGTTGCTTCAATAACTACCCAAGTAACTGTACATATTGAGCGTTCCCTTGCAAGAATAAACAACTCTTCTTAATAACTTAAATTGGGTTCATCTGCGCTTACCGGAAGAAGGCTACTGACCTACTAAGTCGATTGATACACAGCCCTGGTAGCAACCCAACTTCCTCATGCTTTACATATATTTGGAGAACTTTTGGCAAAAATTTACAGTTAAGAATATATATGAAAGTCATATGTTTGAACTGTGGATAAAGACGTGAATATGAAGGTGATCCTCGCAGTAATGTACATTACTTGAGCTGTAGGGAAAGTAAGGCCTTATTTTCACTACTGCTCAAGTAGAGTACATTACTGCGAGGATCACCTTCATATTCACGTCTTTATCTGCAGTTCAAATATATATGACTTTCATATATATTCTTTGCCGTTTATTCATCACTTCATGGGTTTATTTGGAACCAACATAATGAACAGCTCCCAGTTGGCTTGTTATCTCAGTTGATAGAGCGCTGCACCAGTATCACAGAGGTCATGGGTTCAAATCCCGTACAGGCCTGAATTTTTTTCCAGGGCCTTAATTTTACTACTGCTCAAGTAGTATACATTATTGCGAGGATCACCTTCATATTCAAAACTATTCCAAATATTTTTTTCGAGGGTATCGTCTACACGGCAGTAGACAATTATCATCTTATAGAAACCCAGAACTCTTTGTCAATCTCTGAGCTACACCTAGAGCTATCACAGCAACTGACAAAATAACCTTTGGTTAACTAAACTTTCTAGTTTCACAATTACTTATCACTACTATTCTAATATTTAGCAAATAATTTTAATCATAATTGTAATCAAAGAATTCTAATAATTTGATTTAAGTTAATTATATTGAGTGAATTAAAATCGTTTTCCCTGTTCCTGTTGTTAATCTTGTTTCCAATTAGTCATCAGTAAGATATTAAATTATAAGCGTCTTTTAAATTACTTCTTTGCTTTTTGTTTCGCAGAGCTTCAAGCTGGCACAGGACTTAAAGAATGATCTTATGTCCTCTGGAATTGATTTTTTCGAAAAAGGCTCTTTTGGGGAAGCTGTTGAATATTTCATTGAAGTTGTTCGTCTCTTCTGTGTGTTCAATCGCGAGGTTCATTTTTATCTAGCCAGATGTCAATTTAGATTGGTGAGTTTCGATGATGCTGTCTCTGAATGTCCTCTTTAGCTTATGATGGATTTGTTTATCACGTATTAATTTTTTGTGGCACTTCCATTTTTCCATAGTTAGCGATCACGTATTTGTCCAGTCACATTTTCATTTCATTTTCAACTCTTTAGGCTCATTTGGTACTTTTATTTTTAGAGAGTAAGAAGCAGGAAAGTTGCGAGACAAAGAAAAAGGGAAATTGTGAAACCGTGCATTGAAATTTGGTGGATTTTTTTAGTTTAACATGCATGCTATCGGACGAAAAATTCGAGGTTCTTAATGAGCAATCTTATCAATAATACTTAAATAGAAACTTATAGATTTACTTATATATCAACTTATATATCAACCAATAAACCAACTCATATACCAGCTTACATATCAACTTATATACCAACTTCCGTAGCTCGCAACCCCCTCCTCTTCCCGAGCCACTCACCACCCCCACCTTTCCCCCAATAAAATATTTTAAATGATGATTTTCGCGCAGAACATAAAGCTATCTATGATAATTATCACTGACATTCTTGTTAAGTTTAATCTATTCCTTTTGTCATCCAATAGGGTGAGAATTTCAAAGCAAAGGAGAACTGCCAGAAAGGTAAGCATCCTGTCGGTTGATTCACTGTGTGGTCTCTGTTATGTAAATTATCAAAAAGGCCCTCAGCAATACGTCTCAATTATAACCGATACCTGTCTTCTGGCAGTATTGCAACATCACCCTGATGATCACGAGGCAAGAAACCTCATGGACAGCATTGATGCCATTATCCCAACACAGAATAAAGATCAAAAGAGTACAAAGAAAAGAAAGTCAACACCAGTGAGTATTACATTTATATGTAGGTCAAGACATTATTTTCTCTTGACTTAGGTTCTATACCTGTAGCCTACAGAATGTAAGGTCCGATAGCCGAGCATTTTAAAAGTCAGCCAGTCAGTCAGTCAGTCAGTCAGTCAGCCTGTGTGTGTGTGTCTGTCATTTTGTGAATTACTTGGTTGGTCGGTTTTTCCAGTTACTTTGTGAGTTACTTGGTTGGTCAGTTTTTCCATCCCCTAGTTATATAAGTATCTCAAAAGGTCGTTTTCCAGTCGATCAGTCAATCATCATCAAAAAACAAAAAGTCTGGCTTAGTCTGGATTGTTCATTCTATCACATCCATTTAAGTCAAAATCTTATGGATTAATTTAGCGAATGAGTGAATGAGTACATGCATTGGTCGATTAGATAACAAGGCCACAAGTCAAGGGATTCAGTGTAACAAACAGTACGTAGTCAATTGGACATTTGATAGATGGTCTGACAGTCAGTTAATCTGCCAATCACGTTCCAGAGGATTTTAATTTCCTAAATGACCGATCGATAACAACGTTCACCTCCACGTAAACTCTTTTATTTTCTTTTCAGGTATCTGATGCTACACCACCTGTTACAGTTGTCCCAGATAAGAAATCTGTACGTGTCGTTTTGATAGACCAGAAGTACTAGAAAAAGTTATAAATTAATAATAAGAAAACTTGTGGCTTCAGGTGATTTCACAAGGTCAACCTGCCCATAGTGATAGTTGTTGACTATAAAAGTTTCATTGTTTGATCAAAGAGAAGCAATATAACTTCTCAGTGATTGGATTATCCTAATAAATAAGAGCCAAACCACAGCCTACGGTTCCTGGATCATGGAGGATAACGTTTGTAATAGATAATGCCCTTTAATGTACTTAGGTTATGAACAGAAAACAAAAAATGTGTGAGGAACATCGCCGAATTAAAGTAAGTAGCTGCTTTTTTCACTATCGCTATTTCATTTTTACTTTAATGATGGAACGTGTACAGCTACCTTTTCTCATAAAGCTTTGATTTTCGATTTTCGTATTAGAAAACTATCCCAATGACAGTCGTTAACTTACTTATGTCTGACTGACAGACTGTTAGACTGACCGACCGATTAAGTAACTGACTGATTTATTGATTTATTGAATTTTTCTTTAGGAGATTGAAGAAATTGGTACTGAAATCAAGCAAAAAATAGAAATAGATAAGGAAAGTGAAGAACAGAAGCAAGACGGGGTTAGTCTTTCCTACATAGATATCCTTATATTTATCATAGCTAACAAGGGAAACATCCATTATAATAACAGTGTTTACTGTTACAGTATGGATTTGGTACGAGTGTTATGTTGACTACCGGTTTTGTTAGACTTGTCCTCTTCCATAGCCTTTCAACTTGACCTCGTTTTAGTTGTTAGCTCTTATCCGTTTTTATTACTATTGCGAATCCAGGTCAACGCTTAGAAAACCTGGTTTTAGCAAAGTTTGTTGTTATAGAGGGCAATTCATCGTAATTTGTATTTTGCTCTTCTATTCATTTCTCACAACAGAAAAAGAATTCATTCGATGGAGAAAAATCACTTCCTTCCTACGATATCAAATCAGGTGGATATCATTTGAAACAGCTGTAGTTTTTCATATCTGTTTAGTACGATGATAATTAAGTATTACTGTTCATTTCCCTGAGCTGTTCTCGCGAGGCTGCCTACTCGATTTATTTATTTATCTATTCTTATACTAAAATATAAATCCATTTTCGGAGAGTAGTGTGGTGGCTTCCGGGAACGCCACTCCACAGCTCAATTATAGCGTTTCTATTCACCTTGTGGGTCATCTTTCAGGGTATAACAGGATCCGGTTTTCATGGGGATGCAGAAAAATATTTGTTAGCTAAAGCGCTCATAGGTATTTTGGGAGCACGATTTCGAATCCTGTCAGAGTTGAAATTTTATTTAAGCATTTCTTTCACAACTGGTCATGTTTTGAAAGAGAATGAAAGAAGATGTCAAATAATTGACACGAGCATGAGCCAGATAAGAGTCTGAGTTAACTTTGAGGATATAAAACCATAGCCAGTTCCAATTACGTTTCCGAATCCTCTGCTACTTGAATAGGGCCCATGATTGCAATGTTATCCATTCTTTTTTACCGTGAATTGAAATTTTGAAACTTTTCCTTTTTTATCATACACAAGCCATGGAGGCGTCAAGTTTTAAAAGAATGAGTAGTGATAAACAGCCTCACCTCCAAGGTACGTCTAACTTTCAGCTTCACACTTTTGGTCTGTTTGGTTTATACCGGAAACCTATGGCAATAATGCGCATGAGGATTCTTTGCAGATGTTTTTTTTTTTACCTTCCTATTGCTGTGTATTACTGACATAAAATATTCATTAAATTAAGCTGTCGAAAGTCCATACTTGGTATATTCTTGACAACATATCTGATAAAAGCAATCACAGGTTCAAGGGAAAAGGTTTTTGGAATTATGTTAGTGTTCAAACAGTCACGCTTAGTGCCATGATCTTTTTACTTGAGTTTTCACAAGGCTAGTGAAATTGTTACTCGCCTGAGTTATTTTTGTCGTTATGTCTGACAACAGTACGTCTTTAACGGCTTTAATTTAAAACGTTATTATGGTAAGAAGAAAGTGTTATTTAGCCATACATAATTATCTTTTCCATCTTCTCAGCCGCCATTGCATCAGGTGCAAGACCAAAACAGCGTAAAGCCAGCGAAGGATCTGGAAAGACCAAGGTTACCAATGGTAAATGTTGAAAAGAGACAGATTCTTCCATTGCCCCTTGCGTTTATAACATCCAATCATAAATATTGGTCGAAAAATTTCTATTTGGCTATCGTTACCATCTGGAGAAAGTGCGATAATGTAGCCTTGTTCTATTGAATTAGTTGAAAGAATAGTTTACATGGCCGAGGTCAAGAGTTATAAATGGCGTGGTCGACATATAAACGCCGTCACTTAAATTTGTTACTTTTTGTTCACGCTTATAAATTTACCTACGAGATAAAGATAAACTAAGATAAACTAGAGAAACGAGACATAAATTGGCCATAATTACAATGTCATAACTTATCTATGAACAGCTGAAGGTGATGAAGGTCATGAAGGTCGTAAAAAAAGACAAAAGGCCATCGATAAACATCAAGAATCCTCAAAAGGCCAGAGAACGAGCTCAGCTGCAGAAGCCATCAGGGACTGCAAACACAAGAACTTAGGCATTTACCAAGGACAAAAGAAAAAAGAGGAATGGCAGGTAAATGAAAGCCAACGGATAGCGGCGAAAGCTAGGCAGACATTCAGAAAAGACTGCTCAAATCAAGGTTTTGCTGCAGCAACAATATGTACCCTTCCCACCAGAGCTAATTCAGAAACATCTGTTGAAACGAAACCCTCAAAATCTCAATGGGAACGTCTTGAGGAAATTTCTTCTTTGCAAATCCATCGCACCTTAAATTTCGGAGAGGCATCACAAAAAGAGTCTCTAACAGCCACGGCAGTTAATAGAGAAAAAGGGGCTCAAACCATTGCTTCCGACACATTATGTAAGAATGGATCAGTTCAGCAGTCGACAAAGATACTTCCAGAGGGTGTATCTAGAATTTGTGCACATTTTATGCAAGATAATAGACGAGGGCAAGCCTTCCAGCTTCCGAAACCTTGTCTCAGGTGTTCAAAGGATTCCTCAAAACATTTGTATGGAGTTTGGAGAAGTTCCAAAAAAGAATGGCAGGTTATGAGACCTTACCCAAAGGAGGTGAGCGCGAAAACTCCTTTCCGACCATGTTGGTACTTTATCGAGGGCCTTAAGTGTCGAAACGATCCTTGTACCTTTGCCCATGGCCAGAAGGAGCTAGAGTTCTGGACTATGGAAAGAAAATCAGGTAAGTTAACGGTTCATGTTGAACAATACCGTATGTTCAATAAAATGTCTTGAGCAATATTCTCCCCATACGATATTTACAAATAATTTGATTAAATATAATCGACTCCACGTTTTTTAAATTTTTTACAGACCAGGTCTCCTTTCGAAAGACTTCTATGGATCAAAAAATACAAAGCAAAGATTATCGCGCAAACCTCGCTAACCCTCGGGAACGACTTGAAGAATCGTCCATCATTCCTAACCACCCAAGACCTCCTCCAACAGGAGTTTACTACGGAGAATTTCAATTGTGTAAATGGTAAATGGTAAATCGAATGCACTTCATTAAAGACAGCATACAATTAAAAGTTAAACATGATGAAGCAAATTTTTCAAGCGCTCCTTTTATTTTTCGGCGACGCCTTCATTTACTTTCGAGTGAATTAATTACGAAATACACGGCCTATGACATATTTATTACAGAGATGTGCTGTCTGTGAGATGAAGAAAATATCTTCACCACGCCTTGTTTATGTATTATCGAAGACCAACTGATTTTGCTTGCAGTCCCTAATGTTAAACCGGAATAAAAAACAAGGTTTGATATGTAATCTCACTAACACACTCCTCTTGTTGCACCTTAACACTCTATTAACCGACGTAGATCAAAGGTTTCCTCACTCTCTTGATCCTCGTCTCTCTCTATAGCTTAATGCAAGTTGAAGCAATCATCACACAATTGGTTAGGATCTTGTAAAGTCCGTCGTCAGTTCCCCTACTTCAGGAACAACATAATTTCATTTAAGGTCTCCTTCGTGATCCTTGGGTCTAGAAATCAAAATTAGTGACAGCAACAATCTTGGAGAGTCTCGTATCGGCTAAGATAAATCTCTCACTGTGTCAATTTTTTTTATTGAATTCTATTAAGGTGGAATTCTGGTCAACGGTGTAGATATGGAAGATTTTGCACCTACGCTCACGGAGAGGAAGAACTGAAATCATGGATGGAATACAAGAACGAGGAACAAGAAAATGAAAGCGACGAGGAACAAACATTGGACAAAACAGAAAGGGAGGAAGCCATACCAAGAAGCGAGGTGCCATTATTAACACTGTCATTGACATTGTCATTGTGATTGTCCTTGACATTGTCATTGTCATTTCCAAACGCCGTTGCTGTTGCCTCTATTATTTTCATTGGTTTTTCTGGCATATTTCATAATACTGTGCTTCTGTGGTATTTTATTCGAGAGGTTTACGAATCTGCATAGCGTACTAAAACTTCGAAATTATTCAATGTATTTAAAAAGATTATTAGTGACATCATCATTGGGAACTGAAGATGACATGAGAATGTTCCCAACCCTTCCTCCCCCCCTAAAAAAAAAGTTAGAAAATGGTTGGAGCACATACTGTATGGTCAAGTAAACCAGTAACCCTCAATTTCATATACCATAACAAGCTCTCTTGGCTCGCCTTTAAACCTATCGAACTTAGCCTTTTTGGGTTCTGATGTTTTTGATGACAAACTGGTCTTGATAAACTTCATAATTACTCATTTCCTCTCTCCGGTAGATGGTGTACAGTCTACCTGGTGTCACAGTCTCTTGGAACAAATCCCCTGTGGTAAAGATCATACCACGTGACGATGATCACAGTGATAACTGCAGATATGAATGGATATTTACAGTCACATTTGAGGTAAATAACCAATAAAAAATAAGCTCTATTCCTCTCCTTTCGAAGATGAAAAATAAATGAAAGAAATGTATGCAAAAAATAACGCCACAACCCGTTGTGGCTTTGTTTGTTTGTATCATTATTGTAATCATTGGTTTATTTCAAGTAATGAAAGCTTTGAATATTTGTTTTAACCGTTATCAGATAAGTCAAGTTGGAAAGTTGCGCCAAATTGACCTCCTTCATCGCTACCACGACTGCTATCGGCTCACTGACGTTAAAGGTTTCGTAAACAACAAATTGATTTTCCAAGAATTATCTAAACAGCCCTGGTATTACACTCTCCCGTGGCATTCTGATGACAGAAAGGGCCGAATGGAAGTAGTCATTACTGTCTCTTTCAATACAACAAAGCTCAATCAGACGTTTACACAGTGCCTCAGGTTTGACTTTGGGAAAAAACCGTACCTATTACAAGGATTAAACGTGGACATAGCAAACAAGGATGCACTGAGGGGTGTCTCAGAGATAAGACAGCAACTTCAGCTGGATCCCACTGTGTGGAAAGAGGGGTCAATAGATATCGTACCTTGGCCAGAGATCACTGACACAGGCCATCACGATGTGCTGTTGCTGGAGAAGTACCGACTGCCGGAGAGAATTGAGAACGTCATTTCGTTACAAATAGTCGAAAGAAAGCTTAGCATGGAAAACTACAAACGAGTAATGCATCAATTGTTGTTTACTGAAGAGCTTTTCAGGAAAAAGGCTATTTCAAGGTGTGAGGACGAGATGAACTATGTATTTCTTATGTTATATGTTTTCCTTTGTTACGTACTTTCCTTTGTCAGCCCCGCTTTGTCGTTTGCACCGAAGAACTGACTGAAGAATAGGGGTGTTAGGGAAATATCTCAGTTTTTCAGATAATACCATCACTCGAGTATACTTAAAATATGTCTAAAACGTCGTCTCTCTAATTTTAAGTGACAAAGCATCATCTGAGTTTAGCTGGGTCGTCAGTAAATCGACGATACCAATTCATTCTTTTCTTACAACTATCTCAAAGTTACTTGTTATCTTTGCAATCCGATCATGTCCAAGGTGATTAGCAGGAATACAACTAGAAATACAAAATGCCAATAGCTTTAATGAGCCAAGAGCTTATTCATTCTCTTTACTTTCGAAATCGTGTGATTTCAATTTTTTACCATCAGTTAAAATGAAAAAATCGTATGTATCGAAATTCGTTTGGTAAGCAAGATATCCCTTTTTAAACGAAATCAAAACAGGAAACGATCTTCTTTTTTTTTTCACAGGTATTGCCTTGATGATGTGCTTCTGCAATGCAAAAGTAGTGTTTCTGACGGAAGATCTGGATTTGCATATGCTCCAAAGGGCGAATTGTTTGGCATTTTGAGTTTCCAGGAGCGTGGACTCCATTGTCTGGAAGGCGCTGCAAGAAGGCTTCTTACCAGAAATGTACAATATTCCTTGCTTAAGCCGACCGGGAGCGATTCAAAGAAAGTGTACCAAGTTAAGGTAGAAAATGTCGAGTTCCAATTAGGGTGCATAACCCTTCACTTGTCTCCTACATTTTGTGCAGAACTTTTTGTAAAAAACGATGCGTGCGTATCAGTTGATGCGCAATTACAGCTCAATCGGCAACCTCTCTGCGAATGGCACGACACAATCGATAAACTGGGTCCCGTCCATCTCAATTTGTTGTTTCCAGGCAAGAATACAGCGCAAGTCAGTCGAGAGGTTGGTATACTATTATTGATTTGAAACTTTGAAATGCAAATACCATTGTTTATAAATAGGCCATTTCCGAATTACCTTTTGCCTCTTTTTCAAAACGAGGCCTGGTACTCAACTATTCCTTTGAAAATTAGTTTAATTTGCATGCGAATAAAAAATTGTAATCATGTGAAAGGATGAGCAGCAGGACCCTCTTTTAAAGTGAGGCGAACGGTAATTCGGAAATAGCCTATGGCGTTGATGTATGAATTTGGAAAATTATTTGGGGAAATATCTGTGCTCTTCTTTTTTCCACTTGAATAATCTCTTGCATCATTAAAGTGAGTTTAGCGAGGTACATTTTATGGCATTATCAAGTCAAAGATTCTCGAGTTTTAGAAATGGGAACTTGCTGAAGGACTAGTGTATTCCAGGAGTGGTGGTCGCCCGCCATCGCATTGAGAATCGTTTCTGCACTTCAGGTTCTGGTGAAAACAATTTCTGCGAACAGAGAGATATTAACAATAGTGCTCGAATCTCACGATCCATCTCAACCAAGAAAATCCCGGTGATGCAAGGCCGCCGTTTCATCAAGGCTGAAGGTCGGAAAGTGGATCGGAGTAACTTAATTAACATTCCGCGTGTCAACACAACCGACAAAACATCCACCTCTAAATCAAAGGGTTTCGCTGTCCCAAAATGTTTGTTTACGAACATTTGTGGTTTGTCGAAAACAAAAAATCGTGTACGAGCACCTGTGGCGCTTGAGGCTGACCTGAGATCTCAGGATATTGATGTGTGTATTGTCAGTGAAACTCATCTTTCCACTAATATGCCGGACGCCGTGGTGAATATCCCAAATTACAATGTGTTCAGGCGGGACAGAGGTTGGGCAGACTTGGACAAAAGGAAAAAAGGGGGTGTTGCGGTCTATGTGAGAGACAGTCTTAAAGTCTTGGATGTCTATCGGTCCAATTTATATGAATTTATTGCTCTAACAGTGCAGTTGCCGTCCGATCACATTATGCTAATTTGCGGCCTGTATAATCCTCCCAAGCATAGCTACCGGGATCTCGATTTAATTAATTATATAATATCTTTTGTGGACATTGTGTTGAACAAACACCCAGAAGCGGCTATTGTCTGTGGTGGCGATGTAAATCGTTTGGATATGCAAGAATTTAAGGCTTTGTCTGGCTGGGATTTCGTGGTTGATTTTCCCACGCGGGGTAACGCGTGCTTGGATAACTGTGTGACCAACCGAGCGGATCTGTTCGGTCAAGCATATTCCATACATATGCTTATTAAGACAGACCATGAAGGCTTTGTTTTACCGGCGGGATTAAAGCTTAAACCTATGCGCCGCAAAGTTCTTGTGCGGGACTGTAGGGAACATCGGAAACAGTCATTTTATATGGCACTCACTGCGCTGGACTGGAGTGACGTCCTCAATGAGGTGGACATAAACAAGGCGGTCGAGGTGCTTGAGGTAAAGATTCGTGCAGTGATGAATAAGTTTATGCCGCAAAAATCTGTACGCATGTCATCGCGTGACCCAGTTTGGATGTCCCCATTAGTCAAGTGTATGCTGAGGAGTAAGTCCCATATATCTTCAAAGAATAAGGAACGCCTGTCTTTATTTAATAAGCGCATTTCTGAGCTGATAACCGAGAACAGAAGAAAACTGGCTGCCATTGGTAGCGGTGAGTGGTGGAAGGGCGTGGACGCCCTATCGCAGCGTCGCAGGTCATCGTTGATAAATTTGGACTCTCTAGTTCGTCTGAACGACTACTTCGCCAACCTGTGCTATGATGACACTTACGTTAGACCTAGTGATATGGATATCCCGGACAGTGTAAAGCCCCCGAAAATATCTGAGCGGTGTGTCTGGAATACCTTAGTTCATGTAAAGAAAACCGCAACGGGACCAGACGAACTCCCGTACTGGATCTGGAAAGACTGTGCTGAGCTACTCACACCAATCGTCACTCACGTTTGGAATCTGTCGCTGTCTACTCATACATGGCCAGACTCCTGGAAAAGGGCAAATGTTAACCCTCTCCCCAAAGTGAATATGCCTATAGAGGACTCGGACTACCGTGGTATTAATGTTACTCCCGTTATTGCCCGGTTGTTTGAGAAGGTCGTGTATCGTACACAAGCACAGTCAGTCATTGAGAGCAACCTGAGCCACACCCAATTTGCATATAGACAGGCGGGTAGTTGCACAAATGCCTTGCTCGCTATCCAGCACCAGACATACAAGTATTTAGATAGTAGTGACTATAGCGCAGTGCGAATTTTTACCATGGACTTCAGTAAGGCTTTCGATTTTGTGAACCATGCTATTTTGTCTGCCAAACTGAAACAGCTACCTCTAAATCCGTACATTATCAATTGGTATCATAGTTTCCTCTATGCAAGACAACAGCGTGTTGTTAGTTATAATTTTTTAGGACAGTGGAAACTTGTCAATAGAGGAACCACACAAGGTAGTGTAAGCGGACCGTATCTTTTTAATATATTTTTGAACGATTTGGAGATTTTTTTTTAATGGTTGCCCTGTGCTTTTTAAATATGCCGATGATTCCACTATTCTTTCGCCTATCACTAGGAATAGTGACCCGTCTGCCGACTTAGTAGGACAGTTCTTAACATGGTGTAAAGACAATAGAATGGTCTGCAACCCTTGCAAATGTAAAGAGCTGGTTGTTAGAAAGAAAAATCATAATGTACTCTACTCTCCAATTAATAATATTCCCCAATGTAATAGCTTCGTTTTATTAGGAGTAACTTTACAGAGTGATGGAAAATTTGATGAGCATGTAAGAACTAAGCTTGTCAAAGCAAACAAGTGTTTACACGTCCTACGAACTTTGAGAAAGGAACATTACTCTCAGGCAGAGATTGATCATCTTTTTATATCGATTGTTTTGGCTAATTTTAGCTATGCACTTTCAGTCTATGGGGCATCTGAGTCCGATCTTACGGTTGTACAAAAATTTTTAGACCGATGTCATGAACGCGGTTTTATCTCATTTCCAGTTTTTATCAAGAACCTTTTAAACAAACAAGACAGAAATATTTTGAAGAAACTAAAATCAACGGATTGCCACCCCCTGAAAGATATCATTCCTGTCCAAAAGACATATCTACACAATCTCAGGAAAAAAGGCTGCGCGCGCCCGAAAATTAATACACAGCGCTTTATGAACACATTTGTAAATAGGTTGATATTTAAGCTCCATTTATTGTAATGATATACTTTTTAATTCATAATATGTATGTAGATTTCTGTAGTTTTTTCAATTCATTGTAACATAAGATATGTAGTTTTATCTTATGATGGAATAAAGACTTATATATATATATAACAATAGCGTGAATCTTTATATAGAATATGTCAAAGTTGGAAATAACTCCCATATGTTTATTTTAATGATTTCCTCTTGACTTGAAGGATATCTGCCCTAAAAACTGGCTTTCTTTGGACTCCAAAATCAACGACAGCCAAAGAGAGGTAATAAATCGCATTTTATCGCCTCAAAACTCATCGTCGCCACTGGTAGTCTTCGGACCATTCGGAACTGGAAAGACATTCACCTTAAATCAAGCAGTCCGTCAATTGGTAACAAGGAAAAGCAACCACATCCTCCTGTGTACACATACAAACAGTGCAGCTGATATACATGTTGAACTGTTACACGACTACTTAACAAAACAAAAAGGACTTAAAGCGGGCAGGCCTTTGAGGATTTATCACGCAGAGAGAAGGTAAAAAGTAAAGCAATCCTTTCCCTAACCATTTTATGCCTTAGAGCGTGAGTGTCTCTAGCTGATGGACCATTTTCGATCAATATTTATGCGACTTTTGTTAGAGGTCTTTACAACAAGTTCACTACTGTGAGCCATGATATGTTTTTTTCTCATGTTTCATTACCTACATAAGCGCGTAATATATCGCTACATTTTGTTTGTGTTTTGACTCGCGCTACGGGATAAGCGACCGTCTGAAGTCTAGACGTAAGCAGCGGACCTTGACTTAATTTTGGCCATTAGAGAGGTTCAATATGGAACAGTAACCTAAATTAAAGTTACGGTTATTTGATTTTTATTCTAAAGCTTATGAGCTTTTTTGGCATTACTGACAGTCAATTGTCTCCCTCGCAAAATTTCAGACTGAACGCTGATTCAGAAATTGCTAAAAACTATAGTCTCATCGAAAACGGCGCCTACGTGCTTCCCACTAGAGAGCAAGTAATGAGGCACCGTGTGGTGATCACCACATTAGCTGTATCGAGGAATCTGCTTGAGCTACATCTAAACCATGGCTTCTTCACACACATTTTGATTGACGAAGCTGCCCAAGCCTTGGAACCCGAGGCGCTCATACCACTCGCGCTGGCTGGACCAAACACAAAAGTGGTTTTTACTGGAGATCATATGCAGGTGAAACGTTATTAACAGAGACATCGTGACTGACATAAATGTGAAGTAAAAATATAATGAAATATGAAGTTAAAAGGCGAAATGATAATTGTTAGCTCCTGTTTGTCCGTAAGAAAATATCGAGCAAGATGTGAAGGTATTGCAGTGACGAAAATGTCTAGCATTTGAAATATATGGAGCGATTATCAGTATACTGCAATGAACTCAAGAATTCAAAGCCATACTTTAACCAGAAGCTCCATTCCTGAGATTTTCATTTGTTTTTGAGAGAATATATGTCTTCCGGTAGAATGTAGAAGTTTGTTTTCTAAACCATCAAAATGAATTTGTTTTTTTCGGAAAAAAAGTTTTGTCCTCAAAAAGCTCATATTTCTGAGGATAATAATTATACAATAATCATTGTTTGCCTCTTCGCACTCATTCTGGATAACAATGATTTCCATTCGCTCCCTACTCCATATTGTTTTCATATTGTTTTCATACTTTGGTTATTATCTTCCAGATGAGTCCAGAAGTGTACTCACCTTATGCTCGAGAATGGGGTCTGCAAAAATCGTTACCAGAGAGATTGTTTGATCTTTTGTACTGCGAGAAACCAGGACGAAACAGTGAGATAGTGTTTCTGACTGAGAATTACCGGTGCCATCCGGAAATACTGCAATTTTCTTCATATAATTTTTACGGTGAAGGCCTGAAAGCCAGCAGCGAACAACCTTCACACCCAAGGTTACAACCATTGTTATTCTACTCTGTCTACGGCATGGAAGAAGCCAGAGAAAATTCGTACATCAACGAAACGGAAATTAAGGAGGTTGTAAAGAGGGTCAAGGAGCTCGCAAATGATTGGCCAGTGGAGTGGAAAGTCAAAGATCTTTCTCAGATTGGTGTGATATCTGCATACACGAGCCAGGTATTTTAGTTTTGCTTGTTTATTGTTTTTTTTGCGCAACGCCCTTCCTGAGGGTAGCCTACCATTCCAAAGAAGGAATAGCGTAGTACTAAATACTCTTTGATTGCAAACACAATTGACATCCTTGATTTTCTCTTGGATGAATGAACTTTCAGTGCCCGTTATGAAGCGAGAGGAGCTAAACCTAACGTTGTTCGTTTACATTGTCTTTTATTTTGTTTTATTTTTTTTCTCTCTTATTCTGCTCTTTATTTTTTCACACCTTCTCTCTGCCGCGGTCTTTTCCAGGAAAGCTGAATTTATTGAACTTATTTTCCAGAAAAGAGGCATCCAGTTATTGAAGTATTTTACATGGAACCATTAAATTGACATTTGTGCAGTTTTGTTATCTCTGCACCAGTTAATTACAAGAACTATCATTATATACTAAAACGGTGGATCATGTTGAAGGCGCGCTCTAATTGGCAAAGTGCGCCGGATTTGCGACCGAAAAAATGTAGTCATCGCAGGAATAAACGAGTCTATAGCCATCTCTACTTTAGTGGATAGAAATGAATTTTACTCCATAATTCGATAGATATTTTCAGTAAAATATGCTTTTTCATAAATAAATGTACGACGAATATTGTGTAGGTGCGAGCAATCCGAAATTTCCTCAGGGAGGAGAGCAAGGAACTGGCAAATGTAACAGTGGAAAGTATTTACAATGTCCAAGGTAAGCCCTTAAGGTTTAAACGTAATAAAACGATTGCCATATACAAGACGTAAGAAAAGGTTTGAAAGGTCATGGTCTTGCTGTATCTGGACTGAGATATAAATGATATTGACTGCCTACTGTACTTGTGATAAATCTGGTCAACTTTTTGTTGCGAAACTTTAGATGTTTTCCTCTGCAGTTGCGAATGATAGTGAATATCTAACGGAGTGAAATCGGCTAATTCGGATTCAATTCTATCAAAATATTTCTTAGTCCAGCTGAAATATATACTTTTTTAAATATAAATGAGGACTTGAAAATATGAATAAGTCACTTAGGGAGCTCCACATCATTCAAATTCTTATCGTCAAAGACTTAATGATATAATTCCAGTACTTAGAGATATCTGTGTAATCAAACTTGCATTTTTAATCATAACTTAATCCAAAATATCTATGAGCTACATGTAGTTCATAATAGCATTACATACACTTTTTTGAAGGACAAGGAAAAAAAAATTACTGAATTTCCTAATTATGAACAATTTCGGCTCCTCCGCTCAAGTAACCACGTGAAGCCTCTCTCATGCTTGATTCAATTAGCTCGCTTATTTTACCAGGAAAGGAATTTCGTGCCTTGTTCATCAGCACTGTCCGCACATCCCTCACCTTCCCAAAGTTCGACACACCTGAAGATAATAGTCAGCAACTTTACTGGGAATTCTTCTCTGACCCTAAACTCTTGAACACGGCTGTAACCAGAGCGATGTCCTTAGTAGCCATCGTAGGAGATGCTATTTCCCTGTGCAGTGTGGGTGAGTGTAGAGGAAACTGGAGAGATTACATCAGACGATGTGACCAACTTGGGTCTCTGTTTGGAACAACGTATAGAGAGATAAGGAAAGTTGTAGATGTCCCTTTCCCCAACATTCCTTTAAATCCTGAGGCAGCAGATTTTGTTCCAAGTACTAACAAAGAACAGAAATCTCGTCCAGCAGAGAGTGAGAAGTACCCTGAAGAGTTGCAGGATAAAATTGCGATAGAAAACAGCCTGGAAAATGCGATGACCGTGTCGGGGATTGAAAGATGTCACACACGAAAAGTGTTTACGCTGGGAGAGGTCACGTCTAATGAAGAAGAGAGACAGCAAATAACAAACCCATCCTTCAAGGACGGTGTGCAAGGTGATTCCTTTCCAAAACAAGACGAACTTCTGTTGAATCCTGAAGTTAAAAGAACGTCGGAGCTCAAGAGCGATAAAGGTAGCACCGATCAGAGTACTTTAGACATACTCGGAAATGCAATGACCGTGTCAGGGACTGAAAGATGTAACACGCGAAAAGTGTTTACGCTGGAAGAGGTCACGTCTGATGAAGGAGAAGAGAGACACCAAATAACAAATCCATCCTTCGAGGACGGTGTGCAAGGTGACACCTTTCCAAAGCAAGACGAACTTATGTTGAATCCTGAAGTTAAAAGAACGTTGGAGCTCGAGAGCGATGAAGGTAGCATCGACCAGAGTACTTTGGCCGTCTTCGAAGAATTTCGTCGAGAGAGTTTTGAAGACGAAACAGTGTTTTCAAGATACTTCGACAGGATAATACAGGCACTTGTACAAAAGTGTAAAGAAACTGAAGAGAGAGAATTAAAAAAGTCCTTACAAAATGAAGAATTTCCTACCTTGCAAGATGCTGCAACTCTACGCTCAAAGAGATCGCAAGTGAGATATCATCCGGGCAAACGTAGCAGTCAAGCGAATTCAAGTTTTGCAAGCCTTTCTTCTGAAGACTACCAAATCTATATCGACGCCAAAGGTAGGCAAAAGGCTCGACTTGTAAATCCTGGATTTCGCCAAAAGGAATCTGAACGGTTGAAAAGGCTCATCAAACCCGTTAAGCAAGATGATTTCCTCGACACAGAGGTTCTTTTGAACTTAGTGGGTGGTCAACCTCTCACTTACCTTGCTACTACACTTCGCCTCGATTCCGAGGCTGTTCACAATGCCTATGCTGTGGTATCGGACACGAAAACCCCCGACATCAAAATCAAGGGACTAGTAAAGAGGGTGTTCGACATGGATTATGTTGTTGTGAGGGTTGAAGATAATCAATCTGATGATGAACTTCCCTGCCGCCGAGGGAAAATTGAGGGTAAGTTCATTCATTTCTTTGGCGTTATTTCACTGAGTGGTACGGCTCACTGCATCAAAAATTGCTAGTTTGCAATTTAATCATAGGTTACAGGGCTATAATTGGCAAATGGCACCAGCACCAGTAGCCATTACGCAACAAACATTTAACTTTGGAAGATATCTATTGAGGTTATGCAAATGACACTTATCCTCTTGTTTTTTCCTTGATAGGTGTGCTTCATCACATAATTAGCCCTCACGAACGTCAGTTTGTCTGTAAGGTTGATTACGAGAATCCTGACCTTATGCATCCAATCAATAAGTCCATCCCAAGAATCGTAATACTATCAACAGAAGGTGTGAGAGGTGTGCCCCTCTACAAGGAAATGCGCGAGGGTAACGAGAAGAAAGTCAAAGTCTACGAGATGGATCCCAAAGAATTCCTTAGTGGAAAATATCTGTTTCTCGTACAGTATCTACAATGGAGACAAGATTGCACTAGCCCTTTAGGCATCCTAATTCGAAAACTACCACAACAGCACACTGTGGGGGCTAGCATGGAGATTTTGTTTGCAGAGCATGGAATTAGAAAGTCATTCGACGGAACTTGTAAAGAAGAAGTGGAAAGGAGATTTCCATCTTCTTGGTCAATTCCAGATCAGGAAAGGAAGAGGCGTTCAAATAAAGTAATTGATGGTGCGTTTACCATCGATCCTGAAAATTCCAAGGATCTCGATGATGCACTTTCCCTGGACTCCTCCTCAGATTCTCTGTACCGAGTTGGAATTCATATAGCAGACGTAAGTTATTTCGTGGAAGCTGGGAGCCATTTGGACAAAGAGGCGTTCTTTCGCTGCATATCCTACTACCCTGGGCATGACTACCAAAGTGTTCCGATGCTACCACGTGAGCTCAGTGAGAATCATTGCAGCCTTCTTCCTGGTAAAGATAGATTATGTTTATCAGTGTTTGTTGACATGTCAGGCGATGGAGAAGTGGTGGGTGAGCCACACATAGAACGCACAGTCGTAAGATCCTCTTGTCAGCTCACTTACTCCGACGCCCAAAAAATCATTGATGGTCAACAAAGCGATCTCCCTAAGATACCAGAAAAAGTTGAAAGTGATATTCGAACCCTGAATGTCCTTGCCCAAAGTAGGAGAAAGCTGAGACTTCGAGAAGCAAGCTTTGATCATTGGTCAAACAGCGATGAAACAGAGGATTTTGAAGCCCACGAGTTAGTGGAGGAGATGATGATCTTGGTCAACGAAAAGATAGGAGAATTTCTTTCTTCTCGAGATCCACAATTGGCACCTTTACGCATTCAACTGCCACCCAAAGATCACAAATTGAAAGAATGGGTTAAGCAGAATGGACAGTTTATCAAGTATTCTCTGTTTCTCCATGGCATTTATACGGATCAAGCACTAGAACATATGTCGAAAGATGTTCAAACAAGAGACGTCGCAGAGTTTAAAGTGACACAGTCAGTTTGGTCAGACCTCTGCAGCGCTGCAGAATCTGGAGACGGAGCGCAACTAAAGAAACTGATTTGCAATGAAAGAAATTATACACAGTTGGCTGTTGTAAAGTCACAGTTTCAACGTATTCAGCAGAAGGCTCAATACGTTTGTGAGAGAGATCAACCGGAGGAAAACATTATCCATTTCTCTCTGAGCAAGCAGCGGTATACGCATTTCACGTCACCCATTCGAAGGTATATTGACATTCAAGTACATAGGCTCGTCTTGAATTTAATCCCCGGAGAGCACGGTGCAGAAAGGCCTTCACAGGATCACATTGCCAAGGTGTGTCGACGTTCCTCGTTTGCTCAGGTTAACAGCAGAAAATTTGACAGAGCATGTCGTAAAGTTCATTTGGCTGCGAAGCTGAAGGAAACAAGCCAAGAAGTAACAGCAATTATTTCTTTGATCGAGGATAAGAGAATGAGGTTCGAAATAACAGACCAAGAGTACAAGCATTTACCGAAAAAAGAGACTGAAGTTAAGTTTAGCAGTCTTAACCCATTCGAATTCTCTATCGAGCAGGATGGTTCAGAAATAGTCCTTACCTGGAAGTTAAGGCTATACATTGCTCAGAGAGAGAGCGAGACTGGAAATATTGAAAACCTCGATGATGAAAGGAAGAAAGTACTTCGTCTTTTATCTAGTGGTAATAGTGGAACAAGGGGAGTCCTACACTTACCCGTTAAAAATTGGCAGAAACTCTTGGAGGCAGCTCAAGGAAATGATGACATGACAGCAAAAATGCTAATTGAAGAAATCAAAGCAAAGCACCAAAGGGCTCTGGGAAACCAACATAACCTGCCCAAAACGGAAAAATTTGATCCAAAGATGGAACACTTTTACGAAAAGCAAGTTTCTCTGAGGAAGTTCGACGTAGTGCAGGTTCAGCTGAGTACGCACATGACAAATGGGATGTTACACCCACACATGCAGCTTTTCAAGATTAATCCCGACGTCCATATTTGCATTGAACATCGCACATATCCAAGAATGTGCTTTGCCTCCACAAAAAGATACAGAGGATCTCAGAGACGATACTCGAGTTTAGACGAGTACATCGCCGCATGGGAACCAGTTCTTGCCATGGAAGCCGCCACAGTAGCTGTAGACGAAGCTAACGAGTTTACCATTCACGGTTTAGATGTCCTTTGGAGGGAAGAGGTCAGTGAGACTCCACAAGGAACTTTCAGCCTTAAAAACGACTTCTGCGCAACTCGTCAAATCGAGTTCCATCCAGGGGACTTTGTTTGCATCCGCGTCTGCGAAGACACTTACATAAAGAAAACACATTCTTTTTCCAATGACAGCAACAAATATCAGGTAACTACAAACATATCACTTGTTTTTCAAAATGACCGACAAAAATCAATCTCTAGATGCTATAAAGGAAAAATCTGCCACAGGACTAAGCAACTAGGTATCTGCACTTTAAAAAATGATTCAATAAAAACAAAGCTGGTTAAAAAGTACTCCTCTGGTGCCATTTGCCACACCGTGCTCGAAACTCATCTTTCGAAAGGTAGAGTAAGAAAAAGACAACGGGATGCAGGTAATTCGCTTTGCTTGTCACGAATTCGTACAGTGTTCAAAGGGCAATCGCCGTTAAGTCCATTAGAGTGTTTTGATTTTTGAGATAAAATTACTTATTTAAACAAACTCGTCAAATAGCAAACACAAAAGACAAAAAGTCAAAACAATGTAAAGTATTACGACACATTCAGTTTTGCTGAATGAATAGCAATCTCAAAAGGATTCAGAAACATTCATACAGGTCCCCCAGAAGAGAAAGCAGAATGCAAAATGGTCTGAGGCACGGTATATAACTAGCGATTGTGGTTGTAAAAGACTCCTAAGCGCAGAAATCCGAAAATAGTCCGCCATTGCAAGTAAGCAGGTGAACAGACAAGCGCGTTCGGTGGTTTCTAAGCTCATTGTGCAACATAACAATTTCTGTCACTTTTATACAAGATAATAAAGTTTAGTGCAGGATTGTAGTGTCTGTGCGTAAGGCTATGAAAAGTATTAAAAGTAAAAAAATGGTATTATTTATTTTCTTGTGATGAATTATCTTTATTAGCAAATTTTTCCCTATTCCCTATGTTTGATTAGCGTCTCTCCTGAGTCCTTGTCAGTCAAATTGCTACAATTCGGAATACGAGCTCAATAAATGGAATTCTTACAACCAATTTGTCTCAATATCGGCACAAAGTTAGATATTTATATTTATGACATATCATTTTAGCTTTTTGAATGTTGGGTATGTTTATAACAAACTTTTAACTCTCTCTGTCTCGGAATTGAAGATAAATTCCGCTTTTGAAGAACAACCCGGCTGGACGACTGCATCCTTAAGAGGCAACTCACGAGTAGCCTTGTCGAGTATTTGGGTGGGACACTGCGTTATCAGACATGTTGTGATGTCCAATGGGCCCACAAGGACAGTTGAAATGGATTTACATCAATCAGCATCAGATTTTCCCAAAGAGCTGTTAGACAGGAACCACCCCAGTACAATTACCGTTATCCACAGATCACTTCCTCACAGGTAATTTAAATCAGATACAGTTTAAACTTAGTGATCTCAGACATTTTTGAAATTCTTTGATGAGTGCATAGCTCCACACATTATATACTTCGAAAACCTAATATCCTGATTGGTTCTTGATGTAAGCCTGATTTTCTCAGAACTAAGAGCAAGGCCGTTCTTTGACTTATTGAAAATTTGCATACTGCTGTACAAATTGCATTTTGCCAACTAAGCAAGAAATTAAACGTCCATCTGTGAATGCGATTCCTAATTCAAAATAGCTTATTTAGACTTCAATTAAAGGATGGAAAAGTAGAACTTACCCAACATAAATCTTTGGCTGGAATTCATCGTTAATTTTGTTCTTTGTTTTAAGACGAATGTTTGAAGCTCTCAAAGAGCTAAGAAATGCGTCCCATCTAGCTCACGACATATGTACGGGAAAGGAGCGAATTAAAGGTCAGTATTTAGAGAAGTTAGAGTTGGTTTACCGGGATTTTAACTCTATCGTTGATTAAGCAATAAGCATTACTGAATTGAAGGAGAAAGGTGAACTTATTGTGTGGAAATGCAAGCTTAGCCGCAACGGGTCACCTCTTTCTGGTAGATGGTCGTACTGATCTCTGGAATCTCAGTGAAGTTAAACACACTCAAGGCTGACGAAAAATTGAAAAATGAGGTCAATAAATGAACCAAAAAAAAAATCAAGAGAATATTTTAACCCGCAAATTTAAACGAATATCGAATCTTTTTTCATAGTTTAAATCGATTAGATATAAGTATGAGGTTATATGATAAGACTTAAAGAGGTTCTCTGTGTTTGAAATCTTTATCAGGGAGGTTTGAGTCTCCGCTTCCACCTGACTTCTCAATTGTGACAGAACACCCCAACTGCGGATTTCACCCACTGAATGAATACCAAAAAGCTGCTGTTAAAGAAGCACTTGTTGAGCCATTTACCCTCATCCAGGGACCTCCAGGTATTTCCTTTTCTTTTTTTATTAACACCATAAAACACTTTTCAATCGAATAAATCCAATTCCTATGTAAAAATTATACGTTTAAATACAGTAGGTAAGAGTCTTATGTGAAATACAACTGTAAATAACCAGAAAACCCTTTTTCTATGGATTTTCCCAGCCTGTCTATATATCGGTATGTCTTCCTCAAGCTCGAAACGTCAGCATTAGAAACTTTTTAGGGTACCCAATTAACACTCTATGCTCAGATAATAAAACCAAATTATCTTTTATAACAAATAACAGAGGCATTTTTTGTTGGAACAATTTTCTTCTGTATTTTTATCCATTTTTAGGTACAGGTAAAACAGTAACGGGCGTCCACATCGCATTCTGGTTTGCAAAAAAAAACAAGCAAGGATGTCTCGGCTCTCACGATGCCATTGATCCTGATACCCCAGACAAACCGAGAGCACCACCTCAAGTTATTTACTGCGGTCCTTCTAACAGATCAGTTGACGTTGTTGCTGGTAAGCTTCTCTGAAAGAAGATTTGGTCGTTTTTCTATTATCATTACAATTGCAGAGAGATCTGGGCAACGAGTATTATAAAGTTTTTTGTGATGCAATAAAACATACATATTTTCCAGAGCAATACATTTCATTCATGGAAAATTTAAGCTGGAAAAAGTTATTGGCTTGATCCCAAATAAGTGTGGTGCTAGCCCAATTGCATACATATTTTCCAGAGCAATACATTTCATTCATGGAAAATTTAAGCTGGAAAAAGTTATTGGCTTGATCCCAAATAAGTGTGGTGCTAGCCCAATTGCTGGACAAGAGAGAAAAAAAATGTATACATAAATTGTTAAATTGTACAGAAGAAGAAGATTCGATCTCTGAAATGGTATATTCTTAAGAGTAATGTTCCTTAAATGGAAAATGACAACTGAGTACTTTGATAATTACTTTCCTTTTTCCTGGATTTATTTCTATAAAGAATTTATGGTCAGAATTCCTGGCCTCAAGATCATTCGTGTCTATGGTGATCTGCGGGAACAAGCAGAGTTTCCAATCCCGAACAGACGTCAGTATCTGAAGCAGTCCAGCGATGATGGGACCGAAATACCTGAGAGGCTGAAAAAAGTTTCGCTACATCACATAATTCGAAAACATCCATGTCCATATGCTGATGACCTTAGGATGTATGAACGGAAGTTTGAGGATGATAGGAAGGAAAAGCAGAGGACCAGCGATCAAGAAGTGGAAACGTATTGCAAGGTTAGCTTCTCATGCATGCATGCATCCATTCATTCATTCATAGTTTCTTTCTTTTAGCCAGTCAGTCAGTCGGTCAGTTACTTGATTTTCCTTTTGATTGTTTGTTGAGTTCAATCACCTTTTAATATTTACATCATTATTTCTTTATTAAGTCGTGGGTTTGTTGTTTACTGATTCTCTCATCCTCAGTTAATTGGTAAAGCTGAAACTTGGGCACTTCAATCGTCAGGAGCTCAGATTATACTGTGCACATGCTCGGTTGCTGGTAGCCATAGGATTATAACAGCCTGTGATAACGTTCAACAATGTATCATCGATGAATGCGGCATGTGCATGGAACTTGAATCTCTTGTACCAATCACTTTCTCAAGGGCAAAGCAAGTGGTGTTGATTGGTGATCATAAACAGTTACAGCCTGTTGTTAAAGACCAACAGGCAATGACGCTTGGTTTGAACATATCAATGTTTGAGAGGCTTTCTGACCGAGCACAAATGCTAAAACTTCAATACAGAATGGTAATCCGACATAATGGATTTTGTGTTTTCAATTTACAGAACATGAATTATGGGCTCCTACTTTTAGCAGGCTGTGCTTAACAATCATTCCAACCTTTATTAACAATTCATAGTCTACAGAAGAGCACTGCGGGCTGTAGCAGACTTGTTATCTTGCATCGACTTGAAGAATAATTTAGAGTCTTAAGACTTGTCCAAGAACGTAGAAGCATCATAGCTGAGTTTTTCTCTAATATCCATTTTTGCATTGTGAAAAAAGAAAACAACAAAAAACTGCCAAGCTTTTCTAAATTCATAAGATATTCCCCTGCAATAACGATTTTCCTCTATTTACATAACCTACTAAAAGTTTCTACTCAGAGCTTATTATCACTTACTCAGTGCGAATACACATATAGGGCCGAAAGCTATCTCCCCTTCATCCTAGCTATTTTCTTTTCCTTTCTTTTTTATTTATAAATGTTTACTATTTAAGTTAAATATATTTCCTCCTTTTTTAGCAAAAAGAGATTTGCAGGTTTCCATCGGAATATTTTTACGAAGGAGAATTGAAAACAGACCAATCTGTACCGATCAAGGACCCAATTTTACCGAGGTCTTTTTGGCCTCATCCAAATTTTCCTCTGGCATTTTGCCATGTCGAAGGCGACGAGGAAAGTACCGCCATTAAGACAACACACAGCAGTGAGCAGTCCAAGTCAAATCAGAAAGAAGTACGAAAAGTGGTAAGTAGTATTCAGTCACAACCAATGTCAAGTACAAGTTGATGTACAATGTTTTAGGCCATACATTTTGACTCGTTAGGTGGATATCACTGAACCATTGATATCATTTTTGGTTTGGTGTGAATCAAATAGCAGATTCCGAATAGCAGGTTACAAAATTTGATTTAAGGGTAGAATTAAAATAGTTGACATGTACGTTGCTCATTAGAAATGGACGAAATTCAAAATGTGTTTTAGCCTAAGCAAAAAGAAAGCGCTTCTGGTTCTTTGCTTGTCGAAAAGAAGACGATTGAAGAAGCGAGCGGAAACCACCACATGGAAATCCTTGGACAAATGAGATATCAATGGCCCCCTGACATCATTAAATTGTATAAATAGCTAATTATATTTCAAACATCTCTGCTTATGGAATTGTTTTATGTGAATTAGCAATTAAACAAACTGAAATTGCTAAAATTCGGTAAATTGATACTTTTTCTAACCTCAGGTCCACGTTGCTAGAAGCTTGATTTTCAAGAATAATGTGTCCCCGTCAGATGTCGTTATCTTATCGCCTTACAGAGAACAACGTGAAAGAATAAGCAAAGCTCTGGAAGGAAATATAAAATCCAAAGAAATCCTCGTCACAACAATCATAAAAAGCCAGGGTAAAACTAGTTTCTTTTTTTTCTCTTTTTGTACTGAATCTTTTTATTTTCCTTTTATTTCTAAGCTGAACGGCAATGATAACCTTGAACCTTTCTGCGATTTTTTTCTCATAAAAGTTGAATATTGCTATGATATTTGAAGTCCAAGGCAGCTCTAAAATGTTAGTAAATATGCAAAAAAAGAGAGCTCGAGCATTTCATTTTCAGTTTAATTCAGTGGACTAGGTTGTTCGACATCATCAATTAAAACTTTTGGATTTTGATCATATCGACCAATTTCAATCATTAGATTGTGGTTACTCATCGTTACGCAGCGATATTATCAAAATACTCAAGCCTCTTTGAAAATTGTTCACTTACTCCTAATGTTCGACACATTTTATGTCATGCAGGTAGTGAATGGGACTACGTGATCTTATCTCTGGTGCGCTCGCTGAATAAGGATGATTTCGAACCAGAACCCTCCATGTATTGGTTGCGTGAACATTTGGGATTCTTGACGGACGAGCATCTAATGAACGTCGGGCTCACGAGGGCGCGGAAAGGGCTCTGTATCATCGGTATGAGGAAAATATGTTGATTATGTTGTCATTTATAGTTGAGTAATACCATGTACACTTTAGGCAGAAACACGTAAAATGGACGAGATTTTCGTGGCCAGTAAGTTTAATGAGATTAAACTGTATGGGAAACGGACATCGACTCTTTCTTATAATTCACACCGTTTTCCCGCCGTTTTAAAGAACTCTAATGGATTTTTTCTTTAAAAGGCACTAAATTGACTCAAAGTCACATTTCCGGAAAGCGAAAATTCAAGCAGGTGTTTACAGCCCAGAAGCTCGTTAATTTAAAAAAATCTGACGCCATAGGTCAAGCTCCTCTGTAAGTCCCAAGTACAGTCAACTTTTCTAATTTTTTTTAAATCTTTATCATTTTACTGACCAATTTTTTTTCCTCTAGGTAACAAGAACTTACTGGTGCTTCATCCCATGTGGCAAGAGTTACTAGAATTCTACGAACAAAGAAAATGCGTAGTAAACGAATCTGGCTGGCCTGTAAGCTTAAAATCTTAACCATAATTTTGAAGATTATTCAAGATGGGCTCTCTTATTTTGAATAAACCATTTTTCTACGAAAAAAAGTTAACCTAAGCTGCCCTAAATTCATTCTTGTAGGTATAAATTAGTACTTGACACCGGTTGTGACTACGAACAAAGAAAATGCGTGGTAAACGAATCTGGCTGGCCATTTTGAATAAACCATTTTTCTACGAAAAAAAGTTAACCTAAGCTGCCCTAAATTCATTCTTGTAGGTATAAATTAGTAGGTCACTTACTCACTTTTAAATGGCCTCAACATATGTAATCTCCCTCTAAAACACGTCAAATGGTCAGGAGAGTATTCTTGCCTCTGCTGAATGGGATTCTGATCCATTCAAAACCGAATCCTCCAATCTTTATTGAAAAAGGATACACGGTGCTGTCAGGGAAAGGTGTTAACATAAAGGACAATTCAATTTAACTATGTCACTCGATTCAATCAACTACAGAACACAAAATAGCATAATGCATTGAAAATCAAGAAAAGAGTCGAAATTTAATATAATATTACAAATAATGAGAATTTTCTACAATATTTTTTTCCACGGAAAATTGATAGCCTGGTTACGTACGTGCTACGGTGCATCCAGAGAAATCAATCAAACGGTTTGCGTTATTAGATAAAGAATTTTAAAACACATGAAGCTATTAAAGAAGGCTTTAAATGCTTTTAATAACAACCGTAGTTAGTAACCAAACCATGGCTTACTTTGCAAAACGATTCAATTTGAATGAAAATGTTGGTTCAGAAGTTAGCTTTGTGTGTTGGATAGTTTTGATATTCTTGCACAAATGCTTTTCAAGACACACCTCAAATAAAATATCGAAACAATACCTCTCTAGTGAAGTTAATTTCTTTTTTCTCCCTGGGATCAGCTATTCGAAAAACGATAAGCAGCAGCTGTCATACGAAATGTTTTTGTGCACTTTCAAGCTATTCAGTTTGCGGGGCTATGGGAAACTATCAGCCAAAGTTGGGCGATACAAAGCATACGAAGAAAAAAAAAAAAAAATCTGAATGATAAATTCACATTGACTCTTGGTAGGCAGATCATTCGCTCAACAATTCAGTCTTTGTTTAATGGCCTGCTCATGTTAATGAATAACGCAAAATTAACTTGTTTGCAATTATACGTTAGATATAGTTTCTTCACCGGCCACAGGTTTACTTCATGCTTCGATAGGCGCGTTAATTTAATTTTATCTAATAAGAAAATTTTCATAACGCATCTGTAGACAATAACAATATCGATGTCTACTGGCAAAAGTTATTAAATTGGTAGTTATAGATGAAATGCTGTACCGGTTCAAATGTTTTTCTATATTTTCATAACAATTACAATTGCATACCTGTGTTCTCCTTGTGCTGGTCAAATGCGGTATTATTACTGCAAAACATGCTGGGAGATGTCGACCAATCGGGTCAAGAGACAAGTTCCTAGGCCTTCTTACGGAGTTACTAGGGACCGTTAGCAGTTAGAATGGCAACGCCAAGGAAGACTTCGATTTAAAAATGAATTTATATTTCCAGTTGGAATCCCGCGAACTACTAGATGTGCTTATTGTCTCTTACGGCACCACAAGTTAATCTCAGCTTAACTTATGAGAGCGGCGTGGGGCACTAAATGGTCGGGTTCCTTTTTGAGACCACGAAAATTTTGATGATTTCAAGTTGTTATTTTGCCGAGGACGGCTAAGAAATGTACACAGTCTTAAAATGCACGTGCTGAGCTAACTTTCTGCTCACTAGATCTTTTGTTTGCCACTTTCTCGTAGCCGTCACCGTTTTGGTTTGCTTAAGGTCCCTAGTGTCTCGATATGTACAGTGCCGTCCCGCTTCTCCTTCCCCCTTGGTGGTGTACAATCAGGGGAATCTATTGATGTATTGACTCACCGAGCTGTTAGTTTTACTTTATTTTCCTTTTACTTTTTTTCGATTGTAGTATCTTATATGAAAAAAAAGGTTCCCCAAAGGGCTTTTTATCCGGAAAACGTAGCAGACATGAGTTACCGTATTGCCTCTCTAGACTCCTTCATTAGCCACCTACAAATACTATTTTCATGTACTCTCACTGACCTTTCTTAAGCTTTGGCCGCACATTGAGTAATTGCAGTTATAATCATCCTCATGAGATGAGGAATTTCTTTGTTTCTCCTCACTTGAAGACAACAATAATTTGCTGAATGTATGTGAGCTATGGAGCCACCTAATATGCCATTATGATCGTAAGTCATGCCTCGTGGACGGTGAGGACTGGTCATGGATATAACCAGCAGTACTTATGTCAGAAAGGGAGATTGTATGTGCTTACTAATATTGCAACGTGCTCACTCCCCTGAAAGATGGAAGGCACCTATTTACGTGACCCTCCACGGGGTTTCAGGGAATAAGGTGAACGCACGCATACGACACGTAATAACGCACTCGCACGCCAATGGTATGACACGCTTGCCGTGCCGAAACAAACGATTTTGGCAAGCGTGTTCGTAGCCATTGTTCATATTTGGCTAACACAGTAGAGCTTTTTTTCTATAACGCGCCATTTTTTTTATTTTAACGCTAGCTTAGTTTGTACAACCCAGCTCAATTTGTTACTTGTGTTTGTCAGCTTCTTAAATGTGAGAATGGCGTTTGTAAAGTTTATTACACGCAGAATATTAGCAAAAATGAAGAAGATGTTCTGTCCTATCCGAAAGTTGTAATCGAAAAAAAAAAATTCACGGCAAATCACGGCTCTTTCCCTCAGGATTTTCACAAGGATTTCAATGAGCACGAAGTGTTTCACAAGGTCTAGAGGAGCTCAGTTTGAACACATGAATTTTTTAAAACTTAAATCTTACCTTGTGAAGTATAAATCCTTATTGCTTCACGCAGTTAATAAGCCTAGTACCGAACCTTTGTGAACCTTTAGCAACAGATTTCCAGCTCCATGTGCAAATCGAAAGCAACTTTAACTTTAAGAAGCGTATTCTAAATTTGCACGGTCACTGTGTTGTATCGTGCGAAGTTGCGAGCAATATTTTAACACGTCCCTTGGCTTCTACCGTGGGAAGCAAGACAATGGCTGCGAAGGTAATGAGGCAAGTAACTAACACGCAGCTAACGTGTTAATAGCTAGTTGGTACTTTGTCGTTACGGCTTTTCTCAAGGCCGGAAATCACTCTATAACACTGCAGTTCATGCGATAAAAGCTAGTTATTTTGTTTTGGCGTGGGAGCGTACCGTGTGCTTATGCTCACCTTATTCTCTGAAATCCCGTGGAGGGTCACATATGGTAATGAGCTAATGCAACCCTCCGAAAAATTCATGCACTTTGGCTTAGCTGAGCTCGGCTAAGTGTGCTGCTTTCGTTCCGCTCCAGCCAGTGGCTCACTAATTTTATTTGAACTTTTCACCCAACTATTTTAAGCGCATTTTACAAAAATATCCAAAGCATATTTGTTCTGTTACGCCAAAATGCTGTTACACTCATTATCCAGCCCTTCGTTTACTGGATTACAATGACCTGATTGTGTATAATTTACCCTTATCTTGGGAAGGCACACCATGCATAAGGCAGAAGTTTCACTGGAAAAGGAGTAATTTAATAACATTTCAAGTATAATTTTAGAGTTATAATTTTTGAATAATTGTAATCATGCGATAGTAACTAAAAAAGTAATCGCTTGAATCCATACTTATCGGGCTTCACTGTAATAGAAAACCATTTTATATCTGAAAAGTTGTGTTAAGAAGTGAAAGTGATTTAACTGCCAAAATTCCAAGGGGAGTGTGACTTTCTTCCTAGAACAATCCGTGTTCAAAGGAAATGTGATTTACGCAGTCTTTCACAGCCAAGCCTATGCAAATTTTTGACTGTTGAATGGGAGAGATCTTTATTAATTCAGTAGCAACGAGTGTTGATAACACGTTTTTGGGAATGTGCAGTTGATGTGGGAAATAAAATCGGTGTTTTATTTATTTATTTGACCTTTTTAAGTTTTTAGACTTCATAAAACCTAACATTGTGAAAGATGACGAAGAGAAGGGTTTTCAATAGGGGCTTATCCCTTTTCTCCTCCGTCGATTGTTCATTATTCAAATAAGAGACGTCACCAAAGCTCGCATATGCGACGGCTCACAGCAGGAGGATTTATAAACAGTTTTCCAGCTTGTGTCACATCACTGCATGTGTGTATGATTTGCTTCCCCCATTTCGATTGATCTTTTCCGATGTCAGAACTTCTCTCGTTGATACATTTATTTTTCATTCACGAAAGCAATGTTAATTTGGCTCGCTGGAGATTATAAAACGACTTTACTGCCTTGAGAGGCTATCGTGGGAAAGGATAACCATGAACACTAATTAAATGAGTGTTCCGAAAGCGCAAAAGGTATAAAGAGAAGGTGATGACCTGAGAGAAGAGTCAATAATAGCACCCAGTACTTTATCTCTCGTTCGGCGTCTCAGGAATATAGGATAATAAGGAAGTTATTTTGGCGTCTTATCCTCCTGATTGCGGCGTGGATTACAGAACTTTTTCTCAACCTAAATTTGCAGACAACACTAATTTAAGACGGTCATTGGAGCTTGAGGCTGTCAACATGTATCCTTCTCACTTTCTTTGTCCGCTTGCCAGCGCACTCTATTCCAATTTCAAACAAAACAATGCAGTACAAAAATTACCTGACCAATAACTAAACCCAGGCTTATATTTCCGTATCATGTTAGACATTTGAACTATTTATAAATACTATAGAGTCGACCCGCGTGTTTTCTGGGTATCCCGTTGTTTTTCCGAGAACTGTCGAACAGATAATCCATGAATTATAAGTTTGCATATTCCGAGAAATCAAGCTTTTGCTTCAATTGGAGAAGAATAAAAATATCACGAAAGTTTCCTCATCACCAAAAGTTGCATTAATGTGATAGCTTTTCGCACTGTCATCGTCTTAATTCCTAGTACGTGCCTGTACAACTCAGTCAGCGGAGTAAGGAAAAAACCAAACAAAACAAACCCATTATTAAAAATTCATAGACAGGCGACATTTCCGCTTTTCCTAGAATTGGATATTGTGACGTAAGAGTAATGTTTACAATACATTTAAAATTGCGTAAATTGAAAACTTTGCCGCAGCCGATATAAGAGTCGCCTAGCACTTCGGTTGTTCAAGATGCACAAGCCAAGGCAGTCATTTTGACAGTTGCATTCCAAGTGGTAAGTACCGAGTAACATAGTAATTTTGAGGGTCTTGACGGATGCAAATAACTGACTGGCCCGTGGAAATAATGTGACTGTAAAACCGTGAACGAAAATTTTGGTACGTGAAGTCAATAAACTGTGATATTTTAACCAGAGACAACTGATGGATGGGTAAAACGAATAGATAATCACCTTTTGATTAAAAACTAACAACTTTTATGGTACTGGAATAATAAGACATTTCACGACGAGGCATGTTCAGCTTCCCATTGACAAGATACACGAGGAGCAGGTTTCGCTTTCACAAAATAATAAATTTTGTGATTTTTCTCGACCACAATCTTTACCCGATGATCTTTCATGAAAGACGATGTTTGGAAAACAAAGACGTTAACGCTTACTTATGTTCTTATTTCCAAATTTAATGGGACATACTATATTCTTGTACGCTTTGATGCGTTTGGAGGATTAATTTATGTCCCTCGCCAGTTCTGGGTCGGCATGTGTTCAGAGTAACTACGCACTAAGCTTATGATTTAGTTCTTAAAATGGGCAACAAATTAAGGACCTTAACAGTCACTCCAAATCACTCTTAAATTCAATTCTTTTCAACAGAAATGAAATTCTTTCTGAAAGATTCGTGTCTCTTCAGAGAAGAATTTATCATTTCACATTCTTCGTTCCCAGAGGAGAATTATAATTCTGAAGAGAAGAAATATGGTTCTTGAGGAAAGAACTGTAGGTCTTCTCCCAAGGTTAACCCAACTCCCGCAGTTTAAAAAACGCACAAATTTGTCCACATTCAGTTTTTAATTCATATCTCAACAAATATTTACAGGAATAACACCTACAATATGTCATTTTAGTTTATAGAATGGGCTTCTCAGGAAAAAAAAAACTCATCATTGAAACCCAGGACTTTCCTAAAAAGTAAAATTTAAAACACAAAATAAGTAAGACATAGTGTAAAACTTGAGGTAAAAGTCACTTTTCCTCATAGGTATAGGTTAATCAAGATTAGTTGATAGCAGAAGTTAATTATTATCATGTCAGCAACATTTCCTGAAAATGTGAAAGAAAAAGAATAAATAATGAATTTTTTATGAATTTTTATGTTAGCAAAAATTTGTCACATTCAGTTTTTAAGAAATCTAGTTTTTTTCCCATGAGAACAAAATTCTTTCGCCCATGAGAACAAAATTCTTTCGCCAAGAACTAGTTAATAGGGTATTCTTCTGTAAAGGTAACACTGCTCTCCTCCTGAGGTGATATCCATTTAAGGAAAGAATTGTGGGTCTTCTCCTAAGATTTAGAATTCCTATGAGAAGAATCTCACGTCTTATTCTTGTTAGAAGAATACTAGTTTTGTCCACAAGGAAAAAATTCTTTTGCCAAGAATCAGTTAATGGGGTATTCTTCTGAAAAGAAACACTGCTCTCCTCTGCCAAGAATCAGTTCATGATATATTCTTCTGAGAGTAAACACTCATCTCAACCCAAGGTAATATCCATTTAAGGAAAGAAATGTGGGTCTTCTCCCAAGATTAAGAATTCCTATGAGAAGAATCTCATGTATGTCTTATTTTTGTTAGAAAAATACTAGTTTTTTTTTCCACAAGGACAAAATTCTTTCGCCAAGAATCAGTTAATGGGGTATTCTTCTGAAAGAAACACTGCTCTCCTCCCAAGATGATATATATTTAAGGAAAGAATTGTGGGTCTTTTCCCGAGGATAAGAATTCTTATGAGAAGAATCTCATGTATGTCTGATTCTTAATTGTTAGAGGAATACTAGGTTTTTCTCACAAGAACAAAAGTCTTTTGCCAAGAATCGGTTAATGATGTATTCTTCTGAGAAGAAACGCTCCTCTCCTCCCAAGATGATATGCATTTAAGCAGAATCTCATTTTTTAAGCAAGCTCATCAGAAGGATTACCACTCTTTCCTGAAGACATAATATTTGTTTTGGAAGCATGGTAGTTTCTGAATCTCCTCATGACAGTTTTTGTCCTTCACCCAAGAATGAATATTCCTTTTTAAATAGATCGTTCTTTACAAGAGATTGACTTTTCTTGTGTGAAGAATCACATTCAAAAGCTCTTCTGAGGTCAGAATATGCTATTGAGAAGAATCTTATGCCTTTACTGGTTTTTTTTTGAGTTATTGAAAGGATTGATTTTCCTCTGAAACAGTAAATTATACTGAAAAGAATCTCATTTTATTTGGTTTCATTTTTTAAAATACAATCAACACAGCATAAAATTAATTCACATATTTATGATGTATGCATCAAGTTATCAATGAACAACTATATCAACTTTTACTGTATCGAAAACATTCACCTTTTATCACCTCATTTTTTGTATCCTATAGTAATATCATATTTTTCACCACACAATTAGCTTGAAATATAATTAACTTACATATTTATAACAACGTGATGAATACATCAAATCATCAATGAACAACTATATCAACATTCAATTTGTATTATTGATAACTTTCATTTTTTATCAAGATGTCTCATTCTTTGTTTATTAGTTAGTATATCATTCCTTCATCATACCTCATACTATTCATTGACTTTTAAAATCTGCAACAAAGCAGTTGTTGCACATCAATGAATTAATAGCATGCCAGTTGCAACCCCTAATCCTTCCATGTGATCCCTCCTCTAGCTAAGCAGTCCAATACTTCTTTGTTCACAAACATGATTGAAAGGGGAAGGGGAAAGCTCAATTTTGAATCATGCAAAAACAGCTTAATTTGGGCCCGAAGCCTTTAAGCGCATAATTCGCCCGTATTTAGTTGTAATTTATCCTAATCTCGAGCTCTGCAACTGAAATTAAATTTGTCAGTCCTGCAATCAGTAGAGTATTAACAGGGTTCAATCAGTCCCTGAAAAGCACTTCCTTCTAACAGCTTTGTTAACAGCATGTTTCCAATGAAGGTTAAGTCCGATCAAGCAGGATTCAGTTTCTTGGACCTTCCGGCAAACAGTTGACACTGAATTATTGTAACAAGAACCCACCTGACACTCTGAATATTCCTATTGAACACTCTATATGAATCCCTCCTAACGCCCTCCTAATGCCCTCCTAACATACAAGTTAAACTTGGAGCGGCAGGAAGTATTGGCCGCTGAAATCTCCTTCCTCATATGAGATCGCAGCAAGGCAACGACATCGTATTATTCGGCGCACTTCTCCGGAAGCCATTAAAAACGTTGATTGAGCCCACGTAACCGAAATCCGATATAGGGCGGTTACCAAGCGCTTAATATCGATCGCGTTTCTTAGTAAGCTGGTATAACAGATTCCAATGACAAAAATTTAAGGACTATTTTGGAACAGCTTAAACCTCCAGATAAGTCTTTAGCTTCTAAAGTTGTTAATTTTGGTGTTGTGAATGTTCACACGAAAATTTAATGTAAATTATCACGGCTACGACATCATATTTCCTTTTCCCAGGGAATCGTTCATGTAACAAAGCTTAACAGACTTTATCAGATAATTTGGTCTGTAATTATCAAAGTTACTAGCAATAAAAGTTAACTTAATAAGATTTTGGTTATAAGAGTTTCTGCCTCTCATCTAATGAATTCTGAAATTGCGATTCCTCTAAGTTCATAAGATTTGCAATTGAACACTCTTGCATTGCCTGCCAAAACGAATCCTCGTTCTTGAGAAAAAGAATTCCAGGATCTTATTGCAAGAGTTTCTGAAATTGCGATTCTGTTTGTGAGATTTGCGATTAAACATTCCCCTCAGAATAACTTTCTGCTTCATTGCCTGCCCAAAAGAATTCTCATTCTGGTTCCTTCTGGTTCTTAGGAAAAGAATTTCCGGCTCTTGTGGCGAGAGTTTCTGAAATAGATAGTCTTCTCTAGATATTCAGATGTATTGCATTCTTACCAGACGAGTTCCCTTCTATTCAATCTTGTTTGAAGAACCTCGATTCTCCTTGAACGAATCGCAATAAAATGATTCTTTTGATCATAATTTTGGCTCTAAACAAGAGAAAATGCTACTAAGGGAATTTAAAGTGAGTACTCTGAACCTCATCAACCTGTTCGAAAAAATTATAGGAAAGGCAAAAAAAATGACGGAAAATTAAATTAAGCTTATGAAAGTATTGATTCAGCGCAAGCCGTCACAGACTTTGTCGCTTTGAGTCTGCTTCAGCTCGGTTTAAGAGATAAAGAGAAATAAGGTTATGGTTGTAGGGTCTCGAGAGAGGGAGGGAGATAGCACAGAAAATTATTTGCACTGCTTTGCTCGATTTGTTTCTTTCAAGAAACAAACTACCTAAAAGTAATTTATCGCAAATGGTTTGGGTACTTGTACTTGACATGACAGCGTGCCCTGAAGCAAGTGCTACAAAACCTAAGATAGAGAGAGGTTTGTTCGTTCGTTTGTGCTTTCAGTCAGTCAGATAGACAGGAGAACGCACACGTGGTTTCCACTATCTTTTCAAAAATTTTGTTCGACCTTACGAAATATTGTGTTAAATTTACAGGAAAATGACGTTACAGATCCTGAATTAAAGTAACCTGGAAAGAAATCGGTAGGTTTTGATTGAAATCAAAGACAAAAAGGTATCACCATTAAGATGTCACATGAGATCTTAAGGCCTGAAATGATACCTTGTGCTCGAGTTGTAAAACATAGCTTTGTTTTATCTGTTGTTTCTTGCTTTTTTACATATTTATTAATTTTTGAAAACAGAATATGAATAAGAAGAAGAGAAAGCAGGAACAATTCCGGCGACTGAAAGTAAGGAGTTGTTTACTTCACCTCATTTATTTGTATCTGCATCTGTTCATATGTGAATATATGAAGTGCGTTTTCTTTTATGCCTGGACTATCAGATGAAATATAATTATTTTTCTCCTCCGTGATTTGAGAACCCACGTCTCCTTTTCTGTCTTTCTGTGGGAAGGTAGATGGGTAGGTCGGTAGGTAGGTTGGAGGATAGGATGGATGGATTGATTGGTGTCTCAATTGATGGACAAACAGATTAAATGGAAGCCTTAATGGGTGGAAAGACGGAAATAATGGCTAACTGAGTGACTAAGGTACAAGAACAGTAACAAGATCTATATCAGTGTTGGTCGGTTGATGCTCTCCAATGTCGAATGATTTATTTATTCATTGACTGATTGACTGACGTGGAATATTTTTTCCCTCAGGAGGAAGAGACGATCAGAAAGGAAATCAGCAAAAAAATTGAGACCGATGAAACTTATCAAGAGCAGAAGCAACGCGAGGTTTGTTTTCTCTTTATAGATGAAATTAAATTTCATTAGCAGAACTGGCAGCAAAACTCATAATAAATCAAGCGTTATTTTTGCAATATCTTTTAAATCACATTTTCCTATTGGCTTTTGTTTTTTTTTTGTCTGTTCCTTGATTTTTAATCTTTTCTTCTTCTTGTTTGTTCCTTCGTCCGTTTTTTGGTTATTGCTTCCCTTCAGTTCCTAACGTATAACGATGTAATTCATAAAAAATTACCCCTCTCAGTCTACACAGCTGCATCATCATCATCATCATCAAGTTGAGCTTGCAGCCCAGCCTAAAAATTATTAAATTTGTTTTGTGAATTGCCAACATTATAACAATATAATTGGGAAAGAAAGACTTTGATTTTATTAATGCTTTTTACCTAAGCAGAAGGTGAAATTAGCTGGAAAACAATCACTTCCATCTTTCGATGTAAAAGTAGGTATGTCTAGGTCTCTACTAACTGTTCTGAGTATGTTATCATGTTTAATTTTCCAATCTTATTCTCGTTTCAGGAATGTATGAAATGCTTGGTGCGTGCTATATTTTTTATCATATTTGCACGAAACATTTCTATATATATATTGATAGCAACTATCCAATTTTTTTTGCGTTGCTTGTTCCTTTCTCGTTGTATTCATGTTTCTATACGGTTGACTTCATGAGAGTACTAAGGGTCTGGAAGTCGACAGATTAACTTTGCAGCCCTAACGCCTAAGCTGGAACATAAATATCACAGGATGACTATCGATTTCGAATTTGCTCAACTATGCTTTTCACAACTTACCCGCGAACAGACTTGCGACAATCCTCCTCCTCCTGATAATGTGATAATTTTTAATCTCTTAAACTGTTAATTTTTTTATTTTGATTTTCTTTTTCACAAGCAATGGAAGCCTCAGGAACCAAAAAAGAGACTGGTGAGAAAAAAGTTAAACTTAAAGGTATGCATAGTTCCATACTGGGACTTGAAAAAATGTTGATCTTTTATTCGATTTGAACCGCACATGACCATTTTCTGTTTTAAATGTGATTACTTAATATTTAACCGATTTCTCTAGACATTTTTTTAAGCTATTAACTTTGAGGAGCCTCATACATTTACATTCGTTTACTTAGTCTCAACAGAAGTTATTGAATCGGGAGCAAGACCAAAGGAAATAAAAAAGAACGAAAGATCCAAAAAGACCAAAGTTAAGGAGGGTGAGAGAAAACACATGAATTCTCCTTACATATCTTTGTTGTGACTAGTTTCCATATTTTACCAAGGCTTTTCGAAAAAAATATTCGACCCTTAACTCATGATCACACCTTGATATCGCTAGCGATTGAAGCTTTTAGATGTGGAGGTGGGTCTCTTGCTGCGTGTGTATACGGTTGCCTTGTTATAGGAAGGTTGGTGGAGTGACTTTTATAATAATGTATTTATAGTTAAGCTATCATCTACAACAGCTCATTGTACGTAAACTTAAACTAACATTGGCTAAGTTCAAAGAATTCAGATAAAACATAAGATTGAGCTTATCAACAGGTTTAAACAGGGATTCAAGTAATGAATACCTTGAGACGGTTAAGGTATGCTTAATTGTAAAATAGTAGTAACAGCCACCTCGTTGCTTTTCCTTCTCAAACAGTATATGCTAATGATGGCATCAGAGAAAACCCTCGAGAAAGTTGTAAAAAGTCTTCAAGCAATCAGTCGTATTCCTTTACGCCAGCTCAAAGATTTAGCCCTGACTACGGCAAGAATTTCATCAAACAAGAGGAATTACAAAAGAGTTTGCTGCCCCCTTCTTTAAATAGAGTGGTTGAAGCTAAGTCCGGTAGCTCAGATGGAGATGAATTTGTAGGTGCATCGAGTGAAACAGATCATGGATGGACAGCAGTTAAACCCAGGGGTCAGAATAGAAGATCATCCATCAAAACCAAATTTCAAAGCGTCGGTCAAGAAAATAAAGTACAGGAGTGGAGGAAACTTGAAAGTCAATCGAAGTCTGGACGAGACTGGTCATCTCTGCCACGATCTACTGAAATATCACGAGGTTCCACACATCCTTTCAAACGTAATTCAGACACATATCAGGCAAGGAAATCGTCAGTACACACTAATGACACACCAAAATCTCAGCGGCAGGGCATGGAACAAATTTCCCCACTGCAAAATCTACATTTTGAAACAAATAAAGTAACAGGTGGTCAAAGATTTGTCAATGACACTTCAGTAAGAATTGGATCGCAATCCACAAAGGCTTTGCCGAATGGTGTCTTCCCTCTCTGCGCCCACTTTTTGCAAGATAACAGAAAGGGAGCATGTTATAAGCATCCAAGCCCTTGTCCCAAGTGTTCAAAGGATTCTTATAAACTTTTATTTGGAGTTTGGAGAAGAACTGAAAAAGAATGGCAGATAATGAGGCCCTATCCAAAGGGTGTCAAATTAAAAACTCCTTTTCGACTCTGTTGGCACTTCAGCAATGGGGAGAAATGTCCAAAGAAACCATGCACATTTGCACATGGCCGGGAGGAACTAGAATTCTGGACGTTTGCGAGAGAATCAGGTATGTCAATGTCTGGCATTTTACATACATTCAGTTCATGTAACCTAAAATGATTGGTGGAGAGGTAATGACATCAAAAGTAAGAGTGAGAGGGATGATAGAACAGTTTGTAACGGACAGTACCATGCACTCATCCAAATGCAATAAATTGTTTTGTTTTACCCTACAATGAATATAAAATTAGCTGTATTTTTCATTGACATAATGGTCAGCAGCAACAGTATGCGATTTTCTCAGCTTATATGAAATTTACTTACGCTGACATTTCCATTGCAGAGATTGGTACCTTTCGAAAGACTGGCACCGATAAAAGACTTCAACAAGAGGTTGAACCTGAAGACAATCCCAGGCCTCAGGAACTCATTAAGGGGTCCTTGGTCTTTCGCCACACGACAGAAAAAAAGCTAAAGGCTTCTCGAAAAAGCGCAAACCCTGGGTAGTATGCTTTTTCATCTAAATAATAATGATCTACCTAAGCAGCATTTTTAAAAATATATTCTAACTGTTGTTATATCGACCTGCTGCCAGTGCAAAAGGGAGCAGGATAGTCGAATGGTTTAGGGTGGTCTTAAGGGCAAAGAATGTTTGCACCATAAGCTCAGGTTGTTCTCTTTAACTGAGAGAGAGAGAGATAGGCTTAGGCCATCTTCTGCTTTTCTCCTTTTTACTCTATATGAAATCTGACAATGGATGATTTTTAATCATTGAAATCTGATGGTTTAAGTAAAAATGGAACGTTCTTTCTTTTACTCACAGCAAAGAAGAGCGGAGATCATGGGCGGGTTGCAAAAATGAAGAAATGGCAATTACAAGGAAAGAGGAGCCAAACCGCGAAAAAGGGGTGGAAAGGGATGACAGCATTTCAAGAATCAAGGTGCTTAGTAAGACGTTTTGCTCCCCTGAAAATTTACCATCTTACACCATTCAATAAAATCTTCTTTATTTATGTAATGGAATGGCGCCAAAACATACCAGATCTTTAATAAAAGAAGCAAAAATAGCGACGAACCCAAACAAAGTTTGGTTTTAAATTCATTGATTTCAAATGCAATACAGATTCTGACTGCGTGCTCTAAAAATTGGACTGCAAACGTGTTGTGGAAGACAAGGCGACTTTCCTAAGCATGTACCGTTTTTATCCATTCTTTTTTCTCGGTGAATGGTTTATCGTCTCTCTCATGTCACTTTTATCCATTTCGTTTACTTGATAAACGGCTAACCCTCCTCCTGGTGTTATTCTAATTCACTTCGTTTTCACGTTAGATGGTTTACAGTCTCCCAGGTGTCAAGATTACGTGTGATAAACCCACTATAGTGACGATCATCCAAAGGCACGAGGAAGAAAGCACCCACACATTTGACTGGGTTTTTACCCTCACATTTGAGGTAAAAGACGCAAATAAGTAAAATTGTCATCTCCTTCAAAGATTTGTATTACAAGTGACTCAATAGCTGTTTATTTTAAGATGTGTTTTTATGAAGGAAGCGAATTCGTTAAAAGACCGCGTGTACACATCTTGAAGAGCTATAACTAACCATATTTATTATTGTATTTTCGTATGTTTTGTCTACAGTTTAACTATTCTTTGATAGAAAAATGTTCACCATTTCTACAATTGTATTTTTTTTATCCTTCTTTAGATAGCTGAAGTTGGAAAGCTGCGTAAAATTGATCTCCTTCATCGATACCACGAGTGCTATCGCCTTACTGAAATTAAAGGCCTTTCCGGGGACGTAGAGGAATTCCGTGACGCTCCTAAAGAGCGCTGGTCTTACACCCTTCCCAGTTTTTTTGACCAGATGAAAGGTCGAATTCGAGTTGCTGTCACCGTCTCCTTTCACACCACAAAGTTTTACGGGACGTTTACACAATGTCTTCAATTTGATTTTGAAAGAAAACCGCACTTATTACAAGGATTAAACGTGGATGTTGCTAGCGAAGGTGCCTTGAGCGGAATCTCAAAGATGAGGCAGTTGCTAAAATTGGATTCCTCCGTTTGGACGGAAGGTTCTGTGGAAATAGTCCGGTACCCAGAATCCATTAATAAGGATGATCAGGATTTCCTGCTACAAGATAGATACCGGTTACCAGAGAGAATTGAGAATATTCTTCCATTGCAAATAACGGAGATAAACCTAACCATGGAAAAATACAGGAGAGTGATGCATCAATTATTGTTTACTGAAGAGCTGTTTATCAAAAAGGCAATTTCCAGGTGTGTAGCTGCATGCTAATGATCTGTTACTTAAATTATTTCTTGATGGGAAAAAACATTACTTGCTGATCAGTTTCACAACTCCTTATCGCTTTTTACAAACTTAACATGGAAGTCATTTCTGAAGAAAGAAAGAACGTCTATAGCACAAAAAAGTAATTTCCAACACTTGTTTTCGTGATAATATTTCAAACTTGAGGAACCTTAGTATCCTTTTTACTTAGTATTTTTCATTAGAATGCGTTGCATAGTTGCGGCGTACACTTACTATCAATAAGCTTTCCTGTAAACCAATAATGTTTCTTAAACTGTTTGACTGGCATAAAGGAATGATATTAATAGTCAACCGTTTTAAGACTAAAGAGTTGGAGAAGAAAACGATGCTCTAAGTAAACTAAACACAATTTCATTGATTTATAGGTTTGCCTTTAACGATGTGACCTTACATTGCAAAAGTACCGTCGTTGACCAAAGATCAGGACTCACACACGCCGTGGACGGCGAGTTGTTTGGTGTTCTGAAGCTCGAGCAAAAAAGATCCCCCCACTTAGATGACGCTGCAAGAAGACTTCTGACTAGAGTTGTACAGTATGCTTGGCTTCGGCTAACTAGTGGCAGTTCAAGGAATGTGTACGAGGCAAAAGTTGAAACTGTCGAGACTGAATCACAGCACGTGACTTTGAAGCTGTCTTCCCAGACTTGCTTAGATTTGCAATTGACTGATGAGGGTAAAGTTTCAATCGATGCACAATTGCAGCTCAATCGGCAGTCTCTTTGTCAATGGCATGATGCAATTGATAGGCTGGGACCTGTTCATCTTAAATTACTCTTTCCAGAAAAGAAAATATTGCGTGTCAATCAAGAGGTAGATAGTTTCTTTTTAACGAGAAATATATGGGCTGTTCTCATATAGGGGTAAAGTGAGCATGATGTTTCGACATAACTTGTAAAAATTATCAAAAATGTAAGTTTCTTGGTTCAAAAATACAGATTTGTATGGTAACTGAAATTTTGGTACTGATATTGGTCTGATTTTGACATTATTTTGTCATAATGTTGACATCTGTTTTAGCATAGGTGATTGTCACATATAAAACTTTCGTTTGGTCACTCGTGACGTACCGCCTACGTCACCGAAGACTAATGTTGAGAATATATCCTTATTATCTTTGAAGGGAATTCATCTCTCTAATTGGCAACGTTTGGAGCCCAAGCTCAACGAGAGCCAAAGAAAGGTGATAAAGCGTATTTTAGCTCCTGAAGATGTATCATCACCGCTTGTTGTCTTTGGACCTTTTGGTACCGGCAAAACATTTACATTGAATCAGGCAATCCGTGAGTTGGTGACAAGAGAAAGCAATCGTGTTCTTCTTTGCACACATACAAACAGCGCAGCCGATATACACGTTAAGCTATTACACGAGTACTTGACAGAGCATAATGGACTGAAAGCGACCAAGCCGCTAAGGATTTATCAAACAAAGAGAAGGTACTAAGTAACACTTTACTTTTCACACGCATTCTCTTGAAATTAGGTGGTACTGGCAAAAAAGTACAAGATATTCAAACAATTAAAGTTGTTGAAAATGCACTCTCCTCTACGAAAGGCGAACGCTCGAAAATTCCGCTTTAGAAACTCTAGAGGGTGGCCAATTTACATTATCAACTCAGGTGATAAAACCAAGTTATCCCATCTCTTGATCTGCCTATCATATGTTTCATAATTTTGCGTGTAGATCCAGGTCTACATCTTTGTTCAAAATTATATTCCTATTCATTGTTTTTCTTTTACTTTTGTGTTTGTGAGTACCAGGGCCGTAGCCAGACTTCAGAACAAGACGAAGCATGTTTCGAGCGCCAAAGGCGTGAGCCGCTTTGTTCAAAATTTTTGAAATTTAGAGGCTCAGAAATGCTCTTTTAAAAAATCCAATTTTTCTGGGGACTATTTTCTAAATTAAACGTTTCTTCAAAAGAAAAAAAATTGCCTCGTCTCGCCTCATGCTGGCTACGGCCCTCAGTACGTCCGGCAAAAAGTTTAACACCTGTATCTTGCACAATTTTAGATTAAATGCTGATTTAGATATAGCTAAGAGGTATGGCCTTATAAAAGACGGCGCCTATGTACTTCCCACAAGAGAGGATGTTATTTTGCGTCGTGTTGTGATCGCCACACTAGCTGTATCACGGCATCTTCTAGAGCTTCGATTAAACCATGGATTCTTTACACATATTTTGATTGACGAGGCTTACCAAGCCCTGGAACCTGAGGCACTAATACCACTCGCGTTAGCTGGACCAAATACAAAGGTTGTCTTTACTGGAGATCATATGCAGGTACAATTTTGTTATCACTGGTTTTCAATTAATGTTTTGGAGTAAGATATTTTCAGTTCTAACGTCCCTTCTTAGAGCTCATTTTAAGGCAGGTCAACTATGGTAGTGATGACACATTAAGAAATATCAAAAATATCGTTGACAGTCAAAATTTGGTAAATTTCTTAGTACCATAAGCAATCATTTAACCATTAATTTTGTTGAAATGATTGGGGTGACCATGCACATATATGATTCACTTCCGATTGCAATGCTTTTCATAAATTTGTTTTATTATTATTTCCAGATGAGTCCTGAAGTATATTCGAATCATGCCCGTGCTTGGGGTCTGCAGAGGTCGCTCCCTGAGAGACTGTTTGATCACTTGTACAGCGCAGAGCAACCGTCAAATTGCAATGTGGTAATTCTGACGGAAAACTATCGGTGTCATCCAAAAATTCTGCAATTTTCCTCACATAACTTCTACAAAGAGGGGCTGATCGCGAGGAGCGAAGAACCTCAACACCCAAGGTTGAAACCATTATTATTCTATTCTGTGTCCGGTATGGAAGAAGCGAGAGAGAATTCATACATTAACACAGTAGAAGTAGATGAAATTGTAACGAGAGTCAAGGAGCTCGCAGGTGACTGGCCAGTGGAGTGGAAAGAAAAGGATCTCTCTAAAATTGGCGTCGTCTCGGCATACCTAAGTCAGGTAATTTTTGTGAAAGCTTTTAATGAGTAAAGGTTGACCGTTTGATTGACCATTTAAAACCATACGTCCATGAAGAAAATAAAGTTGGGCTGATCGCAGGGCATTAAAATGGTCAACACACGGAGCTGATCAGTGTGTTATCATGCATTCATGACCATTTCGTCATAACTGCCCTTTTGCATTAAGAAGAACCGGTAGTAGTTCTTTTCCACTCTGGTTTTCTCACAATGAGCCTAAGTTTGAAGAAAACGAAAAAGTGATCAAGACACAAATATAAAGCTGAATGTCGTAGAGTGGCTGTGTCAATATTTTAAAAATATAATGGGTATCGCTTATTAGCCTCAATGGGCGGAGTAAGTCAGATTTTCCTATTCATTTCTGTTTTCACTTACAGGTTCAATTAATCCGACAAGCTCTCAGAAGGGAAGGCGAGGGGCTTAAGAAAGTCACAGTGGAAACAATCTATAACGTCCAAGGTAGCTAAGAATCAGAAATGTTGGTTTATACTGAATAAAAAGATAACAAACAAATACAAAATATGATATCACATATATTTTCTATACCACAGGAAAAGAATTCCGTGCCCTATTCATCAGCACTGTACGCACATCCCTCACATTCCCTCAATTTCACAAACGTAATGATCAAAGATTCTACTGGGAGTTCTTTTCTGACCCGAAGCTCTTAAACACGGCGGTAACCAGAGCTATGTCTTTGGTAGCAGTCGTTGGAGATGCTATCTCCTTGTGTACTGTTGGTGAGTGTAGGAGCAATTGGCGGGATTTTATCAGAAGATGTGACCAAGATGGATCTCTGTCTGGAACTTCATATACAGCGATAGAGGAAGCTATAGCTACCCCTCTTTCTAAGATTTCTTTAAACCCTGAGGCAGCTGTTTTCGTTCCAAGTAGCGATGGAGGCCTCAAACCGTTGGTATGCGATCGCTCGCAAGGTGCGAAAGATACGGAAACCATCGAATTGAGTGAAGAAAGTTCAGCTGAACACAGTCTCGTTAGTCCAATGACCGTGTCAGGAAGTAAAACAGATCGCCCGAATAATCATTTGAATGTAAAAGAGGTTTCATCTAAAGAGAAGGAGGAGCGTAAAACTGATGGGTCTTTGGAACAATATTCGCAAGGTGATTCATATCCAAACCAAGAAGACGAAGACGACGCAGAGCTTAGTAATTTAACCCCTTTTGAAGACTTTCGACGGGAAGGTTGTGAAGACGAAACAGTTCTTCCAAGCTCCTTTGACAAAGTAATTGAGGCACTTGTGGCAACGAAAAAAGAAACCCAGGAGAGGGAGCTTCGACGATCACTAAAGAATGAAGAATACCCCTCGCTGAGGAATGCAGAGTCGATCAACCGGAGAGGATACAAAGTGACAAATGATTTCGACGAAGGAAGCAAACACAACAATCGAGGCAGTCGAGAAAATTCCAGTTTATCTGGTCTTTCGTCTGATGACTATCAATTCTCCTTTGACGCTATAGGTAGGGTACAGGCTGGCCCGGTAAACTTCGGGCATCATCAAACGCATTCTAATCGACGTAATAGGCCAACGGGACAAGTCAAGGAAGATGAATACCTTCACCGAGAGGTATTACTGAAATTTATTCATGAACAACCTAAGACTTATCGTGCCAGTACACTTCATCTCGACTCCGAGGCCTTCAACATGGCATTTGCTACTGTGCCGGACACGCAAACACCGGACATACAAATCAAAGGAAGAGTTAAAAGGGTTTTCGACATGGATCAAGTTGTCGTCAATATTGCAGAAAATCAGTCAAATTCTATTGATGCAGTTCCTCGCTATCAGGGAGAAATTGTAGGTAAGATTAACTTACTTCCTGCCGTAGTTTGGTTTTTCTTAAACTGGTGCACTGCAAACTTCACTACGGGGCGAGAAACTACACCTATCGTTTTCCACAAGGTATAGGCCTATATTGCTGATACAATACGTAGTTACCATAAGTGTCTGCTGTTATGATTTATTATTCAGCAAATAAGATGTCTTACTTTGGCCTATTATTGTCCATCTTCTTTATAGGTGTGCTTCATCACATTATCAGCCCTCACGAACGACAGTTTGTCTGCAAGGTCAATTTCCACAATCCGAATTTGATGCTTCCAATCAATAAGTCCATGTCAAAAATCGTGATTTTATCTGCAGATAACCTTGAAGGTGTACCCCTCTACAAGGAATTGCGCGAGGGAAACGGGAAGAAAGTAAAAGTCTGCGAGATGGACTATGAAGAATTCCTTAGTGGAAAATACCTGTTCCTCGTGCAGTTTCTACAGTGGAGGTCAGATTGCATTTACCCCTTAGGTATCATCATTCGAAAATTGCCGAAGAGATATACTTGGAAGGCCAGTATGGAGATTCTTCTAGCAGAGCATGGTATTAGAAAGTCATTCAGCGATGATTGTGAAAGGGAAGTGCGAACGAAGTTCCCCTCGTCGTGGTCAATACCAGCTCACGAAAGAAACAACCGCGAAGTAGTTAAAGGAGCATTTACGATAGATCCTGAAAACTCTAAGGATCTCGATGATGCACTTTCCCTAGAACTGCTTTCGAGCTCTGTATACCGGGTAGGAATTCACATCGCAGACGTGAGTTACTTTGTAGAGGCTGGTAGCTATTTGGATAAAGAAGCATTGTTTCGCTGCATATCCTATTACCCTGGGAATGAGTATCAAAATGTTCCAATGTTACCACCTGATCTCAGTGAAAAACATTGCAGCCTTCTTCCTGGTAAAGATCGTTTATGTTTATCAGTGTTTCTTGACATGTCAGAAGATGGAAAATGTTTGGGAGAGCCACAGATCAAACGCACAATCGTAACGTCCTCCCGTCAGCTTACCTACTCTGACGCCCAAAAAGTTATTGATGCTCAACGAAGCTCACGCAAGCAATTCCCCAAAAGTGTTGAAAGTGATATTCAGGCCCTGAATGTCCTAGCGCAAAAAAGAAGAAAATTAAGACTCCGAGAAGCTAGCTTTGACCATTGGTCAGACAGTGATGAGCCAGAATGTTATGAAGCACATGAGTTAGTGGAGGAAATGATGATTTTGGCCAACGAGAAAATAGGTCAACTTCTTCTCACTAGTATTCCAGAGATGGCACCGCTGCGCACCCAACTGCCACCAAAAGATTACAAATTGAAAGATTGGTTGAGTCGATACGGGCATTTTATCAAGTGTTCTCTGTTTCTCCGCGGCAAGCAACATCTCGAGAAGATGACCGAGGATAACCAAATGAGAGAGATCACGGAATTCAAAGTGCAAGATTCCGTTTGGTCAGAAATCTGCAGGGCTGTAGAATCTGATGACAAAGCAAAGCTACAGCGGCTGATTTTTACAGAAAGAAAGTATCCTCAGCTAGCTGTTGCAAATCTTCAGTTTCAACGCATTCAGCAAAAGTCCTGTTATATCTGTGAGAGAGGTCATCCACGAGAAAACAGTTTGCATTTCTCTCTGGGGGAGCACGGCTATACACATTTTACTTCACCCATTCGACGGTACATTGACATTCAAGTACACAGACTCGTCTTGGGTTTAATCTCCAACGACCACGGTGCAGAAAGATACCGAAAGGATTACGTGGCTAAGGTGTGTCGTCGTTCCACGTTTGCTCAGCGTAATAGCAAGAAGTTCGACAGAGCAAGTAATAAAGTCAATTTGGCTGCCAAGCTTAAAGAAGCAAGCCGCGAAACAAAAGCAGTCATCGCAATGATCGAAGATAAGAGCATTAGGTTGGAAATAACGAGCCAAGAACACGACCGTTTGTCCAAAAAAGAGAGGGAAATTAAATTCAGCGATCTCAACCTGTATGATTTCATGCCATATATATCAGAAATAGTCTTTATCTGGAAATTAAGGCTATACATTGCTCCAAAAGAGAGGGAGTCCTTGGAGGACTACATCGAAAATCTAGAAATCGAAAGAAATGAAGTTGTTTCCCTGTTAAATGAAGGATTGGCTGCCACGAAGGAAGTCCTAAGCTTGAAGATGGAAAACTGGATGAAGCTCCTGGAAGCTGTTCAAGACAACGACTATGCAGAAGCTAAGATGTTGATTACAAAGACTGAAGATCACCAAAGGGCTCTCAGAAAACGGTTTCCTCCACGTAACAATGAAAATAGGGATTCAAACACGGAGCACTTTCATGAAAGGCGACTGTCTCTGGCGACCTTTGACATGGTAAACGTTCAGTTAAGTGCCCACATGACACAAGGAATGTTACATCCGCAAATTCAGCTTTTCAAGATTAATTCCAAGGTCCACATTTGCATTGAACACCGCAAATATCCAAGAGAGTGCTTCGCTACGACGGTAAAATACCGAGCATCTCGAGCAAGCTACTCGTGTTTAGAAAGCTACATCACTGCTTGGGAACCTGTTCTTGCCATGGAAAGCGCTACAGAGGCTGTAGATGAAAGTGACGAGTTTACTATGTACGATTTACATGTGAAGTGGCGGGCTGAAACCAGTGAAAATCCAGTTGGTTCTTTCAGCCTGGACCACGAATATTGCAAGAATCGTCAAATCGAGTTTTTCCCCGGGGATTTCGTTTGCATCCATGTCCGAGAAGACTTCAATAAAAACTGTCCTTCTTCCACCAGTAAGAGGAACATATCACAGGTATCACAGATAACCTTTCAAAAACGTAATTTTAAATAAGCTCTTGACGTTATTTTTCAGTACATGGGTGAATATCAATGCATAACTATTACTAACTCTATATCAGAAGAGTTCTCTTTATCTTATTGGTCCTTTGCTTGCATCACCAAATTTAACACTAATATTTCAAAAGATCCAAGTTCTTTACATGTGTCTATAACATGCTGTAATTTTTATGCGGACGGTAAATCTTAAGACCAAGCGTTGAGTGCGTGCATCTCAATTTGTGGTGAAATTGTGAATTCCGATCACATGAATGATTGCATCTACTTTAGCCCCGAGGAAGGTCTTTCGTCCATTACTCTATCGTGCCAGGTGAGGTAGGTGTCAGCTGATAGTATATAGTCCTTCACAGTCTTGCATATGCTTCAGAAAACAAATTCTGAATAGCAGCTTATATTACGGATATTTCATAACAATCGCCTAAAATCTGAAATGTCTTATTACTTTCAAAACAGATGGATACAAATCTTGAAGAACAACCTCGCGACCCGTTGGCAGCTGGAACTTCATCCTTGGAAGGCAATTCACCCCAAGAAACCCATGAAGTGTCATCGAATGTCTGGGTTGGACACTGCGTCATAAGACGTGCTGAATTGTTAAAAGAAAACACTTTGTTAGTTGAGATGAACTTTCATCAGTCAGCCTCGAAGTTTCCTGAAGATCTATTGAGTGGTGGTCAACTGAGTACATTAAACATCATTCACAGATCACTTCCAAAGAGGTAATTTATATCAGATAGAGTAAAAAAGTGACTTGAGAAGGAAACATAGGGTTTCCTGAACGCGCAGGATCTGGGCGCGAACATTGTGTGAGCTTTACAAGTGTCAAAATGCAAAAACAAACAGGGCGGCTCGATACGATCGCACGATTGTTATCCGAAAAGGTGTATTAAAAACATTTTAACACAGTAAAGTTTTTATGTGATGGAATCTAGGGCTTCCAGCAACTGCCCTTAAGATTCATAGGCTATACGCCTGAAAAAGAGGTCAACCGAAAAGAAAACACCGTGGGAAAGATTGTCAAATGGCGAATGATTGCAACATAGTTGAGAGTTTACGCACGCTCAGATATTGATCTTGGCGAAATTCTATTCCATTACGCAATGTTTTGCGACAAAGAAAGTACGCATCTTTCAAGTGAAATTTATCGTAATTCCTAAGATTTGCTGGACCGTTAAACATATTTAAAATGATCGCCAGGACAAATTTCACAAATTTCACAAATTTTTGAGAGATTTCACCGAAGCAAATCGAAGAAAATAAAACTGAGAAAAAAGGCAAGTTATCACTGGCGAGCGCCTCCCTTTGTAGCGCCTAACCTAAGAAACGAAAACCGTTTTGATAATGTTTACTACAGCAAACGATTGTCCGAACCTTGCTCATCTCCCTTTTGATGGCTTTTAGTGACCTAGAAAGGCTAAAACAAAAATTTTCTAGAAAAACAATACGCTGGCGCGCGAGCGCGCCAACATTAAGCCAAAAACCCAATGGAGCCTTCTTAAACAGAGCAGCTTTCATATGCCTTACCGTGTGGTTCAAGACGTAACAACCCTTGGGTTTCGCTGGTTTGAGAGGAAGGTATCATGTTCCGCATTTCGTTTGTTCTTATTACGAAAAACACGGATATGCTTAATCTTCCCGACAATTTACATTATGCTTTGATAATTTTTGGTATACAATAGCACCGTTCGTTCATGCAGACTGCATTTCAATCTGCTGTTCTCACGAAGGAAACGTGAATAATTCCACCCTGGTGGTAATATATATTCGATGTTTCTGTTTTTGTTTTCGTTTATTTTTAACGGTGGCTTGTTAGTTTGCTTCGTTGCATATTTCTGCAGATTTTTTTACACGGAATATTCCCTTTGCAATTTTAAAATGGAGGAGCATTTGAATTAACGGATTTGAAAGAAATCGCTCTTTAAAAGTACTCGAAACAAGATTTTTAAACAAAATAAGGGCATTGAGTCGGACTCGCTCAAACCAGCCAGATTGCAGCAACAAAACTACATCTACCTTTTTTCTTCAGACGAATGTTTGCAGCTCTTAAAGAACTAAGATTTGCATCCAAACTGTCTCACGCCATTTGCTTGGGAATAGAGCCAGATCAAGGTCAGTGGTCACTGAATTTAGACTAAGTTTTGCGTACATACGGCGTTAACTGTTTCAAAAATCAAAAAATGGAAAAAAAAAAAGAAGTTTCCATGAGGCATTATAAAAATGCGAATGGAAGAGTAGCCATAACAACCTCTGTCACACTGTTCTCAAAGTGGGGTATCGGATACAAGGACACAAAATCGAGGGAAAGTGGAAAGGGACGAGTCACCAGCAAAAAAGCGGAAAACGTACGAACTCAGGGCTAGCACAAATGCAAATCTATGACCCCAGGGCGTATGTGCGAAGAGATCGCTCGCAGGCTTACAAAAATTGTCCCTACTTTCATTATTGATCTTCTTGGGGTATTATATAGAAAAGGCAAATATCATGGGAACTTTTAAAGCAACAAACTAAGTTTTGGATGGACCTTTCCGCTGTTTACGTAGATCAAAAAATTATAATGTACATTCAGGAAAATTTGTAAAGGATCTCTGTTTTTCAAACTCATTTTTTTATTAGGGTGGTTTGAGCCACAGCTTCCACATGATATGTCAATTGTGCGAGACTATCCGAAGTGCGGATTCAAGCCGCTGAATCCATATCAGCAGGCAGCTGTGAAAGGTGCTCTTGAGAAGCCATTTACCCTCATCCAGGGTCCTCCAGGTATTGCTTTAACATTTAAAATTAAAATAAGCTAAAATACTTGGGTCTTGACGCGTGTGCTTACCTTCTCTTACCTATTCATAATGCAAGGTGAAGGCACCCCGCCCTTAATCCTCAGGCAATGAGGATATATTGGATACAAATTATGGAAACGAAAAAACTTTATTGTACATTAACACTTTGACTTTAGTAATTAAAAGGATCAAATGAATGCATCTATGTCCATTTTGAGGTACGGGTAAGACAGTGACAGGTGTCCACATAGCCTTCAGCTTCGCGAAACGAAACAGGCAAAACCTCCATACTTTTGATCCGGGAAGTCAAGACGAACCGAAGGCACCACCGCAAGTTATTTACTGCGGTCCTTCCAACAAAGCAGTAGACGTTGTGGCCGGTAAGTTTCTTGAAAAGAAAAACTCGCCACTTAGATTTGCTACAATCATTTTAAGTCATTTTGATTAAGACGATAAATCATAAACATTTCCAGCCCTTCGCATTTAATTCGTAGCAAAATACGAGTGAAAAAGTACTACTGAATACATCTTAATGATATTTAACACGCGTTTCGTGGTATGGTTCTGACAAATATGAGGAAGTAGAACACAAGAACAGGTGATTACGCAACGGTGGTTAAATGTTCCCATCCATTAAACTCAAATGGAAAATAACAAATCAGCAATTTTAAGGATGAACTAACTTTTTTCTTGTTTGCGTTCAATAAAGAGTACATGATTAAAGTTCCTGGCCTCAAGATCATCCGCGTGTACAGTGATCGGAAAGAACAGGCAGAGTTTCCAATCCCTAACAAACGCCAGGCTCTTAAACAGTCCAGCGACGATGGGATCGGAATACCTGAGAAACTGAAGAACGTTTCGCTACATCACATAATTCGAAAATATCCATGTCCATATGCTAATGTACTTGAGATGTATGAAAATAAGTTTGAGGATGATAGGATGAAAAATAAGAGAACCAGCAAGGAAGAAGTAACTGCATATTGCCAGGTGAGCACCTAAGATTCAACGCTCCTTGGGGAATCTCAGTGTCTTCAAGGGAGATGTTGAATCTACGAAAGTCGTGTAATTCAACTACATACACTGGTATGATATTTTAAACACCGATCAAGTTAAGTTCACATAATTCTTCACCCACGCAGCTACCCAGGCATACATTCGTCCCTTATCAACTCAATAGTTAGTTCCTCCATTCACATTTCGTTCACTCATTCATTTATTTATTCAGTCAGTCAGTCAGTCAGTCAGTCAGTTTTTATGTTAGTAACGTTATATTTCTTTCTTTCATTTCTTCAATCTTATATCTATAATTACAACATCATTTCCCCATTTGCTCATTTTTTGGCTTGTTTGCTGATTCACTCATGTTCAGCTAATCGGCAAAGCCGAGGTTTGGGCACTTCAATCATCAGGAGCCCAGGTTATCCTGTGCACGTGCTCGGTTGCTGGTAGCCGTAGGATTGCAACTGCCTGTGATAACGTTCAACAATGTATCATTGATGAATGCGGCATGTGCATGGAACTTGAATCTCTTGTACCAATCACTTTCTCGAAAGCAAAGCAAGTGGTGTTGATCGGTGATCATAAACAGTTACAGCCTGTTGTTATAGACCAACAGGCATTGACGCTTGGTTTGAACATATCAATGTTCGAGAGGCTTTCTGACCGAGCCCAAATGCTGGAAATTCAATACAGAATGGTAATCAAACCTTTTATTCCTCTTGTTTTTTTTATAAAGCATCAATTATTGGCCCATACATTTAGCAATCTAACCTTAATAACAAACTTTCCTATCTTTATCACAGCCCACTTACAGCGTGCCCATAGTCTTAAAACGAGCACTAATGGTTGTATCAGACTTTTATACTCTTGCACTGACTTGAGGAATGAGGACTAGTCGAAGAACACAGAAGGGTTTTAGCTGATTTTTTTTTTCTAGTATCCATTCTTGCGTTCTAAAAGAAAAAGGAAAAAAACGAAAAAGCTGAGAAATATTTTTGAATTCGTGAGATATTCCTCTGAAATAACAGTTATTTCTGATAGCATACATAAAAGGCCCTAGGTATCACTGAATGGAGCTTCTCATTACAACACTTACCCTGTGCAAACGTAAACATAAGGCGCCGAAAGCTATTTCCCTCTCCTATTTTTTATCTATTCTTTTGGTGAAAGCCTACTACTTAAGTTAAATCTTTTTGTTGTTCTTTTAGCAAAGAGAGATTTGCAGTTTTCCATCGGAATATTTTTACGAAAGTAAATTGAAAACAGACAAATCTGTACCGACAAATGACCCAAATTTACGATCTTTTTGGCCTAATCCAAATGTTCCTCTGGCATTTTGTCATGTCGAGGGCGACGAGGAAAGTACAGCCATTAAGACAACACACAGCAGTGAGCAGTCCAAGTCAAATCAGAAAGAAGTACGAAAAGTGGTAAGTAGTATTCAGTCACCATCGGCTTAAAGTTGAAGTTACACCAATGTTTTAAGCCATGTATTGTTTCTAATTAGATTGAATGCATTGAACCATTGACATCATTTTTGGTCTGTTTTGAACAAAATAGGAGATTCCGAATAGCAGGTTGCAAAATTTGATCAACTGTAGAATTAAAATAGTTGATATGTAAGTCGCTCATTAGAAAAGGAAGAAATTCAAAATGAGTTTTAACCTAGGCAAAAAGCAAGCGCTTTTGGTTCTTCGCTTCTCTAAATGAAGACGAAGAAGCGAGCGGAAACCACCATAAGGAAATCCTTGGACAAAGGAGATATCAATGGCCCCCTGAACTCATTAAATTGTTTTAATAACTGATTATTTTTCAAAAGCCTCTGCAAAAGCAACTGTTTTATGTGAATTAGCAATTAAACAAATTGAAATTATGTATATTCGGTAAACTAATACTTTTTCTAACGTCAGGTCCATGTTGCTAGAAGCTTGGTTTTCAAAAATGGTGTTTCCCCGTCAGATGTCGTTATCTTATCGCCTTATAGAGAACAACGCGAAAGAATAAGCAAAGCTCTGGAAGGAAATATAAAATCCAAAGAAATCCCGGTCACAACCATCATAAAAAGCCAGGGTAAACCTAATTTCTTAAATTTTTTCCGTTTAGTATTAAATCTTTTTATTTTCCTTTTAATTCTAAGCTTAACGGTAATTATAACGTTGAGAACCTCTGTGCGATTTCGTCCAAGTGAAAGTTGAATATTGTTATATTTAAAGCCCAATCGGCTCCAAAATGTTAGTAAAATTGCAGAGAAAAAAAGAAGAGCCTGTGCATTTGATCTTCAAGTTAATTCAGTGAAGTGAAAAGTTCGACATTGTCAATTCAAAGTAAATTTGTGGATTTTGATCATTCGACCAATTTCAATCATTAGATTGTGGTTACTCATTGTTACGCAGCGATATTATCAAAATGCTCAAGCCTCTTTGAGAAATGCACATTCACTCTTAATGTTTCCCACATTTCATGTCATGCAGGAAGTGAATGGGATTACGTAATCTTATCTCTGGTGCGCTCGCTGAATAAGGATAGTCTCGAACCAGATTTCTCCATGTATTGGTTGCGTGAACATTTGGGATTCTTGACGGACGAACATCTAATGAACGTCGGGCTGACAAGAGCGCGGAAGGGGCTCTGCATCATTGGTATGAGAGAAATATGTTATGCTTTTATTTATAGTTAACTAATACCTTGTAAAGTTTAGACAGATACAAGTAAAATGAACGAGAATTTTGTGGCCAGTAAAATCATTGAGTGAGTTTATACGGTATGGGGAACTGATATCGGTTCTTTCTAACAATTAACATCTGTTTCCCGCTGTTTTAAATAATTTTTAATGGATTTATTCTTCAAAATGCACTGAAATTAACTCAAACTCCCATTTGCCGAAAGCGCAAATTCAAGCAGTTGTTAGCAGCCCAAGAAGCTCGTTGATTTAGAAAAATCCAAAAGTCAAGCTCCACTGTAAGTTCGAGGTACAGTCCACTTTTCCCATTTTTATTTTATCTTTATCATTTCAGTAACCAATTTTTTTTCCCTTAAGGTAACAAGGAACTACTGGTGCTTCATCCCATGTGGGAAAAATTGCTAGAATTCTACAAACAAAGAGAATGTGTGGTCAATGAATCTGCTTGGCTTGTAAGCTGAAGCCACATTAATTTTAATTACTCACTGTTGAAAATATCAACCATAATTTTGAGGATTATTCAAGATGGGCTTTCTGATTTTGAATAAACCATTTTTCTTCGAAATAAAAATTAACCTGAGCTACCTTCAAATCATTCTTGTAGATATAAATTAATAGGTAGCTTACTCACTTTTAAATGGCCTCAACATATATAATCTCCCTTTAAAACACGTCAAATGATCAGGAGAGTATTCTTGCCTCTGCTGAATGGGATTCTGAACCATTCAAGGTCAACTTCGCCAATCTTTGTTGAAAAAGGATTCACGGTGCTGTGAGGAAAACGCATTAACATGGAATAAAATCCAATTTAACTATGTCACGCGATCCCATCAACTGCAGAACACAACATATATAGATTAATTAATGCATTGAAAATCAAGAGAAAAGAGTAGTACGTTTATATAATTTTACAAAGAGGGAGAACTTTCTACAATCTTTTTTCCACGAAAAATTGATAACCTGGCTACGCACGTGCTAGAGTCCAATTTTTCATCCAGATAAATGGTTTTCAAACGGTTTGCTTTCTTAGATAAAGAATTTTAAGACGCATTAAGCTTTAGAAGAAGATTTTAAGTGCTTTTAATTACAAATGCAGTTAGTAACCAAACTATAACTTAGCTTTGTTTGTCGGTTAATTTTAATATTTTTACACAAACGCTTTTCAAGAAACAACTCAAATAAAATATCGAAACAATAACTCTCCAGTGAATTTAATCGGAAAGTAAAAGATGCGAAGCTACCGGAACAAACTGAACGATACTTAAACGCAACACGCAAGGACCTTGTTAAGAAATGTTGATAGATTTGTTATTATGAGCTTTTTACAAGCGCCTTTGCCTTATACCCTCACCCTGCTCTCCACCTCCTTTCCCGCCCCCTTGTCTCCCATATCCTCACTATTTTCAGGCTCATATTACCCGGGAAATGACTGATATCATTGTCTCAGTTGGCATAGTTTGTCTTGTCTGTACCGAAAAGGAATGCGACGAAAGCAATATTCGATTTTTACGAACAGCTGAATAACAAACCCATTCTAGTTGGTTCTTATTTTAATATGAGCTATTGGGAAACCAGCGCATGGATGCTGTCACCATTAAAAATTTTATTCTATTTCATTGTTTTTAAAACCAATAGATTCCATGTTGCCGTACATCTGGTCAGTAATAGATCATAGAGAAGGTCAAAATGCGGTAATAACATCAGTGACACGCGTGACTGCACCTCGTGTGTCACTTCTGATTCTTAACACATTTTAAACTTATACTTTAATTTATCAGACGCACGGCAACATGGAATCTAACTTTTTTAATGGATCATCAAATGGAGCAATGCCACAATGATTTCTTCTTTCTTTCACCCTGGAACCAGTTATTCGAAAAACGATAAGCATCGGCTGTTATACGAAAAATTTTTTGCATACATTGGCTATTCGGTTTGCGGTGCTTTGGGAAACTATCAAGCAAAATTGAGCAAAACAAAACATATGGAAAAAAAAAAAGATAAATCCGAATGAGAAATTCACCACCAACTCTGAGTTAGCCAGGTCATGCCTTTGTTTAATGGCGTGCTCACGTAATGAAATATCGCTAAATTAACTTGTTAGCTATTTTGCGTTAAATATGGTTTCTTCACCAGCCACAGGTTTACGTCATGCTTCGATAAGCGCGTAAATTTCATTTTATCTAACAACAAAATTTGCATAACGCATCAGTAGACAATAATGATATTGATGCCTACTGGCAAAAGTTATTAAAGTGGTAGTTATAGATGAATTGCTTTACCTATTTGAAAGGTTTTTCTATGTTTCCATAACAATTTGCAATTACAACTTGATACCTGGGTTTTCCTTGTGCTGGTCAAATGCGGTACTGTTTACCGCAAAACATGCCGGAACATGTCGACCAATCGGGTCAAGAGGCAAGTTCCTTGAAAGGGAACCGGATATACATATTTTTCTCCGAAATTCTAATGACTTGATGTTATTCTTCGATGCAATTGAACAGAGAGAGGCTTGATACCCTCATTTTGTTAAACTCCAGCCTGTTTGAGAAGAACTCGGGAGAAAAGACGTCGACTAAAAGGTAGGCAAACCTAACAACCTAAATGATAAATGTTGTGACTGAGTTGTTTGGGTTCCTTGCATGTCATTACGCAATGTGGAGTGTAGCTACATTGCTTGAATGACGAAGTCGACGATACAAATAAATTCTCGAACACGACAAGTAGGTTGTTTGAATACGAAATACTCTTAAGTATGTTTTATTATTTTTTTCTGTAATATCTAACATTAACGCTTAACTGGCGACGGAAACCAAACGTTTTGTTTCTGCCGCCAGTATACATGTTATTTTTATGAACCTATGTTATTTCTCACATGCAAATATGGCCCAGTAAGAATCGAACGCGTGGTGAAAATAGCGTCAAAGCCTAAGAAGCACAAAGAGATTTTCATTTGATACTTGAAAGTAGAATTTTGCACCGGCGGTTCTTTAATCGCTGCAAGATAACATGACACAAAATTTCGTGCTATAAACAATTAATTCATTTGAATGACACGGAAAGTGACAAACTGAATTCATATTGAATGCTTAATTTAATGAAAATCTTTGCGAAGAGTCACACATGTTGAGAAACTAACACTGATTTGATAAATGTAATAAATAAATAGTCTATATTAAAGTTCACACGGCAACCAGGTGGACAATCAGACATAGTTTGATGCTACTCTGGTTTGCAGATTTAATGAATGTAACTGAAGAATTTACAATTCATAGACCCAACGTTTCGACACTCCTGTCTAGTGCCTTCATCAGGGATGACTTAACGATGTGATGTGACGATGGCGGTTTGCTTCCTGACGCCTATTTACACCTCGTCAGAAAAAAAAGGCCGCTAATTAGTGATCATATAAAAGGACCTCTTGTTGCAGCGTTTAGATCACCCCTGATGAAGGCACTAGACAGGAGTCTATTGGGTTGGGTCTATGAATTGTAACTTCTTTAGTTACATTCATTAAATCTGCAAACCAGAGTAGCATCAAACTATGTCAAATAAATAGTCTCAGGAAATCATAGGAGAAAAAAATACCAAGCACGTCATTTCGGTTGAATTTATTTTGAATGTTGCCCTAAAACATCCTACAATGGCAAAGAGGAAATAGAATCTGAATTATCAGGTAATTTTCTGCATTAAACTGATTATTTTGTTCCTTGTTCGGCCATCCTTGCTGTTTGGCGCATAGCTATTTATAGCATCACCTCAAAAAACGTGAACACATGAGACATTTTTATTGATATGTGATCATCTTTATCACAGCGCACTCTCAATATGTCCATATTCTAAAGATGAGCACTGCTGGCTGTACCTGACTTTCATACTCTTGTATTGACGTATTAAGGATAAAGACTGGCTAAAGAACATAGAAGGGTTTTAGCTGATTTTTTTTTTTAATCCATTCTTGCTTTTTACAAAAATAAACAAAAACGAAAAAACTGAGAATATTTTTGATTTCGTGAGATTTTCCTCTGCAATAACAGTTACTTCTAATAACATAGCATAAAAGGCTTGGGTTTCACTGAATAGCGCTTCTTATTACAACACTAACCCAGTGCACATGTACACATAAGGCCAAAAGCTATCTCCTATCTTCCCCCCCCCCCCACCCCATTTTCTTTTCTTTTTGTAAAAGCCTACCATTTAAGTTAAATGTTTTTGTTGTTCTCTCCGGCAAAAGAGATTTGTAGTTTCCATCGGAAAAATTTTATGAGAGAAAATTGAAAATAGACGAGTCTGGACCGACTAATGACCTAATTTACGATCTTTTTGGCCTAATCCAAACGTTCCTCTGGCATTTTGCCTGTCGAGGGCGATAAGGAAAGTACTCCTATTGAGACAACACGTAGCAGCGAGCAGTCCAAGTCAAATCTGAAAGAAGTACGAAAAGTTGAGAGTAGTATTCACTCACAATCGGCGTAAAGTACAAGTTTCATCTGTACTTTACCTTTAGATTAACTTCATTGAACCAATGATATTATTTTTGGTCTAGTTTTAATTAACAAAAGGGTTGCAAATTTGAGTTAAATTTAGAATTGAAATAGTAGGTATATATGTCGCACATCGTGTGAAGATAAAATTCAAAATGACATTTAAATAATGATGCCTGCAAGGAAATCTACGCTTTGATTTTTTTTATATCTTCATCGACTCTTTTTTTTTTTTTTAACCTACTTTCACATAAATTGTATTAATAAAAACATCAAAAAAGTACCTCAACAGCAATTTAAATTTGGAAGAAAAAGATGCAAAGCCAAATGTACTAACTAACCCCACCCCCCCTCTCTAAATCTAAGGTTCATAATTTCGTAGACGTGAAGATGTCATCGCATGTCATTCCGGTTTATGGGCTCCGAGGGAATATTCTATCAACCAAAGTGGTATTCAATTGAAGATCATTTTGTAGTAGCAATAACACGATGATGTCTTCTTTCTTTGCACCCATGGGCCACCTGTTCGATATGGGTCACTTTTTCGACAGACGATTTAACGGCTGCTAGTTTACGCTATTTTCTTTCTAAAAGCGTGTATTTGGGCCATCGTTTTCAAGGTGCTACCGAGCTACAGCAAAGCTAAAAGAATAGTAAAAGTACTGAACATAAAATCTGCACAGGGGCAAACCTAAATCAGGGCTAACTTAGTTCTGTGTTGAGCAACATAGCCTTGGATATAATGACCTGCTTAACTGGTGAAATATCGCTCAAAAATATTTTGGAATTATTCGTGGTATATATTGTTTCTTCACCGACCACAGGTTAGCTTTATGCTTCGATAGCTTGGTAAATTGTGACTTATCTATTGCGAAACTTCACCCAGAGTGTCTATAGACAAGAACAATATCGCAGTCTACCGAAAGTTACCTCCACATCATTTGAAATTCAAAATTGTGAAGACATACTAAAATTATTCAAATGCGGTCTGTTTAAGACAAAACATGCTGGGACATGCTGACCAATTAGGTAAAGAGGCAAGTTTCTAGGAAAGATACCGGAAATAAATATTTTTTTCGGGAAATATTTAAGACTAAAGTTTTCATCGGTGGAACTGTTTTTGTTATTGTTTACGAAGGAAAAACCCCTTTTTCATTATCGATAACATAGCTGGCCTGAATCAGAAGAATTCGGATGAGATGAAGGTTTAAAGGTATGATGATCTAAATAAGTTGTTCGTCACTTGTTATGACTGAGTCCTCTGGGTTCCTTGCATTAGAACTTTATAGCTTGAAGGGCAACATTTGTGATTCAAATTACACCTCAAACATGACAAGTAAGTTGCTCACTATGAGAATGTAATCAGATGTTATTGTTTTATTTTAAAATGATATATCACAAAAATGGTGCTTAGATATTTGCAACCGAAAGAGCTTTACTTCAATAAGCCAGTAGTCTCGGATATGCAATTATCGGCGAGTAAACATCGAAAGATTTGCAGGCATGGTATATTTCATATAAATGGAAACTTTTATTCGCCTGAACATGTAGCTGTTACATCGACGCTTAAGTAATTTCCGCTGCATAAGTTTTAATTTAAGTTTCAATATAATCTCCCGAAATTCTTATTCAAATTAAATGGAAAACTGAAGTGTACACAAATGAATATCTTAAGAACGCACATGGCGAGGTAATAATGTTGATTTTATAAATTTAGTGTACAATCAGCTCAGAAAAACTGTAATGAGAGTAAAAGAAAACTAACTATTTATTGATTGACTATATCTTGAATAAGCGTAAAATCAAACTATTCGAAAAAATTAAAATTTCATCGATGTTCTCTTTTACATGGACTTTGGTGCTCCTTCTCTTATCAATTTTTGCTGACTGGTGCGTATTTATACTCTACCTCAAATCCTAAAAATAATTTTTCATCGATAGCAACATTATCAACTTACGAAAGTGCATAGGCAGGAATTAAAATGCCTGATGGATCGAATAATACTTTGAGTAATCTTTGTTACTTTATACTAATCATCAAAGCTGTAAAAGATGTACTCCTGTTTTTTAAAGGTATCTGGCTCCATTTATAGCGTGTCTGCATTTAAGGATCTTTATTTTGTTAAAGTGGATATCAAATATTATTCAAAACTGACTTCGATGGTTTGAATACGGTTTTACATATCACTGTATCTCCGATGTAAACGGACTCAAAGAGAGCATGAGGTGATATCAAAGTGTTCCTGATTCGCTTTTCTTCATTCCGCTTTTATGAGCTGCTGATGGCGGAGCAGGACAGAGAGCAAGTGTCTAAAAACTTACTACTACATCATTATGAAGAAGAAGTCTTTTAGGTGTATTTCTATATACCACTTTACTGCCTTAAAATTGTCTCCTTGAATCATCAACTGGATGATTCAAATGGACAATTATGAGATGGTAGGCTTTCTGTCAAATTTAGCCTCAAGGTTAAAATTGCAGCTTTGTAGCATAACATGGTGTCTTATAGGATCTTTACAGTAATCGAGCGTAACAGACAAGGTGAGATAGAGTCAGAGGTTTCATTTAAATCATTCAAATCATAATTTGACGCGTATCAGAAAATGAAATAAGCTACCGGAGATAAACGTGGAAACTTTGGCATGCAAACGGTGTGTGAGATTAGGAGTAATAATTTGAAATTGTATGTTTCAACTGACAATCCTGACACATTTAAGGAGAGGCTAGTTGTACTATAATTGAGATTATCATTGCATTCCCTGCAGCCCGCATGAAGCTGTGGAAATCCCATTTTTGGATATTCTGGCAGCTTTGAAAGGTCTCAGTTATTGTAAGGAATTTTTTGATAGCAGGAAACGTACTTTAAAATTCTGACACCCCTTGAGTGACAGCTACCGTGCTAAAAATGTCCCCAATTGTTATCTGCTTGTCAAGGGAAACGTTTTGTGTGTAGTGCCTTTAAAAAAAAAAATAAGTTCGTACCCGCTTTAACAAGACCTATAAATAAAGATATCTATAGAGAGGACAAATTTGGATACGTTTCGATTTTTATTAATTTTTTTTAATCTCCCAGTTTCGACTTAAATTTCATCTAATCTAGATGATGGCACAAGGTGGATATTCCTCAACCGATGATGGGGAAGAAAGGTCAGTATCAGTATACAAGCGCACAAATGATTTGACAATTTTAAGTAGTGCTACATAAATGCATTCAGGAGACTTTAACGAATTATTTCTGTTATTGTTCTATTATTACAGCGAAGATATCGATGACTCCTTTATTCTTCCTTTTATGGTAAGATCCTAGTCCCTCGCAATGTTTTTCCAATTTTTTTATGTTGGGAAGGAGAGTCTTCAAAAATTAAAAACAAACAAACAATTAGAACTACAAACAGTAGTTATGCAATTTGTACGATACAAACCGATGCTGCTCGAGACTGTCCTTTATTTTTGATCATCCAAAATTTACTGTAAAACGGAAAATTGTGCCTTTGGACTCTCACTTTCCACTTGATTCCTGCTGGTTCTTCTTAGGGTTAGTAAGTGTAGACTGTTTGGTCTAAGGTATTCGCCTCAAAAAGGCATTTTTCCCCTATTTTTCTATTCATATTTAGAATTTTGATAATACCCACAGAATCCAGCTGTCACATTGTTTGAGAAACAGGGTGATGAAAAATTCCAAGCGAAGATGTACGAAGAAGCTTCAATGTGTTATACAGCAGCGATGGAAGAGCCAATCATGCCCTTTATAGATATCTCTATCATTTCCGAAAGGCTCTTTCGAAAAAGAGCAGGGTGTTTCCTAAAAATGGTAAGCTTAAGTCATAGATCGGAATTCAGTTCTTTTATAGTTTTGGGCTTTTCCTCTTTCTCAATTCATATAAAATATTCTAATTTGATCTAACAGGGCAATTATCTAAACGCTATTCAGGACAGTGAGAAAGGTATATAGCTATATTTGCTTCTTGTATTGAATGTGCAATACTTTATTTCAACGGTGTGCAGTACTTTACTTAGAGGACAAAAACGAAGCTACCCTCTGTAAATTCAAGAAGCTATTTAAACTTTATTTTTGCAGTTAATGAATGTAACGCCATGCATTTGGCACAGGAAATTTGTTTACATGTTATGTATTTTAATTTGTGTTGTTGGCTCGTTTGTGTGTTCTATATCTATATGGATATATCGATATACTTAGATTGTTTTCAAAGGCCCCATTTAAACCAGCTTTAAGCTGAACTGGGACATCCATCCTGTTTTAACATTACAAATAAATGGATAAAAGTATTTTTTATATGACCAGCATTTCTCTACTAATAGTTAGACAAAAGGTACAACTAAAGCGGAATTATTCATTCAAATTGTCACTTTGTTGGTTTGCAACTATGTCAAAAGTCTACTGAAATTCAGCTCTTAGTGATTGTGTAGAGCACAGAAAATCATCCTATCTTAATGACTTTGTTCTTGCTTTGTCAGCCATTCAAGTGGCAAATAATCACAACAATCCGAACCTAGCAAAGTCAGTTTACATCAAGATGAAAGCAATCATTTCCCTAGAAGACTATCCTCCAGCTTTTCCTTTGGCACTGTGGTACAAGCATTTACTTCCAAATGTGAGTGAAAGTGAGCATTATTTTTTCGCTGCAGTTAATTTAATAGGCAACATATGTTTAGTACGTTTGTTCGTTAATGATACCCTCCCTATAAATATAGATCGGGTAGTTGAGGTCAAGATAAATATTGACGAGATCGAGACAAGATTCAGTCTCAGTTCTTATTTGAAATTAAATCATTCTGTAACTACTGTAAATGATAACAATAATAACATTAATAATAATAATAATAATAATAGTAATATCGCTTTGATGAACCACACGATGGTTTTTAGGTTAATTTTTTAAAATATTTTTAATGAAAACAAACCATGTTTCGGATGAAACATCATCCATCGTCAGTTTCATCCCAAACATGTTTTGTTTTCATCAAAAACTATAAAAAAAAGAACTTTAAAAGCATCATGTGGTTCAACAAAGCGATATCTTACTTCGTGCCGCTACAAAGGCTTAATAATAATACTAATAATAATGATAATAATAATAATAAAAAAAAATAATTCTCTGGTTTATCATTTCTACTTGGTTCGTGGTTTTTGTTTTCGTTAGCTTTCTTAGTTTGTTTGTTGTTTGGTGTTTATAAAGTGTGTATTTAAGTTATATTTTAGCAATGCAGGGACGATAGCACCGTGGCGATAGAACTGAGAGTGAGGGAAGGGAATGGGCATACAAGAAACATTACTGCTTGGGAGCCTATAGATTTTAAATTTTATAGTTGAAGATATTTTCCTATTTTCTCGGTTTATATCTTCCCTCAGTAACCTTCTCCTTTCCCCACATTTCCATCGTACCGCCCATTCAATTAAAAATACTCGGCGATTAATCTTATTTCTAACTTCATTCAAGTGTGAGAAATCAAGAGCAGCTTTAAACGACCTCAAAGAGAAACTGACGGAAGAGTTTACAAAGGTCAGTGTCATGCTTAGGTCTTCGCTGGGAAAGTTGTTCCTAAACTGAAAGTGCCGGTTATTCATTCGAGGTCTGACCCAAACCACGGTTTTACGCAATCAGTGGGCCTCAGGCGTTCTTTCTAAGAGGGTTCATTTAATTAATAGATAACTGTTAGCTTTCGACCCTCTTGACACTGTTCACAAAAATAATTGATAAAACATTCAGCTAAATTGAGGTTAGACTCTATGAAGTTAGACCATTAAAACCAAAACATTCTCTGCAAACGCGAGAAGATTGCGAAAATATCTTATTTCTTTTTTATCAGCATCCCGGATTTTTTATCACGAGATTGTCCATGACCACCGTCTCCTGTCTCCTTAATTTTGCCGAACGTCAATCATGTGATGAAATTAATTTTCAAAACGCTGATTCTTAACTCTCTCTTTCGTAAAGGATGAATCTGTCATTGACGAAGTATTATTTGAAATGCTCTCTTTTGCCCATGGAATGACAATGGATCCAGATACACTTGAGCTAGCCCTGGAATGTTACACTGAGTTATTGGACTTACTAGACTTCCTAATTATACCCGAAGTCCAACTTAGACAAGCTAAATGCCTACTACAATCGGTAAGACCTTAGACTGCCATCTCAAGTTGAAGTATGTAAACTCGACCTAGATCAAAGCGGGCAATCCCGAACAGGAAAGACGGGCCCACCTTTCCAGCTCGGTAACTAATCAGAACAGAAGATTTGCTCCGTATTGCCCACGGACGCTGCCAGCGATATCAGAAAATTTCGTATTAAGTATTTATCAAACTACATTTAATTTTTATCTTTAGACAAAGCAAGAAACTTTCTTAACTCATCTTTCTTAACCTATTGAAATAATTACTCAACATCTTATTATAGGGAAGATGCGATGAAGCAAAAGTGGCCTGTGCAAAAGGTACGGTTGGCAGAAAACCCTTTTACTTCTTTAATATCTTGTGTGTTTTTGCGTTAGTAAGGTTTACAAAAAGGTAGTTTTAAGGGTGACCAGTCACAAGCGTGTTATTGACATAAATTCTAGACTTGCGAAGAAAAAGAAAGTCCTATGTTGTAATAATGGAGCAACCCAGCTCTTTCACTGTGTTTAACGATATCATTAACTCTATCAGTGCCAGATTTGGTACGTACATATTGAATCCGTACATATTGAATCCATGGCCATAAATGAAATTCCTTGTATTCGGTGATATATCGGAAGCCAAGAAAGCATCCAAAATACACAAATTGTTGTTTTTTACCAACATTTTTATTGCTTTGCGTCCCTTTTTTCTTGGTTTAGATTGATTTGTTATGTTTGTTGTTTATATTTTGTCTTCTTTTTTCTTACAGTCCTATGGTTCGCAGGTGATAACGTGGACGCTTTGAGTCTAATGGGTGAAATTACACGACAGATAAGAGAAAGAGAAATGAGACAAGCGAAGGAAATGGTACATATGCGACAGGATTTGTAGATAATTGTCGTGAAAACATTGTATGGTGCACTTATATTTCCTTACTCATCCTCTTTGATACCGAAGGCCACCAAGGGCGACTTACTATTGATAATTGAATTATCATGTGGTTTCAGTAATGAGTAATTTACTTTACCGAGTAGGATTAAGGACTATAGCCATACCCCCATCCTGGAGGGCCAAAGACTTTCCTTTTTTCGGGTATGTCTTGCTACCATATTGCCGGCATGGTTAATGAATAAGGGAGACTGAAATTTAAGCCGTCGTGGTTCTCAGTTATTAACCAGGAAAAGGCGATAGTCCGTGATCAAGAGCAATTAATTTTTTTATTTCTTTTCATTTTAAAATGAACATAATAGATGGCTTTTGTACTATAGATTCTATACAAAACAAATTAGAATTCCTTTAATGGCAAATATACTCTTACGTTTCGCCGAAGTATCCGTCATTACTTGCATCAGTGCATTTGAGTGACTTGCTAATTGTAAAAAAAATTAGAGTAAGCCCTTGAAACCTGTCTAATCTACGAGGGGAGGCTGTTTGACTCAACAATTTCTCACCTCCGATGAAATGGTATCTTTCGAGCACACCCTAAAAATCCTTAAGGGAATAAACCTTCAAGAGCTTGGTGGTATGTCTCATAGCTCTTGTGAAACAAATATGTTCATGAACGTAGATCGCATTAATCCTTGATGTTTTTTTTTCAACAGACAGAATTACAAGGCACTACAGGGTCTCCGTTGGAAAAAGGAAAGGAGAAGAATGTGGCCAAGCTGAGTAATTATACAGATGAACAGCAAGGAGGTGAGGTGAGAAATTCGTGGCGCCTTAGACAAACTAATGCAGGAATATATCACCTTTTACTGCGGGTAGCACACGAAACTTAGTATATCTCGATGTGTCTTACACAAAGATATAGGTCAGGAGAAAATAAGTGACCAAGGGAAATACAGAAAATAAGATATTTATCATACGACCTCTACGGCTCCGCTCATCTAATCGTTTAAAAGACCCTTTTGAAAACTAACGATCAAGATAAAGCCGTCCGGCCTCGCACATACACGGTACTTTTACTTTTCCCGAGAACGCGAAGGAACTGAAATGATAAACAAAATTGCAATTTTTAAATTAAATTAAAGTTTCCTGATCTGACCTGACGAAAGACAGGAGAAATTCTCATCGTAGAATCTACTATGCAGTTTTCCAGCGGGCTTCCTTCTCAAGCATGTGTGTGTTAATGCCCATATGATAAGATATTCATTAATTGAGCTCGATCAACCGGATGGGAAAATATTTGGCTACTCGTTACGACGCACAGACTTCACTGCGATCGATCTGTGTCTTCTTACCTCGAGACAAGTATATCACCGTCCGACCCTCCCATTCAATCTGTAATTAGGTATTTCATCATATTTTACTTGCAGCGGCAAACTGCACAGAGGAAGGAGGAATCTCCTTTTCATGTTGTTACAAATGGTAGGGCTTAAGATGTTCTTCTTGAATCATTGATACTGGCATGGTAATCGTAACTTATTACGTTACCTTTATTTCTACAGCGGTGCAAAAGAAGAAGGAAGATTTAGATCTAGCACAGGTCGAAAGCGTGAACACCAAAGAACAGGGTATCATGATCTTTCTTGACTGGTTTTCCTTCAATTTTCGTTGTATTTCATCATTCAAATAAAGGATTTTTTTTTCACGTTCATTGAGTATTATTTAATTAAAGGAAATAATCAAAGGAAAAAGAAGAGAAATAAAGAGAAGAAAAAGAAAAAGAAAGCGAGGAAAAAGGCTCAGAAGAAAAGCGCAAGTTCCCCAGGTAAGAAAACTAACGCGTTTTTCTGTATACATTTGAATATATATTTAAACTGTGTTAGTGTTGATGTAGCTGAGGAAATCATGTCAAAAGGGAAATTCCTTGACTCATGGGTGACTTTATTACTGCAGTTAATTCATCTATTTGTTTTCTAATTTACTTAGTGAAATTCTTTTTAGTAGATTTGGACTCATTTGTGTCCTTTGTATCTTTTAAAAATTTCGTATAATTTCTGTAACTAAGCGATTTTGTCACTACATTATCAGATCTACCACCGGTGAGCAGCGACATCAATATACCATCTGATGAAAGCCTTGACGAAGATGACTCGCAAGCGACGGATTCTGTCATTGGAGATCCAGATATAGGCTTTGGCTCTCTCAACATAGTCACCTCACCGTTTACACTTAATGTTACCGAAGTCGATGGATACGAGGAGTCAGACGGTGAAGAGTTTATTCTTACACAGAATACTCGCTGCCTAGGGTCAACAACAGGAAATAAAATTTCCTCAGATTGTAAACAGACGTTTGGAGGGACAATTTCCAGTCTTGATTGGATTGGCACATCTGACGAGAATCCTCGGTCATCTGATCTTGCTACCAGCAAACAGCCGAATTCTCAGCCTATGGAGGAAAAACCACTTATAACACAAAGGCAGAGCTTAGGATTCGGTGATGCAACGTCGAATGCTTTAACTCCAGTGACAGCTGAAAATGTTAAACCAATTGGTTTAACATCTCAAACAATAGTTGCATCGCAGGGGCAGACGACATATGCAAGTGTTACTTCTAGAAACCTGGTCCGCGACATGAGCCAAACAAGGAGTGAGGCGAAAACATTTAGTAATTATGACGACTTTCCGACTTTGGATAGAAGCTCTCTTCAGGTATCAGCGAGCTCTTCTAGTGCTGTCTGGAGCAATTTAAGAAAAGCTCACCAACTTCCAAATGAATCCACTCTTGTTGGCGTATACTACGACCAATCACTCAGGAAAAGTCCTGTTCAACCAGGTAGTTCCACTGTTTCTTTCAGCTCTCCCCGACCTGAACAGTGGCAAAGGTCCTTAACGACAGCCCCAATTATCCAGGGTTTTCAAAGCGGTGGAATAGCAAATGCGTCGACTGGTTCAAGCAATCGTGTACCCATTCCTGAAAAGGTTTTTGTTGTTTGTGGCCACTTTTTGAGTAAAAGACCTTCGTGTGACTACGCGCAGGCGAAGACCTGTCAATGGTGTGAGGATAGTAGCTTGCTACATTACGCCATCTGGAATGACATCCACCATTGCTGGCAAGTAATAAGGCCATTTCCTGTGGGTAAGATTCCCCCCAACGCTCTCCTAAATGTATGCCGGCATTTTGCCATTAAAGCGTCCTGTCGAAAGGAACCGTGCTCTTATGCTCATGGGGAAATAGAGAAGCATCTCTGGGAAAAGCAGCGAGAAGGCAGTAAGTGTACATTACTCTTTAAAACTCAGGGGACTGAGAGAATTTACAAAGGATGTCAGAGTTGACCCTGGTCATGCATATGTCATTTCCCAATATAATTGACCTGTTTATTTATTATTATTATCTCGGAAATAGGCCTTCCCACCCCTAAAGAGAGTCTACGAGTGTTACGATCTATCAACGGCCCAGCAACTACACAGCACCTTACACAGGAGATAGATACTAGTTTCTTGCCGCTCCAGACGACGGTAATTATAACAGAATGTGCTACGATGGCCTCTTTCACAACTTCCACAGGAAACGTGTACCCTGGTGTTGACGCTGTTGCATCCCAAAGCAAGATTGCAAGTCTTCAATTGAGGCCTACCACTGACGTTCAGTCAGGTAAACCCTCAACATTTAGCCATATCTCAGCTACACCTGCACCCGAAGCAGCTCCAACAGGACCCATTTCCTACCAAAGCCCCACTAAAGACGGAGTTCACACTGCTTCTCCTCTTTTCTCCAGCACAACAGCTATGGCATCTGGTGAATCCTCTCTGCCCCTTCAATTTTTACCTTTTCCGACATAAAGATTCAAGAGGCGAATTCTAAAGGAAATACATCATGTACGAGCTCCCTCGCAAAAGAGACAGAAAATCCCATTGCACCCATCGCAGCCTCTGTCAAACCTACTAATATGATGTCAAAAGTACAACATGTAGGGACTGTCATGTCTCATACCCAAGGAGCAGAGAGTTCCACCGCTTCCACTTGCCCTTCATCTTCGGAGAACACTGAGATAATTTCTACTCCAGTTCAATCGTCTGCGCAAACATCCATCAAGACCTCTCAGGGCGTTAGCCAAAGCTGTATTCCCTCCGAAAGTACTGTTGCGGAACGCTCTACAAATTCTCAATCTATCACTTGGTCTAACGTTCTCAAGACTCCTGGAAGACCTTCTACACCGATTCAAAAGACGACTGCCATCCCTACAAACAACTCTTCCAATGAATATAGAAAAGTACCAACTGGTGTTTACGTCGTGTGCGACCATTTTCTTAAAGAAAATCTTCAGCGGGCGGCTAGTGTTTCCCACAAAGACAAACCTTGCAAAGGCTGCGAGAAGCGGTCAAAGTTTAAATACGCTTTCTGGAGTGTCATTTGGAAACGATGGGAAGAAATAAGGCCCTATCCCAAAGACGTGAATATTAATTTTGCATTTAGGGTATGTCGTCAGTACTCCAAACACGAACGCTGTCTTAAAATACCGTGCTCATTTGCCCACGGTGAGCAGGAGAAAACCATGTGGACGATGGAAAGAGAAGGGGGTAAGTGATATCAAGATACTCACAATTTTATTTTCGGTGAGGATTCATCTTCTCTATTTCCTTTCTTTTCGCAACTGGATTGTTGTTGGTAGCATGCGGAACGTTTCGTACTTTATTACATTCATTTTGAAATCAATGGTGATCTTTGCAGTCTCATTGGCTCTCGTTGGTCCGATGAATTCACATATCGCACCACTTTATGCTCAAAATCAAACACAAAATTTTTGAAAATATATTTATAGATAAAAAGTAGTGAGCACAACACAGCAACAGATCTTGTCAACTATGTTTATTATTCGACCGGTTTCGACTGATCACACAGACTTCATCAGGGATTTAACAAAATTTATCAGTGAACTACCATTATACCAGGCGTTTACCGTATATTTACCTCAAATTGTGCTCGAAATCATTTACCGTATAAGTCACGTTCAAATTGGGGTGTGAACAACAAAAACACCCACAAACAGGAAATGTTACGCAAATCCAGCGTAACAAATTGGAAATAATACGCGAATACAGCATAACAAATTGAGCAATGTTTATTTTTGGAGCTCACGATTTAATATTAAATCGTGAGCCGCAAAAAAATTAACATTACTTAATTTGTTACGCTGTATTTGTGTAGCATTTCCAACTTCTCAAATTGTGCTCGAAATCATATGATTAGCCATACAAATTTCACTCCACTGAGTTCAACTATTATGATTGTTATTATTATTAATTCCTAGCTAGCGATACTTGACTGCACTACAGAAGACATCAAATTTGCCATATGTGATAAAGTCCTATGCGCTTTCAAAAAGCCAATGCAGCCATAGGGAAATATGCCCCTGATTAATTGAGAATGTGATCCTAAGCATTGCTCATATTGCAGACAAAAATATTACTTTTCTTAGCGATTCTATTTAGTCGCGAGGTCACGAGTTAAATGTTAAATCTACTATGTTTTCGATTTTCCATCATGCAACTAGTTCTTCCTACTCCGCGGGAATTTCTTACTGGGTCATTTAGTGGCAACCCATCTGCTTCGGCCGAGAAGTCCTCAGCAATGCACCTTTCCTCCCAACTTCTTTACAGACCTTCCCCCCCAGGAGTAACAAATGGCTCCTATGGATTATGCAGAAGGTAGGATAATTTATAGCTAGTATTAAAACGACTACGATGATGACATGATTTTTTAAGCCGGAACCAAAACTTTCCTAGAAACCAGTTGCATTGATAAAACGTAAGAGCCTTTAGTACTGATGAATAATGTACTTCAATACTCACCCTTAGCCAAATATAGTTAAAATTAAAAACACTTTGCACCTTTGAATACCAAATTGAACAAAGTATCATACTATTTGGCAGTATTACATCGAAAATGTTATAGATTGAATGTTCTATCGATGTTTGATTGCACTAAAGAAGACCTCAATCGATGTCAGTGGACTTATACGACTTTTTCTTGGAAACAACAGCTTTTCTCACAAGGTTATTTTGTCATATCCCATCAACAGTTGCCACACACGTGAACGGTGTAGATTTGGTAGAGGGTGCATCTATGCTCACAGCCAGCAGGAACTGAATGAATGGAAACAGGAGTACGATAGAAAATTAAAGGAGAAAGCAAAGGAAGATATTAAAAAGAGAGAGGAACTGTTTTCTTCAGAAATGGCATCAAAATTCTTAAAAGCGCCTCCGGAAGACGTAAGTCTCTTATTTCATGTTGGCGTTACTGATAAGATTCGACAGACAGATGCTAAATTTTATTTTTTTAGCTATCACAATGACAACTCAGATATTGAACACTTGCATGTCAGGAGAAACGACAAAAAATCTAATCTAAATTTTGAAAAGATACCACATAAATGAAAAGCAAATTTCACCCCTAAATGTACAAGGGGGAAAATTGAACTTAAATTAATCCAATTGAAAATTTTGTGTTTCTGAAATACTCACCCAATTATCGTGGTTTAGAAAATTTCATGATTTAAAAAATGCGTTTAAATTAATGCAATTCTGACTTTCAATCAGGTGGAACGGAAAAAAGAAAAATATTTCCATGCATTCGGAGCCTCTTTTGTTTGTCTTTGGTTTCTATTATAATTGCAAGTCAGGATGTAATATAGAACACAACACATTAAAACAAAATAGAATAAACTTATTCAATCGAGTGTGTTTGTTTATCCAAATTCTCTATTGCTATCAGGAAAAATAACTAAAATTGATAATCATAATTATATAATTAATTTTTTAATATCACATTTCTCTTTTTAACATCAATAGCAAGTGGAATGTCTGCCTGGAGTTGAGGTTATTTGCTCACCTCAGGAGCTTAATGTAAAACTTCGGGACAAAGAGCAGTTTAAGTGGATATTTACTCTTAGCTTCAAGGTAAGTAGACATTATGATGGTGAGGTCATAAATGCATCAACCAGAAAGTCGTAGCTAAAGGTACATTTTAATGTGTCTCAATACAAATGATACCTTAAATATATTTATTGAAATTACGGTCTTTTTCTTAACTCGACTTAGCATGCAGCAGTTTCTTTATTAGAGTTTAAAAAAACAATGACATCAAGCTAAAAAATGAAAACTATGGTTTTGATCTGTTAAATGGCAATGATATTTAGAATAATAGCAATAATGATAATGAAAATAATACCTGATATCTTAAGTATATATTTTAAAACAACGATCTTATCATTAAATTTACTTAACAACAGTTCATGTATGGGCTGAAATATTTTTGTTAGGAAGGATAAACAAAATATGTGATTAAAAATTTTTAGTTCGTAAACTGCCACCATTCCTAAAATTTTCCGAAACATTTAGAAGTCTGGTGTATAGATGCGGGTACTCCAATTTAGAGTTCAAATGGTGTACCTTGGAATTATTTTCAAGTAATGTATTGTATGTCATCAACTTTTCAGCCAGATGAGGTAGGATCGTTGCAGAATGTTTTTCTCCTCAACCGATACCACAGCTGTTATCACTTATCAGAAATTCGTGTTGGCTGCATTGAAGAAAAGCGTGGCTCTGAGACGTACAAGCTCTTATACACAGCCAAGCTGGAAGACTCTTGGTACAAGTCTCCAAACTCAGAAAGACTGGTTGGGCGTGTAAAGGTGGCTCTCGCAGTCTCGTTCGAATCTTCTCTGTATGGAAGCTTTGAACAGTTGGTTTTATTTGACTTTGGGAGGAAGCCCTACCTAGTGAAAAAACTCAATGCTGATGTTACGAGTGAGTCAAATACACTCCCCATCGCACGAGAGCATCTCGCCTCGCAGGCGCCAGCAATATGGGACGAAAGGTCAGTGGAAGTGGTCAGATTCAACCAGGCAACAAGAGAGGCTCTTAAGGCAGAACACTTGCTAAGGAAGTACAGTCTTCCTAGACAACTAGAAATTGCTGATGAGTTTCTGAGCCCTAAGATCTACAAAAGTGTCATGCATCAATTACTATTTGTGGAGGAGAGGTTCATGAAAGAAGAAATATCACGGTACGTTCAAAGAAGATTTTAGATATGCTTCAAACTCAATGATCCATGACCAGGTAGATTTTTCTAGCAGATATTCTGCTCTCCAGTGGGGCCTAAAGTTGGTGCATATTAAGGGATAGGCGTTTGAAATATACTGATCCATAATGGGTCGACTTTACAAAATAACGTAGGCTCTCGTCTATTCCATTAAGAAGGAAGGACAACGCATGAAGAGTTGGCTATCATAAAAGCCCTTGAAGAGTCACAAGAGAGCTAAACGCTTGGTAAATCAAATATGAAATGTAATGGCATACAAAAAAAATAATTTTATATCACCTTAATATTGGTGGACGGTGAAGTTGCCTAAATTGATGATAAGATTTTGTTTTTTGTTTTTGTTTAATTTTTTTTTCCTGGTCGCTTTATTTTGTGTAGTTACACCTTAAATAATGCCCAGCTACATGCACAGCGGAATATCTTCAACGAGATAACTGGAATGAAGTTTGCTGTGGATGGCGAATTGTTTGGTGTCCTCCGTCTGCAGGAAGAAGACGCTCTTAGACCAGACGATGCAGCCGGTCGTCTCCTTTATCGCAACGTCAATTCTGTCTGGCTGCAACTGGCCGATAGTGGATCTAAAACGGTTTACGAAGCTCCAGTGGAGAAAGTGGAGAGTGAGAGCGTTGTTCTAAGACTGCCGTCCAAATTGTGCTCAGACCTAAAGCTACATGACACCTGTGATGCTGCCGTTAATGCTCAGTTCCAGCTGAATCGGTTGCCTCTTTGTCAGTTGCACGAAGCTGTTGAAAGACTTACCACAGGACAGTTACGTCTCATATTTCCGGATCCAACTGTTGGAACTCTCATAAGCGAAGTAAGCATTCGTATTCTAAAGGTGTGCTTTGAAACCTTAGGTCGTTTTCCAAATATATGTAGCATAAACAGAAGGGAATGTTGAAATTCCAGGTAAAAATTCGTTGGCAATGGCTTCTCGACAAGCGTTTGAATACAAATCAAAAGAAAATCATCGAAAGGATTGCTTCCCTTGAAGACAATGCCCTCCCTCTGGTCGTATTTGGTCCGTTTGGAACAGGAAAAACATTTACCCTTAACCAAACCGTACGTCTTTTGGTGCAGCTGGACAAATCGCACAGAATTCTGTTATGTACTCATTCCAATCGGGCAGCAGACATCCACGTGGAATTGTTGCATGAGTATCTTACCAAGAATGGAATACCTGCAGCAAGGCCTCTAAGGGTTTATCAGCCAATGAGAAGGTAAAGAGAAAAAACGAAAAGAACCAAATCAGTTTTTATACATGTCCTTTATTTCTCATAAGCGACTAAGTTGCAAAGAACCTGGAACGGCTGCCTGAAGATGAAGTATGTGCATCTGATTTAAAAGAAATGACCATTGAAACTACATAGGTCATTTCACTATATGAACATGTATCGGTGAGTAACTAATCAATTTTTATTTCTCTAATCTCAGACTCGAAACTGCATCTGTGGTAGCCAGAAAGTATTGTTTGATCAAGGATGACATGTTTGTTTTGCCTTGTCGGGATGACGTCGTTGAGCATCGCGTAGTGATTACAACGCTGAGCACATCACAAGTGCTTCTTGATCTGGAAGTGCTGCACGGATTCTTCACTCATATCCTCATCGATGAGGCCGCTCAAGCGCTTGAACCCGAGGCCTTAAACCCGTTGAAGTTTGCGGGAACAAACACAAAAATAGTCTTTACAGGAGATCACATGCAGGTATAGATCTAGATTTAAGGAAGTGAACTCCACAGTTTTCTTTCAGCGGCAATTATCATAGTTTTCTATCTGTTCATTAGCGTTAATGTTTCGTCCATTATCATTTTCATTTTTGTAATCATTATTATCTTTTTAACATCGCTAACATAACCTGTACGTGGAAAAATAAACCAGTGGACTCAGATAAAACGTCAAAGAAAGAACAGTCTGCGTCATATGTCGTTATTTGAAGAGGTAACGTTCATACATTTATCTTACGATAGATGAGCCCAGAAGTCTATTCGCCTAAAGCGCGAAGTTTGGGACTTCAAAAGTCACTGGCTGAAAGGCTGTTCGACCTCTATGAAAAATATGAGGCTGAAGCACCCAAGAGGAATCCCAACCTAAATAAGGAATCTAATGTTATGTGGCTGACGGAAAACTACCGATGCAATGAGTATATTCTCAAGTTTCCCTCTGAAAATTTCTATGGTAAAAAGCTGATTGCTCGTGGACATGAATCCCAACCGGCGCACCCGAAGTACGGGCCCCTTTTATTCTTCTCGGCACGCGGTAAAGACACAAAAGAGCAAGAAAATTCTTATCTGAACACATCTGAGGTTTATGAAGTAGAGAAGAGAGTGAAAGAGATTGCCGATAGTTGGCCTGCTGTTTGGGGCCCCAAGATTCTGTCTGATATCGCAGTATTGTCTTCTTACCGTTACCAGGTTAGTGACTGTATTCTTCAGGAAGAGATTTTACTAATGATAGGAAGTTGCAAGAGTATCAGTCCGTGGACGACTTCCTCTTTTTCAACTGATATAGACGGTAAGATAGAGAAGCCTTGCGAAGTTCAGCTCTCAAACCAGCTTTTCAACCTTTAATAGAAAAATGCGAGCCTCTCGTTACTTCCATGCTTTTGCCTTCACCAGGAGGTCACAGAGATTCCAATTCACCTCTTTCTTGCCTACAGAAATTTAAAAAGCGTTTATATTACTCAAATGATCCGAAATTATTATCTATTCTTGCAAAGAAACTTATCCTTTCCTAATTGAAAATTATGTATACTCAATACTTAGGTCCAAGCTATACGAAAAAGCTTACGAAAGGTAAAAGATCTGAGGGATGTAAAGGTGGATACAATCCATAACGTGCAAGGTAAGTTCTCTCCTATTTTCAAGTCATCCAAGAAACATTAATAATAAATCGATTTACCTACTTTAATTTTTTGTATCCCATTTATCTTTCATTTGATTGTATATATTTTTTTGTCAGGAGAAGAATTTCGGGTGCTTTTTATCAGTACCGTGCGTACATTTCATACCTGCAAGCCTCAGCAAGAAGAATTGCGTAACAATGGATCAGGTCAAAAACTTTATTGGGAGTTTTTGTCTGATCCAAAGTTACTTAACACAGCCGTGACGAGAGCGAGATGCATGGTGGCAGTGGTTGGCGATCCTGTCTCTCTTTGCACAGTGGGAGAATGTCGAGGAATCTGGAGAGATTACATCAAGAGATGTGATGATGCTGGTGGCCTGTATGGGACAACAATGAAAGAGCTATCAAGAGAAATAAGCGCTTCTATTGCCAGTGTCCAGCTCAATCCTTCAGCTGAGACATTCATTCCAACTTTCGTTCCAAAGGCTGAGAAGAGCTTGGGCGCAAAAGCGCCCGAGGACAAAACAATAGAAAGTGCCCAAAAGGACGTTTATGTAAAGGTGATAGAAGAGAAAGGTGTTGGGAAAGTCCTGGAAACGAAGAGCGACACTCGAGAGGCAAATGGCCAACAAATCCTGAGTGAAGGATCGACGGAAAATGATGCCTTGGACAACAAAGGTCGACCCATTCTCATCCTTAAGGATCAGGATCGGGGTGAAGAAGAGCCTGACGACGGCAATGCAGACTCAAAAGACTTTCAAGATAACCTTCTAGAGGACGAGACAGTATTTCCGAGCGACATGGACGAAATAATTCAGGCATTTGTCCAAAAATGTGAAGAAACACTGAAAATGGACGAAGAACGCAAATCAATTTTTGACGACTCCGAATTCCCTTCTCTTCAAGCGGTGAAAGACTTGAAACAGCGACCAATCGAGCGCGTACAACACCCTGCATTCAAGGGTGGTGCTGACATAAAAGATCTGTTCCCAGAGGTACGAGTTCGTTACGGCCGTATTGAAGTGCGCCTTACTAACCTTGGCTTTTACAGATCTCCCTCTGAAAGAGCGAAACGAATCATAATTTCCTCAAAGCAACAGGATTTTCTTGATCCCTCTGTCTTGAGGCAGCTGGTTGCAGACGAACCGGAGAAATACATTGTCTGTAATCTTCGTCTTAGTCCCGAAAAGTTGCACATGGCTTATGCAGAGGTAGAAGACACCAAGACGCCATCTATTCAAATCAAAGGAAAGCTCCACCGAGCATTTGATAGAGACAAAGTTGTTATAGAGCTAGCCGAGAGTAAAGCTCGCTCAAAGGCCGATGAAAGTGAGCCAGCAGTCCAGGGAAGAGTTGTTGGTAAGATGATATACCTTTCTCCCTACATTAGTAGTCTTTGAATGTAGTTATAATTACCCTCCACAAGCTTAGTTAAGATTGTTAAATATTTCATTAAACCATCGAAATCCGATTTGTTGAGAAAACACGTCCTGCATCCTAGTTAAAAGACATCAGATCGCGCAAATCGAAAAAAGCATTGATCGATAGTAGCCACAAGAACTCTCATTATAAATTGAACCCATCATTTTTGAGACTCTTCCATGATATAAAGACATATGATAACAGCTAGATCAGTAGATGACATCAGAATATTCTTATAAGTAATAAGACGACCGGCTTTAAACCTTTTTAAATTTCTCTTGTGATTCAGGTGTACTTGAACACATAATTAGTCCACACGAACGTCAGTTTGTATGTACAACAGATTACGCAAATCCTGCGGTGATGGTGCCCATCAACAAAGCAGCAACCAAACTGGTCAACCTTACAGACAAAACCTGTGAGGATATTCCAATGTACAAAAAGGATCAAAACGGAAGAGCCACGAGGGTAAAAATGTTTAAAAGAGAGAAAGTCCTCAGTGGGAAGTACCTCTTTGTTGTTAAATACCTTCAGTGGAGAAGAGACTTCTGCAACCCTCTTGGTATCGTTGTGCGACCTCTATCCAGAGGACACGACTTGGAAAGTAGCATGGAGATTGCATACGCTGAGCACGGGGTAAGACGAAAATTTAAACAACAGACCTTGAGATATGTGGATGAGAACTTTCCCCCAGGATGGACTATTCCTGAAGTAGAACGTAATAATCGCACCAAGATTTCTGATGCCATCACAATTGATCCTCCCACATCCATGGACCTTGACGATGCTTTGACGATAGAGAATATTTCGCCTTCCAAGTTCCTATTAGGGATACACATTGCCGATGTCAGTTTCTTTGTCAGACCAAACACTCCATTAGAAGAGGAAGCATTCTCACGTTGTACTTCATATTACCCCGACAACGGACATGAAAATATTCCCATGCTTCCGCGCCAACTTAGTGAGAATTTTTGCAGCCTTCTTCCTAATGAGGACCGTCTTGCAGTATCGGTTTTCGCCACCATAAGCGAAGAGGGGAAACTAGTCGGTGAGCCACAGATAAAACGCACAGTTGTTCGATCCTGTTGTCGTTTGAGCTATACTAAGGCTCAGATGATCATTGATGAAAAAGATGCTAGCACATCAGAAATTCCAGAGGAGATAAAGGGGAAGGTTAGACGGTTAAGTTCCTTAGCACAAAAGAGTAGATTTCATCGCCTCCGAGATCGAGCATTCGATCACTGGCAAAACGAAGGAAAAGATTTTGAAGCCCACGAGCTAGTAGAAGAATGGATGATTCTAGCAAATGAGGAAATCGCAAAACTTTTGTCACAAAGGAACTCTGAATTAGCACCTCTGAAGATACAGCTGCCACCAAAAGATCACAGACTGGCCGAATGGATTCAAATATACGGCAAGTATACAAGAATGTCACTAACGTTATCCGCAACTTTCACGAAGGAAACAACAGACGCCACCCCACTAGAGGCTTTTCATGATGAAAGCATTAAGTTTAAGATCCAGAGGCAAGTTTGGCGTGCGATATGTCAAGCCGCCGAGTCAAACGATTTACCCACACTTCAATACCTGATTTGCAACGAGAGTAATCACCCACAAATTGCCACAGCTGTTTCACATTTTCGACGTATACAGTCTAAATCTCGATGCGTTTGCGAAGGCGATCAACCACCGGAGAACATTTGCCACTACTCTCTCGGAATACCTCGATACACACAATTTACATCGCCAATAAGGCGGTATATTGATATCGTGGTGCATCGGCTACTAATTGGTCTCGTTTTGACGTCTTCCACCAATAATCACCCCAGCAAAGATGAAGTTTTAAAGGTGTGCCGACGTCATACATTTATGCAAGACAACGCACGTAAATTTGAGAAGTATTGCAAGAGGATCCATCTGGCCACTCAGCTCCAGCAACGGTGTCGTGAGACACGAGTTTTCACTGAATCCATTCAGCATCAGTCCTTGCATCTTCAAATCTTAAATAGAGAAGATGATCTCTTGGCTAATAAGAACAAAACAATTGCCCTTCGTCACCTTAATTTACTGACCGTGGATGAAAAAAAAGAACATCAAGGTGAGGAACAGTCGATCATTCTCAAGTGGAAAATCAGAAAGTATATGGCGCCAGATTTCAAGAGAAACACCACAGAGTTATCCACTTCCAATTACAAAGGCACTGACGAAGTGATCGAAATTCCTCCTGATGTTTGGGTTTCTGTGTTGGATATGATTCGAGCTAACGACAAGGAGAATCTAGTAACCACCATCAAGAAAATGCAAGAGAAGCTAAGCGCGATACCTTCCAGTCGTAGGAAGGACACCTCAGCTCAAACGTCTTTTGGCCAGGTGCATGAGATCCATTACAAGCATCCTCATCACAATGACGAGGCACAACCGTCATCTGAGGCAGCAGTAGACCATTTTTACGAGAAGAAAGTTACACTAAGAAAATACGATTTCCTCTCTGTGCAGCTCTGTCCTCACATGATACGAGGAATCCTCGAACCAGATGTCCAAGTATTTAAGGTAGATGCTCATCTCAATGTCTGCATTGAACACCGTAAGTATCCAAGGGAGTCATTTTCGCACACAGCGAGACACCAAGCATCAAGGGAACGGTATGAAAGTATCGACGAGTACGTAGAAGCTTGGAAACCAGTTATTGCGATGGAGGCAGCGACAGAAGCGGTAAAGGAGAATGATGGGTTCACCATTGAAAACCTTAACGTGCTATGGAAACACAAGGCGGATTCTGTAAGAGGAGAGTTTGAGCTTCCTTTCAGCTACTGTGATAGTCGTCAATTAAATTTCCATATGGGAGATCTCGTATGTATCCGTATGTCTTACTGCGAAATATCGCCTTCTTCGGTGGAAAGTGAAAGCCACGGAAAGGTATTTACTCTATCTCAATATTCTTGTGCGAAGATGGCATTGCTATAGTATGCTTATTTAAGTTCTTCCCCTTTCTACAGTCTTCCAAAGACGGTCTACATTCTGATTCAAGCGGAAGTGCTAGTGACTTTTGGGTGGCACACTGCATTATCAAAAGTGTTAAGTTTCTTAAAGAAAAACGGATGGTAAAAGTGAAAATGTATCTTCATCAATCGGCGTCAACCACACCAGAGGGACTTTCCAACGAAGAGGGTTACAGATGTACTCTAGAACTCATCCACAGAACACTTCCTCAAAGGTACATGAATAACCATACTCTCATGAGATACTTAGTCAAGATCTGTGCTCAGTTTCTGAAATAGTTAAATTAATCTTGTAGTCTAATAATTTCAAATAGCTCTGCGTTGACTGAGCATGCAAAGTAGTGGTATCTAAACAGTTATGCGGATCTTGAATAAAGAAAGCTTGATTCAACACTAACTATAACAAACTGCAACAAACTGAATTTATTTTGCAAAATTGTGTCAACTACTTAACCTTTATCACGACAAAAATATACCTCCACTGGTTGCCTAGTTAAATCCATTACTTACCTTATTACATCCTGGAGTTCTTGGTATGAATTAACTTTCATTTCAACTCTTCAGACGAATGTATGCAGCGCTGTGCAGTTTGAAACACTCATCTGAGCTAGTTCATGCCATTTGCAGAGGAGAGGAGCCTTCAAAAGGTATTTATTATTGAGGATTAGTATTTTTTTTTTATTCTGACCTTTCATTTACACAGTTACAATTTTACATTCATAAAATAGGTTAACAATGATAACAATTCGATATATTTAACAATCTTACGCAGTTACCCTATTTTCAGGCTTAAGAAATTAAACAAATTAAACTAATTCAACCAAGCAACATAACGTAAAAAAAAAAGAGAGAAAAAACAGGATAGAAGGCAAATCGGCTTAAGATTTTTTAAATTATTAACCATTCCTTTTCATTTGAATATCCATTTATTTTCAAAGAAGTTTTTCTTATTTATTTTTCTTTCAATTTAATATTTGATAGCTATCTTGTTCTGATAACCTTGTATTTTAGGGTGTATTTGTTTTCTTCTGCAGTCCCACAAAAACAGTTTTCCGATAATAATAAAGTAATTGAGTAGTGTATGTGAAGGGAATTGTGTTGAAAGCATTCCAAATAAAATATTTTCCAAAGTCAGATGAACTACCTGATTTGACAAGCGGAACCAGTACAATTCGAAACCATTCCAGAACTGTCTCGCATAAGTGCATTGATAAAGCAGATGATATAGCGTTTCTCGCTCAGCTTCGCAGAAAGTGCATAAGTCATCAGCTCTAAAGCCAATTTTACACAATTTCGTGTTGTTGTAGAGTATGTTGTTAAGGATTTTATACTGAAAAGCCTTAACATAGGATTTAAGTGCAACAGAGTGAGGTAAAATGAAAGATTCCCTCAATAGATCATCTGAGATATTAAAGTCGCTTTTCCACTTATGAACAATATTTGGAGGCTGTGATTTCTTCATAAAAAGTAAGGAGTAATAATCTTTCGATTTCTTTTTCTTCACATCAAAAATGTTGTTATTTATTTGAAGCGAAGAAGGCGTTAGTGTATAGATATAATCACGATCATCTTTCTAAAAATCAGGTATTGAGTGTCGAAGACCTGCCCATTGTAGAAAGCTAATTTTTCTAATTTTATTTGAAACGTAACTGAAGGAATCATTAATATTCAAATCGAGCCGGAGATCGTGGATGTGAGTGATTCCGGAGTCAAAATATTTTTTGCAATAGATAGGCTTTTTATCTTTTCTAATTTCTTTATTATTCCAAATAATATTTGTCCAATTCAAGTCTGTAGCGAAAGTTTCACGAAATTGTGACCACCATAGAAGAAGCTCTCGATAAAACTGGGAAGCGATTGTATAATCGTTAACATCATAGTTACAATTACCTACATTACAAAACTTTTAGCTTTTAGCTTCCGTGCGATTGTTAACCATCGTAATGCTCTTTTTTTCCGTCACGGTTAGAAAGTTATGGCGAACTCCCCACAAGCCTGTTTTTGACACAGTTTGGATTTAAGAAGTTGAACACATATCAAGAGGCCGCGGTCAAAGAAGCACTTTGCCATCCATTCACGCTAATACAGGGCCCACCAGGTAAGAATATTGTGTTTTTCGATGAAAGACTAAAAGCGATTAGGGGCTTAAGAATTATCTCGCATATAACCACTTTTTAGTTCGACTGACCATGACTTAGTGATGATGTACGGAAATAGTCTATGTTACCAGTATTCCATTACACCTGAAAAAATGCGCTAGCATACACATTTCTGAGCTTCATTACAAATGACAGCAATGACAGCTTGTCTGTGACAACTCGCTTACAAGTACAGGTTACTTACAAACGACCATAAAAATCGTTTTTCTCAGGTACTGGGAAAACCGTAACAGGAGTACACATCGCCTACTGGTTCGCGGAACAAAACAAGACGAAAAAGTCTTTGAAGCTGTTGAAAAAAGAGACAAGTGAAACTGAATGTGATGGAGCACACAAATCACCGCCTCAAGTTATTTATTGTGGACCGTCTAACAAGTCTGTGGACGTGGTTACAGGTGGGCTATGATAGGAAAAAAAGTCAGGACTTCTGTTTCATACGAAATCAAATCGCGGTATGGGACTCCATGAGGTTCCGCGGTAATTATCCACCGAAGGACAATGCATTCCAATAGAAAATGCTCTAAGCTAGCTTGATGTTGGTAGCTGTCGAATTTGATTGTAACATCATTTAATTTTATCAACTAGGAATATACTCACATAAAAAAGCTAACCTCGCGTTCAAGTTTGTTGGCATACTTGGAATAAAGTATTTAGCATGCGAAAAATCGGAACAGATATTGGCTGTTTTGGAAATGGTATTTTGTGTAGCCGCCTTGTTAGATCGCGTTTCCCGGTCTTTCACAATTGCTTCTCTTTTGCGCACGACCTCCCTAGGATTCTTGCTCACAAAAGAGGTATTACATAATGGTGATGATTGTGGTAACGATATTACGTCATACGGTTCAAAGTGTCGCCCAGCGGGAATTTTTTAATCGTTTAACGATAACTTATTCCGAAAGTGTAAAAATGCAGCTGTCCTCTATCATTCAATTTTGATTTGGCCGTGCAAAGCTTGAGTAATAAGTACACCGTTTATTTAATCTAAAATAAATTCCGCACAAATCTCAACAGCTGACATAAACTTTCATCTTCCAACCTTAGAGCTCCTTTTGAAAATGCCAGATTTAAAAGTTCTCAGAGTTTACAGTGATCAAATTGAGCAGAAAGAGTTTCCAATTCCAAACAAGTTGAAGCCAGCTCGAACAACGAGGAGTGATGACGAACTGAAAATTTCCAGTGATCAAATAAGGTCTGTATCCCTTCATCACGTGATTAGAGGTCCTGAATGCCCTCATTCGGAAGAGCTAAGGAAATATGAAGAAGGGTTCGCTCAGTGTAAAGCGATGAAGGAAACTATAGGCCAAAAGGAAGTCGCCGATTACCGCAAGGTGAGAAATTTTTGAACGGTTTGACTTAGTGCTTCGATGCGAGAATAAAAGACAAATTAGAAAAGTTAACTCTGTTGAAGATATTTTGGCGCTTAAGTACGTGCTAGCTACTGGACAGATGGGAAGGCTGGTGATTGGTGGAAATTCTCTCCCATTGGAATGATTGAGTTTTCGTAATTACATTGATAAACTAAGGCAGTTTTCCTCTCATATAACTCTTTTGGAGAGACATTTAAAATCAGTGAGCCTTTTTTTCACAAATCAAAAACTTATTTTTACGTTCAAATCCACAGAGAACCTCCCGCAAAAGAAAAATAGTAAATCTGCTCACAACTTTTCCTGTCAAGCCAAATACCTTGATCACTTGATACAGATGATGGCTTTTTAAATTTCTTTCCCTCAAGGTCATTGGACTGGCTGAAAAGTGGGCTCTTCAAGAGTCTGGAGTTCAAATCATTCTCTGTACTTGCGCCGCTTCGGGAAGTCCTAGGATAGTCTCTTCTTGCGACAACATCCAGCAATGCATTGTCGATGAATGTGGCATGTGCATGGAACCTGAATCACTAGTGCCTATTACGTGTTCTGGAGCAAAACAAGTGGTTTTGATTGGTGATCACAAACAACTGCAGCCTGTAATACAAGACCACGTCGCAAAGACACTTGGCTTGAGTGTGTCGATGTTTGAAAGGCACTCTAAACGAGCTACCATGCTGGAACTTCAGTACAGAATGGTGAGATATTTTAGCAAAACACATTCAGGGTAATTATAAATTCTACTATTCTAGGAAATGGTACTTTGATTGTCTTCGTTAGCTTCTGAGACACAGGTTTAACAGTCTAACTGTAATCCGCATAGTTTTCTGAATCATTGCCTCTGAAAACCCACTTATCTCTGGGATTAATATAATTTTTCTGTTGCTAAACAAGATATCGGTGCAAATACCTAAATATTGGTCACCCGAAGGATGGACTTCGCAACTCTTTTATTGTTCGCAGTTTATTTGTCTTTCAAGATTTAACCTTAGCGGGTGTTTTAGTGTTTTTCTCTCTCTCTTACCTTTAAAAACTTGAAACATGAACTTGGTAACAATTAGGTTACTTTACTCTCCCTCCTTGAGTCTATCAGAAGACTTTTACCGCATTACACCCACCAGGAAAACAGGAAACAATGCCATTTAATTTCTTTTTCTCTTAACAAAGACATTTTTTTAACCAGTGTGTTCTCTTTTCTAGCATGATGGAATTTGCGAATTTCCATCGAGACAATTTTATGATGGAAAGCTACGTACAGCTGACGTGGTGAAGTCACGTGCTCCTAGTCCAATTTCCTTTTGGCCTGCACAGAGGAAACTACCAATTGTGTTCTGTCACGTGGAAGGGCAAGAAGAGTCTGCTGCCATAGCAACCTCAGAGAGCAACGAGGAGTCCAAGAGAAACATGAAAGAAGTTCGTAAGGCAGTAAGTAAATTCTCACCGAACTTGAGAAAGTTGGGAAGATTATGGGATAGGAAGCTCATGTTCTTTTGGTTCATATCTACAATTGCAAAGTAACGTGAGTATTTTCCAAGCCTAAGCTAAGATTTATTATCACACAGGAGAATTTTTTACGTACCATGGTTAAATTACTATTAGATTGATCTGTGGCCTTTTTTTTTTTTTTTGAGATGCAGTGGAATCCCTTAAATGCCGGAGACACCTCTATCCGGTAGACATGTTTTTTTCTGGGGACAGAAGCTGGTCCAGACTGACAAAATTCCTCCTAACACCTCTGTTTACATCAGAAATTTTTTCAGCACGCTAACTTGATGTATATATTATTATGTATATCCCTAACCCTTCATTGTTTGATTGGAAACTGTATACCAGAGTACTCTTTGCTTTACTAAAGCTTTGCACGGCTGTAAAGTCAACATGTCTAATGATCACTTCCTCCTCTTTCCACACGAACAGGTTCAAATAGCAAAGCATCTTGTTAACCGTTACGTGGCCCATGTGCAAAAGTCAGATGTGGTCATTCTGTCACCTTACAGAGAACAGCGAAGCAAAATCACCGAACTCTTAAAGGGAGCATATGAGGATATCAAAGTTACAACAATCACTAAAAGTCAAGGTAAGGCAGTAAAAAGTAAATCTTGGAAATAAAACGGTATTTATAAACAGTAAACGAAACCGTGACGTACCTCAACCGTTTAATACATACTAGATAACTCTGTGAAAAAAATAGGGAGATCTAAAATTGAAAATAATAGCGCACGTTGGAAGAAGGCGCAGTTCTGATGAAGTGTTGAATTTCGATACTCGATTTCTCCTTTTTCTTTCAAATTTTAGGGAGTGAATGGGATTACGTCATAATATCGTTGGTTCGATCCGTGAACCGTGACGAAATAGATCCTGAGCCGTCCCTTTCTTGGCTTCGTGAACATCTGGGGTTCTTGACTGATGAGCATCAAATGAACGTGGGACTCACTCGAGCACGCAGAGGACTTTGCATTATAGGTGAGATATGCAGTTCAAGTCTTTTCAGAGAAGGTTGAGGTAGAGTTTTTAAAGCATTCTAAGATGTCGTTGGTTTTTGTTTACCAAGCTCTGCGATTAGTGCCGCAATTTCATCCCATCCTCTTAATCCTCCAAGATTTTTTTACCCTGGGTTTTCCTCAATTAACCCTTCGTGACATTTTCATGCGTTCTTAGTGGAAGTTGTGGAGGTAAACAAAGAAGTTTGTCAAGTTTACAAATAAAGCTCCATGATTGTAGGATAAGGCGCCCTTATTCTATTGTTAGAATAACTCAGCCTTATCTTATTCCCTTTAGGAAACAGGTATCTCCTGGAGTTAGATCCAGCGTGGAAAAGCTTGATAGAGCACTACGAAAAGAATGACTGTCTTGTGAACGAGGACTGGCCTCGGTCATAATTGAGTCACAGAAGTAAATATTTGTTTAATCAACAAGACTGAAATATACTAAAGTCAGGGGAGAATTTTTAGAGAACTTTTTCAAGATTAGAGCTTTTTGTATAATCTTCCAGGGAGTGGTGGTTTTGTAGGACATGACTAGAAGGAAAGGAATGGAAAGCATTTCAAAAACTTAGTGTGACGAGAGTGAGGGAATATTCCGATCTCTCTTTGAAGTCAAATTCTATAGCTTTTTTAAATATTATTCAAAAAATTAAGATTGTTTTTTTAAAAGACGTGTAAAACTAACTTGAGCAGGATACTGTTATCCTATATTCATCGCTTCGACAATTTGGCGTCAAATGCATGTAAGTAGCAGTTGGCTAAATTACTTCAAATCAGAGGAGCAGAGCTGGATTACCTCTCCAAAAATTTAAGACTGACAATTATTTTTCTCAATCAAAAATGTTTTGTATTTAATCTGGGAGCATAAGTCTTTTTTAAATCACTAAGGGCAATCATAACGCTCACGTTGGATATGTAATACGAGTTTCGCTCCAACCTAATGCGTTCCTTCTCGCCTTATTGTGTCATCATCATGATGAATGATTCGTTCTAAAGAAGGGCTAAAGCATTATCTACTTAGTTAATAAAATAAAAATTATTTTATTCTACTCCCTCACCGATGCAGACTGGAGGTCACCTAATCGCGAGTTACTCCTAAGCAATAACAATGATGAATACTGAGCCTCGGTTTTGTCATTCACTGTGCATATTCATGGAGATATGCCCGTTTTCTTAACAATTTTTACTCAAGAAAGAGAGGAGTTTTTCAATCCCGCGGTCCCGACTAAAATTTTCTCACAATCCAGTAATCCCGACGGTTTATACCAGCCAGTCCTGATCATAAAATTTTTCTTAGTCTATTATCTCAACTTACATGGGGCATTTCAGTGGGTGATGATTTTGTCAACTAGCATTGATACTTTGAAGATTTTGCTCACCATTAGGCGTAAGTTCATCTCTTTGCACCGAAACGATGACATCGTTTATTTGAGAAGTTTTCAAATTTTTGGCACGAATAACGTACGCTAGTTACGATAACGACTTCCTTCCGTTTAACTTCGATCACTGGAAAATGTTTTAGCAAAGACAAGTCAGTATCAAAGAAACAAATAACAATGTCAACGAGTGCATACAGCAACAAAAAGGTGATGGTAATCCCTTAGATCCATAACAAGGGAAATATAGAAAAGTTTACTTATGATCATGTTATAATTATGCCGTTTCCATGAGACCCTTTAAGGAGGCCACCTTTCGTGGCAGCTGAGCCCGAAATTTTTCTTTCCGCAGAAAAGCACTTTCGCTCTTTCCCTTCTCGTAAAAGAGAGTCACACAACTTGTTATGTTTATTACGTCGACTTGATTCGATTCATCGCTTTCGATAGTGGCTGACATCCGTACAGAGGAACGTACTGCTATTTTTCCTGATTGATAAATTGGTCGGTCACCAAAAGGCCACTGTTACAGGATAGGGCAAGGCTCAGAATGTTCAGACATCACCAGTGAGTTGAAAAGAAAACGACAGCGCAGATAAGACTATCACAACACACATTTGTGCGGCTTTCTTTCAGCCTCTTTCGCAGGCGTTTCTATTGGGATCGCGTGTAACTTTCGCGTTTTGCGGGGACAATTGGAACACGATATCTTAGTAAACGGCTGCGAGGAAGGGTGGGCTTTTTTGGACTTAAATGCTGATCAACTTCTTTATAAATTATCGTCAACGGACTTCCCGGTTCTCGGAAAACCTTTTGGAGACCCTTAGGAATCAGGTAAGCAACTCGTAACGGAATATAACTCTTCCTTTTAATTAATTTGACAGCTGGTAACTATCCTGCGACAAGTGTCGAGGGAGCAGGTTAGCAATTTGAAACTATTTCCTTCGTAGGTTTCTCGCGTTTTAGCTCGGCCATAGGGGTAGGACTTAAAAAAGAAAACAAAAGTCCTCAGCACGAACTAACGTTGCAGCTTCTTGTTTGAAAGGCGTAGCAATGCCTATCTGAGAAGCTGTTTCTCGCTCCATAAGGACGAAGAGAGTTAGCAACCACACTTGATCCAAGGTGAATTCGACCACAGATTTTCAACTCGGCACACAGACACACACTTTGACTTTGAAACGTTATGTGCAGAGCTCGACACATCGTTTATTGTTCGACATCGCGTGCTCTTTGATGGGTATCACGAACAGATTGGCTGCTTGGCTAGATATCTTATGTACTACAGAACTTGTGATTAAGTACTTAGTAATTTGGGCGATTCCTGTCGACCTTCCCTTCTGCTGAACTAAACTTCCGGAGTTTTCAAAAGATGTTTCTCGTTCAACGAAGTCCGTGATATTTTCGTTGAGGAATATACTAGTAAAGGGCTTTGAAACGGTTGCTCGGAACTCGTTCAAGCTCGAATTTTCTTGTATCTACACTATCTAAACTCACGCTCAACTATAAAATCAAGGATATGCAGTGCGTTTATTTATTTCCCATACTATCAATCCAAACCCAACCGTTAATTTTCATTTTATTGACCTCTCACTTTTGTCTCCCCTGATTCCTTGTTTTCCAGCACGAGAGCAAACTTTTATCGAGACGTAAAGGTATGGCTATGATCTCGAGGGTGAATTGTAACACAATGACGATTGTGAATTTTACTTTTATCGAGCTTTAAAAACTTATGCTTCATTCGCAAACAGTCAAGTGCAAAATTTTGTTTTCAAGGCTTGAGACTGCATGTTTACATGTAATATCGTGTCTCAGTTGTAGTTTGATTCCTTAAATTTGAAAGCCATTATACATTTGTTTGTTAAGTAGACCTGAGAATTTGTTGTCAATTCTAAATTATTCATGGGCCTTCTACGCCTGAAAAAGACGTCGACCGAAAGGAGAGATTGCCAAAAGGAGACAGATTGCGACAGATTAGAAAGTTTACGCATGCTATAATATTGATCTTGGCGAAGTTCTATTCCATTACGTAATGTTTTGCGACAAAGAAAATGGGAATCTTTCGAGCAACATTTATCGCGATTCCTCCGTTGGAATTTCGAAAGATTTGCTGGACCTTTAGATATATTTGTATCCTTCCTAGTGCCTGTTCATAAAAAAAAACCCACATCAAAACACCAAATATGAGATCGACGACCAACAAAGCAGTATATGTTGTGACCGGTAAGTTTCTTGAAAAGAAAAATTCACCTTTTTGATTTGCTACAGTCATTTTAAGTCATTTTAATTAAGACGATAAATCACAAATATTTTCAGCCCTTTGAATTTACTTCATAACAAAATTCGAGTGAAAAAGTACTACTGAATATGTCCTTAATGATATTAAACACGCGTTTCGTAGTATGGTTCTGTCAAATATGAGGTAATAAAACACAAGAACAGGTGTATCACGCAACGGTAGTTTGATGGTCCAATCAATTAAACTCCAATGGAAAATAAAAAATCAGCAATTTTAAGGATAAACTAACTTTTTTCTCGTTTGCGTTCAATAAAGAGTACATGATTAAAGTTCCTGGCCTCAAGATCATCCGCGTGTACACTGATCGGAAAGAACAGGCAGAGTTTTCAATCCCTAACAAACGCCACACTCTTAAACAGTCTACCGACGATCGGACCGGAGTACCTGAGAAACTGAAGAACATTTCACTACATCGCATAACTCGAAAATATCCATGTCCATATGCTGATGTACTTGAGATGTATGAAAATAAGTTTGAGGATAATAGGAAGGAAAATAAAGAGAAAAATAAGAGAACCAGAGGCCTTCTACCCAAGCCCAAATGCTGGAAATTCAATACAAATGATAATCAAACCTTTAATTACCTCTTGTTTTTTTCACCATGGATTTTTTGCTTTAAATTTACAGAGCATCAATTATGAACCCATACATTTAGCAATCTACCTTCAAACCGTCCTCAACAACTCTTCCTATCTTTATCACAGCCCACCCGCAACATGCCTAAAGTCAAAAGACGAGCACTGCTGGCTGTATCAGACTTTCATACTCTCGTACTGACTTGAGGAATAAAGACTAGTCGAAGAACACAGAAGGGTTTTAGCTGATTTCTTTTTCTAGTCTGTATTCTTGCATTCCGAAAGAAAACAAAAACGAAAAAGAAGTTGCCTCTAATAACATAACATAAAAGGCTTGGGTACCACTGCATAGAGCTTCTTATTACAGCACTTACTCAGTGCACATGTAAACATAAGGCCGAAAGCTATCTCCCCCTCCTCCTATTTTCGTTTCTATTCTTTTTGTAAAAGCCTACTTTTTAAGTTAAATCTTTTTGTTGCTCTTTTAGCAAAAAGAGATTTGCCGTTTTTGATCGGAATATTTTTACGAAAGTAAATTGAAAACAAACGAGTCTGTACCAACCAATGACCCAAATTTAGAACATTTTTGGCCTAGTCCAAATGTTCCTCTGACATTTTGTCATGTCGAAGGCGACGAGGAAAGTACAGCCATTAAGACAACACATAGCAGTGAGCAGTTCAAGTAAAATCAGAAAGAAGTAAGAAAAGTGGTATGTAGTATTCAGTCACCATCGGCTTAAAGTTCAAGTTGCACCAATGTTTTAGGTCATATACTGTTTCTAATTAGATTGAATGCACTGAACCATTGATATCCTTTTTGGTCTGTTTTGAACTAAATAGGAGATTCCAAATAGCAGGTTGCAAAATTTTATAAGTGTAGAATTAAAATACGTATGTACGTCGCTCATTAGAAAAGGAAGAAATTCAAGAATAAGTTTTCAGCTAAGCAAAAAGAAAGCGCTTCTGGTTCGTCGCTTCTCTAAATGAAAAAGAAGAAGCGAGTAGAAACCCCATAAGGAAATCCTTAGACAAATAAGAAATCATTGGCCCCCTGAACTCATGAAATTGTAGTAATAACTAATTATTTTTCTGTCTCTGCAAAGGCAACTGTTTTATGTGAATTAGTAAATTAAACAAACTGAAATTAAATAAATTCGGTAAACTAATACTTTCTCTAACGTAAGGTCCACGTTGCTAAAAGCTTGGTTTTCAAAAATGGTGTGTCCCCGTCAGATGTCGTTATCTTATCGCCTTATAGAGAACAATGTGAAAAAATAAGCAGAGCTCTGGAAGGAAATGTTAAATCCAAATAAATCCTTGTCACAACCATCATAAAAAGCCAGGGTAAACATACTTTCTAATTTTTTTTCTCGTACTAAATCTTTTTATTTTCCTTTTCTTTCTAGGCTGCACGGCAATCATAACCTTGAGAACCTTTCTGTGATTTTTTTTCTCATGAAAGTTGAATATTGCTATAATTGTAGCCCAAGTCGGCTCGAAAATGTTAGTAAAAATGCAAAAGAAAGAGAGCCCATGCATTTCATTTTCAGTTATTTCAGTGGAGTAATTAGTTCGACATTATCAATTAACATTTGTGGATATTGAACTCGTCGACCGATTTCAATCATTAGATTGTGGTTTTTCATCGCTACATTATCAAATATATTACATTATATTATCAAAAAACTTGAACCTCTTTGACAAATTTACCTTCACTCTTAATGTTTAACACATTTCATGTCATGCAGGAAGTGAATGGGATTACATGATCTTATCTCTGGTGCGCTCGCTGAATAAGGATGATCTCGAACGAGATCCCTCCATTTATTGGCGGGGTGAACATTTGGGATTCTTGACCGACGAGCATCTCTGTATCATTGGTATGAGAGATATATATTATAATTAAATAATACCTTGTAAACTCTAGGCAGATACGCTTAAAATGGACGAGAGTTTCGTGGCCGGTAAAATCACTGAGTAAGATTAAACGGTATCGGAAAATGACACCGGCTCTTTCTGGCCGTTCACATCAGTTTCCCGCCGTTTTAAAGAATTGTAATGGATTTATTCTTTAAAAAGCACTGAAATTGACTCAAACTCACAGTTTCTGACGACGCAAATTCAAGCAGGTTTGGTAGCCCAAGAAGCTCGTTAATTTTAAAAGATCTGACTCCATAAGTCAAGTCCCACTGAAAGTCCGAAGTTCAGTCCACTTTTCATAATTTTAATTTTATCTTTATTATTTTACTAACCACTTTTTTTATTTGGCTAACAAGAACCTACTGATGCTTCGTCCCATGTGGCAAGTGTTTCTAGACTTTTACGAACAAAGAAAATGCATGGTTAATGAATCTGCCTGGCCTGTAAGCTGAAGCTATATTAATTTATTACTCATTGTCGAAAATATCATCCATAATCTTCAAGATTATTCAAGATGGGCTTTCTTATTTTAAATAACTCACGTTTGTTCATTCTTGTAGATATAAATTAGTAGGTAACTTACTCACATCTAAACTGCCTCAACATATATAATCTCCCTCTAAGACACGTCAAATGGTCAGGCAAGTATTCACTCCTCTGCTGAATGGAATTCTGATCCATCCGAAGCCGAATTCGCCAATCTTTTTTGAAAAAGGATACGCGGTGCTTAGATGAAAACGTATTAACATAGAATAAAATCCAATTTAAGTACGAAACTCGATTCGGTCAACTGCAGAACACAGCATAGATTAATTAATGCATAATAAAATAAAGAAAAAGAGTAGAAAGTTTATATAATTTTACAGTTTTAGTTTCTATATTTTTACACAAATACTTTTCAAGACACAACGCAAATAAAATATTGAAACAATAACTCTCCAGTGAATTCAGTTGGAAAGTAAAAGATGCGAAGCAACCGAAACAAAATGAACGATACTGAAACGCAGCACGCAAGGAACTTGATGAGAGACAACCCCCCCCCCCCCACCCTCGCCCTCCCGTTTCCTATATCCTCACCATTTTCAGGCTCATATTACCCGGGAAATGACTGATATTATTAAATGCAGTTTACGGGCTACCAAGGAATATTGTCTCAGTTAGCATAGATTGTCTTGTCTGTACCGAAACGGAATGCGACGAAAGCAATATTCGATTTCCACTTAAAGCTGAATAATACACCCGTTCTGGTTGGTTCTTATTTTAATATGAGCTATTGGGAGACCAACGCATGGATGCTGTCACCATTGGCAATTTTATACTACTTCTTTGTTTTTAAAACCAAATAGATTCCATGTTGCTGTACATCTGGTTAGTAATAGATCATAGAGAAAGTCAAAATGCGGTAATAACATCGTGACACGCGTGACTGCACCTCGTGTGTTACTTCTGATTCTTAACACATTTTCAACTCATATTTTTAATTTATCAGACGCACGGCAACATGGAATCTAACTTTTTAAATGAATTATTAAATGGAGCAATGCCGTGATAATTTCTTCTTTCTTTCACACTGGGACCAGTTATTCGAAAAACGATAAGCGGCGGCTGCTATACAGAAAATTTTTGCATACTTAAGCTATTCAGTTTGCGGGGCTCTGGGAAATTATCGGGCAAAATTGAGCAAAACAAAACATATGGAAAGAAAAAGTATAAATCCGGATGAGAAATTCACAACCAACTCTGAGTTAGCCAGGTCATGCCTTTGTTTAATGGCCTGCTCACGTAATGAAATATCGTTAAATTAACTCAATCGTTAAATATAGTTTCTTCACCGACCACAGGTTAACGTCATGCTTCGATAAGCGCGTAAATTTCATATTATCTAACGACAAAATTTGCATAACGCATCAGAAGAAAATAACGATATCGATGCCTTCTGGCAAAAGTTATTAAAGTGGAAGTTATAGAAGAATTGCTTTACCCATTTCAAACGTTTTTCGATGTTGTCATAATAAGTGGATACCTGTGTTTTCCTTGTGCCAGTCAAATGTGGCACTGTTTACTGCAGAACATGCCGGAACACGTCGACCGACCAATCGGGTCAAGAGGCAAGTTCCTAGAAAAGGTACCGGAAATACATATTTTTCTGAGTAATATTCATGGCTTGATATTTCTCTTCGATGCGATGGTTTGTTTGTTGTTCTGTAGAACAGAGAAAGGCTTGATGCTCTCTTTTTATTAAACTCCAGCCTGTCTGAGAAGAACTCAGAAGAAAAGACGTCCACAAAAAGGTAGGCAAGTCTGAACAACCTAAACGAAACCTAAATGTTATGACTGAGTTCTTTGGGTTCTTTGCATGTCATTACGCAATGTCGAGCATAGCTATATAGCTTGAATGACGAAGTCTGCGATACAAATAAATTCTCGAACACGACAAGTAGGTTGTTTGAATACGAAATACTCGTGAGTATGTTTTATTATTATTTCTGTAATATCTAACATTAATGCTTCACTCGTGACGGAAACCAAGCGTTTTGTTTCTACTGCCAGTACATGTTATCTTATGGACCTTTGTTATTTTTGATATGCAAATATGGCCGGGTAAGAATCGAACGCGTAGTGAAAATAGTGTCAGAGCTTACCAGGAAGCGCAACTCTTCTCTTTTGAGATTTTAATTTGATACTTGAAAGTAGAATTTTACACCGACGGTTCTTTAATCACTACAAGATAACACGACACAAAATTTCATGTTCTAAAATATTAATTCATATGTATGTCGCGGAAAGTGACAAACTGAATTCATATGGAATGCTTAATTTAAGGAAAATCTTTGGGAAAAACCACACACGATGAGAAATTAACGCTGATTTGATAAACGTAATGTATGAGTGGTCTAAGGAAATTATAGGAGAGAAAATACTAAGCACGTCATATTGATTGAAATTTATTTTGAATGTTGCTTAAAAGAAACTCTTTGCGCATGCTCAGCATCCTACAAGGCAAAGAGAAGATAGAATCTGAATTATCAGGTAATGTTCTGCTTTAAATTATTATTTTGGTCCTTGTTCGGCCATCCTTGCTGTTTCGCGCGTAGCTATGTATAGCATCATCTCAAAGACGTGAACTCATGAGACGTTTTTATCGATATGTGATCTACTCGAGTTTCGAATGTGCTTTGGCAGGAATAAAAACTGCTGATAAAGGGGTTTGCAGGGCCTTGTACCTTAAGCATTGATTATCGTTGCTGTTGCTTCAAAAGCTCTCACCAATTGGAGCGTTTCTACATATTAATATGATTAAGATTCCTCCATATTCAGTACAAGGTAATTACTGAGTTCTCTTCAAAATTGCCTTCTTCGATGACTAGAAAATGAATTTCATTTGATATATCTCCAAAGCTGGACGGACTGAGGACGAGTACAAGATGATTAGCGTTAACTCGTCCTTTCTCACCCCGTTTTCAGTTCTTGGTGGCAATTGCTTCTGTAGTAGTAATACATGGGTGTAATTGCTTGATTGTTACTTAGGTAACGAGCTAAATAAATGTATCAAGGAACCTGAAATCATCCCAACATTGAATTTGATTTAATGTACGTGCGTTTTAAGGTTTTCAGGCTTATTGGTAACGAGATTCTGCGCGGTGGTTCTGTAAATAAATGGTAAAATAAGAGATCGAATTCAATTTGGATAAGTAAACCAATGGTTTATCTCAAAAGAGTGCAGTTCGCTTTGACTGACGTGATCTGACGTATCATTAAGCTAATCCTAGACATAAAATGCCCAGCTTGGCCTAGCTACGAACTTACAATCGTCTTAAAATTTTTAGCGTTGGAAATTTAGAATATCATGTACTCAGTTGATGTATGCAGAAATGCTTTATTTTGTTAATTCCAGCAAAATTGACAAATTTTTTTTAAGGTGAAACTAAAGCTTCATCTTTTTCACTGTTCTTAGGTAAAAGTTATCGCGTTTTTGAGAGTTTACATAATCCCTTTCTGCCTCTTGGCAAAGGGCTTGCCGTAAGTGCCTAGAATTCAAGAGTCAGAACTTGCTTCAACATTTTCGGACATATTGACTCCTCATAAACCTAAGCTGTTATAGCTTCTTATGAAAACAAACTCGACAAATTAGGAAATCCTTCTCATTTTTCTCTCTTTTTTTTTTCTTAGTTCCTATTTGAAATTTATCCACAAGATGGCTGAAGGCGGTCATTTCTCTGTCTTGGATGAGGAAGAATGGTTAGCAGCATAACAATAATAAAAAAAAACAGGCAAACGTACTTAGTAACATACAAACGTTATTTTAATTAACTCGAAGGAATTCATGTTTCTCATCGTTCATTTTATTACTCGTAGTGAGGATGAAGAGGACTTTATGCCGGGTCCTTTTGTGAAGGAATTTATACCGGCTCCTTTCATGGTAAGGCACACTCAGTAACTCACATTGTATTCAAATTTAAATGCAAAACTCAGAAAAGTATCAAATAACATCGAACACAAGTATGACAAGGTAAGAAGGCCATCCCTTCTAAGGATCTTTGGTTTTGTGACCGTCATCACAATAATGATAATTATCATATCAAAATTAAAAAACAAAACAAAACTTATCATAGCTCAGAGCCTGTCCTTAAGGTGAAAATGTCTTATGTAAATGCCTAAAATCCATGTATGAGGTAGGGATTTTTTATCGATTGAATGATTGATTGACTGACTGATTGATCAGTCTATCTACTTATTACTTTAATCATTTTTTTTAAAACTTTTTTCATTACATCCACAGTACACAGTTGTTACAGAGCTCATGAAGCAGGGAGATGAAAACGTCAAAGCGAAGCTACATGAAGATGCATTGATGTGTTACACCTTAGCGTTAAACCAGCAAGCTCCTCCCTTCATGGATATAGCCATCATTTCCGAAAAGCTATATCGCAAAAGAGCCGTGTGTTACTTTAAGATGGTGAGTTTAATTCCGTAGGTCCTATAAAGATGCAGCGGAACTTTTTTTGCATTTGTGCTTTACACTTATCCTGTATGAAGTCATATACAACTATTCCTGTTGTTCTTACTTGATCAGGGCAAGTATCTTGAGGCTGTCCACGACAGTGAAAGAGGTAAATGTTGCCCTTTATTCTCTATAAAATGTTTTAACTTAGATATACAAAGCTTTTCTTTAATTTTTCTTGTCTTTTTCTCTTTTTTGAAGGCATGATGACATTACTAAATTTCATCGAAGACGATTTATCATCTAGCTTTGATTTAAGTAGTTGCTAAAGATTTTATGATTATTTGACTCTCAACATTTGTGACGCTGTGATAGCTTGAAACCTATTAGACGCTTAAAAAGCTGCTTAGCTGCGAAAGAATGACCTTTTTCAAATGCATCTTGTTAGTTAATCATCGACCTTATGCTATTGCCCACCAAGCCTAAATGGCCAATAAAAAATATCATGAACTCCAAGAATCACTTATCCACGCCCCGAAGAATTGTGATAATTTTTCGAAACTATACTATCTCATGATCCTTTTGCCTTGCTAGCTATCGAAATAGCTGATGGAACTAACAATAAAAACTTGGCAAAGTCTCTTTTCATCAAGACGAAAGCAATCATGAGTCTTGAAGATTACGTTGCGGCTTTTCCAATAGCAGTCTGGTGCAAGCATTTACGACCAAACGTGAGTGAAAATGAAAAACTTGCTCAGATAACAGCTAATATCAAAATCAGCTCACATGATGTGTCCTAGTTTTGATATGCCTTTTGAAAAACAAGTGGTGACTAAAGTACATTTACTGCTATTTTTTTCATAAAAGCAAGAATTAAAACTAAAAATTCTTTAACAATTAATGAGTATTCTTTGTACTTCATTTGCAGTGTTCGACAACTAGAACAGTTGTAAATGATCTGAAGGAGAAACTAAAGGAGGAGTTTAGAAAGGTTGGTGTCAGTATATGATTTTCATATATTCACAGTCATTTATTAATCACTTCACAGATTTATAACGAACCAAAATAATTAGCTTCGTTGGTAGAGCACTGCACCGGTATCCCAGAAATCATGGGTTCAAATCCTGTAGAAGCCTGATTTTTTTTCAGGCCTTGTTTCCACTACTGCTCAATTAGTGTTTATCACAGCGAAAATCGATTTCGTATTCATCTCAGATACAAAAAGTGAATTAAAAACGTAGATGATACAAACAAAAAACTTAGGGACCATAAAGGGGCCAAAGCATGAGCGACTTCGAAAATTAGACCTAAAATAAAACATAAACTTGGATAAACAAACTCGTTGAATTGCGCTGTGCTACGGATCGAGAGGAGTATGTGTGAGCTTTGGCCTGGTAAATTTGTGGAGTTCTAAGGCAACAACCCAATGGAGCTGCCTCATGTTACTAAGACCTGGCTAATCTGCTTAAGGATGGGCCATAAAGGCTTTTAATCCGACGCTAAAAAGTGCGTTTATAAATATTTTAAGTGTTTCTTTCTCCTTTTCATATAGGATGATTTCATGATCAAGGTAGTACTCTTGAAGACGCTTGAGCTTGCCGACGAAGTGTCTATTGACCCAAAGACCCGTGGACTAGCTCTGGATTGTTATAATGAACTTCTGCATTTATTAGACTTCCAGATTTTACCCGGAGTCCAAATTAGAAAGGCTGAGTGTCTATTACAAATGGTGAGACGTTATACCACATAAACAGGTTTAAAAAGATGGGATAGTTTAAGAAAACTCCCTTAAGCTGACTGTAAATTTAACTAAAACATGCTGACTTTGAGCTTGAAAGTATAATGACAGCGCATTGACTGATTCATTGCATTTGTTATGCCTCTTACAGGGAAGATGCAAAGAAGCAAAAGATGTCTGTGCAGAGGGTATTGTTACCTAAGAATTCCTATCGTGCTTCTTAAGCTTTAAAGGCTATTATTTTGAAATAACAGTTATTAAGATTAAGTTTCAACAATTCTCAAGATACTTCTTCCACTAAAGACGAAGTTGATTAAGCCACTTGTCTCAAGAACCAAGCTCTTGCAACAGTCATGAAGAAATATGCCGTTTGTTTTAGTCACAGTGAAATGGTTAATTACCGTGGCCATACTTAATTGGGTTATGTTACGAAACGGAGGGTTACTAACCTGCAATTGATAACGACTTAATCCCGGATTTGGGGTGGGGACTTAACAGAACTCCTGGGAACTTGATGTCGCTAGGCCCGGGATAACCTCTGACAACGTGGGCCATGACGTCTGTCCATAAGCTGTCACCTCCTACTGAGGCGTATGCATGTAATAGGTCTGAGTCGATCGATGACTAAGGCCAAAAATTTTAGTTTAATTGAACATACATCGACTACGAAGAGAACGTAAAGGTTGGAGGAGGCCTTGAGCATTTGCGTAGCTTAAGAAACGAGAGTTCAAAAGTGTACTTGACCGTTTTATTGCGTGGAGAATCCCAGTACATTGCTTGTTACATATATATTGTAAACCGACTGGTTCTCTTACTTTGGCAATTTTGGTTTTTTTAGTACTTTGGCTACGATGCAATGATGTGGAAGCTTTAAACCTAATGAGCGAAATAACGAGGCAAATAAGACAAAAAAAAATGAAAGAAGCAAGAGAAAAGGTATATATCATTGTCATACAGCAAGAAAAAGATATATGTTTCCATCCTGCCCCTCCTTAACTAAACTAAAAATTTCTCACTCAGTTGTGCCAAACGCGAAACATTCCATATCAATCCAAGGAGAAAATGTTTCCGAGAAATATTGCTTACGCTCAATTAGAGATTATATTAAGGTATTGTATTCTGTTAAAAAGAGTGTATTTCATGTCTATTTTACAAGTTCCGAGCCTAACTCTAAGCTCCAAGAACCAACGAGATCTTTACGACTTGGGAAAAACAATTTGGAAATTAAAATTTTCCTTTTTATCTTGCCCAGAAGAAGCCAAATATTGACGAGTCAGAGTCTCTGGGAGAAAACAGAAAGAATCCTTCAACCGCAAGTCCGCTTCTGAGCGAGGTCACTGTGAGTTACCCATGTTGTACCTAACTTTTACCGCTGAAAGCCAAATTAGCCACTGAATGCGATAAATGACTTAAAAATTAAAAAAAAGTAATGTAAAAAAAATTATTCAATTTGAGGGGTTTTTAACGAGGCGGTACAATTCAAGGAAACTGAATGCATGAACCGTTAGGAAAATACAGGTTTCAATCTAATTTAAGTCTCTACTAAAGTGTTTGTTTTATAAGGAACTAATCATGTGGGTTACAATTACTGTTGAGATCTCATATTCAATTTGTCTGCAACATACTTTTATTGCAGTTTTTATTGCATGTTTTCCTTCGTGTTAACTAACATTATGCACCGTATCTGTTTTACAGCAACAGAGTATGCAAGAGATAAAAGAGCCTTCTTTGCCTGTTATGAATAATGGTGAGACCTTTCGAGATGGTTTTCGCCTTAATCATTGGATTTTCATAAAGTTAGCCATTTTTCTTTATCCACGAGGTTATTCTTCTCTTTCTACAGAAGCGAAAGAACAATCTATAGATCTGCATCCCACACAAGTTGGAGGCTTGCAGACCAAAGAACAAGGTGCGTGATTATGGGTCTGTCCACGAGAGCACCAGGCAGTTGCGCCACATGCCATTTCACCGATTTCAATGAAACTTTTCCAGTATAAAGGGTCTACCCAAAAACCCAGAAGGACAAACTTGTCTCTGTTTTTTCGGGGGGGAGACAGACCACCACCCCGCTTTTTCTTGGTTTTCACAAGGGAAATCGCTTCAAAATCAGAAAAATGTATGAAGCTCTCATTGCGATGGTATTTAACCGATTACACTGACGGTTTGCATACATATTATTACATCCTTAGTAACAGTAACAACACAGAGGCAAATAAATGACTGTGTTTTAAGACTTTTCGATGCATCCAAATATTTGACGATTTTTGAGGTCAAATATCTCCCCTTGTCAGAAAGCTACAACACATTTTAATTCCCCCTTTATAATCCATCATTTACTCTCTGAAAACCATATTTGGGTACTACCGTATTTTTGTCTTGGATGCCTTTTAAACTCTGCGATTGTGACAAGCTTCTCTCAACTACACCTGTCACGCAATTCTGGCTCATGGCGGTCACTTAACCAAATAAACCTACATTTTGTAGCTCTTTATACATGATGATTGATCAAAATAGCTAAGAAGTGTGGAAACTTTCGAGATTGTTTGTAGGATTGGAAAATTTCACGTTTAGAGAGCATGTAGGCGTTTATCACTTTGGAGATTTGCTAAAATCGGCAATTATGCCTTTTGTACGGCACAAAACATTCATTAGTCTATAATTTGACTGTTTATCACAACTATTGCTCATTTTAGGAGATTTCAAAGTCACACTGCGTGTTGGTTCACACTATAACAAGCTCCAGTGTACGACAACTTCGGCTTTTACAGACGAGAAATTATGCGCTCTCGCTTGGAGGAAATATCAGCAGTTCTATCACACTAAAAACTGTACTGCTATTCCGAAAATAATATTAAAATTCGTTGTCACGTACCGCCATTGAACATTTCTATGCAGAACTCCGCCAAACTAACATCTGTCGCGTGACCCGAAGACTTTTTGTAGGAATTATTCAAGTGCGTTGTTCATGCTGTCTGCTAGATAAAAAATTCAGAATATTCTGGTGATCTCTATGTCTATTTGCTAGCTTCCAACGTAACGTATCTTTTTCAAGGATTCCATTACTATATGTAACTTTACATCCCTCTCGATTGAGTGTTACCTAATTGCGTGACATGTGAATGAGCCAGCAACATTTTGTCCAAGAGGATTCCTGCAATAGGTACGTCATGCATTAGGAATTATGAGAAAACACTCAGTTTTGGACAACGTTTCTAGCCGTTCTCGTCTCCTAAACTCGATATTTGGGAAGCCACATTAGAGGCGTTTGCCATACTAGTCTCTTCCGCAATCCAGCACGTGTCTAGGAGACAATTCTTTGCTTTCTGATAAAAGGCAGCTGCTTTTGTGCTTTCCAAAGAGCCCATCCAAAGCCCACCTGGCTAATTAGAAATTATTCATCAGAATTTTTCCTGAGGTCTGACCTTGAACGTAGCCACCCCCTACAGAATGACAAGTTTCCGTCCATTTCCTCTTATCTCATCACAGGCGGGTCTTTTTGTCACCTTCACTTTGTGTTTGCCTATGTTAAGGTGCTTTTGGATGGCAGTGAATGACTGAGACGTCCTAATACATCTTTCCTCTTAACAAGAATATTTCGCCCCCTTGTTCTGTCTGAAGGATTGGGTATGGTTCTCGCAATGACCCGGGTTCAGAGATCTGTGCACGTTGCTGATAGCCACCCGCTTCTACGATTAGTTTGCGGAAGGTTTCTAATGTGATGAGCCTAGAGAAGCCCTGAGGTGCTCCATTCTGTGCCAGTCGGTCTGCGTTATAAACTTGTCACAGTTCCAAAGTCAAAGGGAGGATCGCCCGCCTCTATTGATGTAAGCGCCTTTACAGTGTCCGCGTATCCCTAGCAATCATATGAGATAAAGTTCATCTTAGTCACAAATCACCTGTCAAAGAAACTGATGTTCAGATAAGTGCTCTTCTTGCCCTTCCTCCTTATTCATTGACTCTAAGATGACAGTTTCAATACGCGTTCTCTTAGGTTCCTTTATAACAGTTACAGTACGCGTTCTCTTCTTTGCCACCAAGAAGACTCGCCACTAGCTTTGATTTCTTCTGCCATCTTCAGATTTACCTCTCTCTCCGATTACGTCTCCTTTTTTATGAGGAGGATACTGGCATTTGCGAACCCGAAGATCTGAAGGTCTCACACCAAGATATGCACGATATCTGAGGCATATCGTGAAATCACGGCCTTCGTTATCTCTAAATAAGCCAGTACGAGCCAGAATAACCTTGGTCGACTTGACTTCTCAGTGGCATTAAAAGTGTTTTTGACGGAACAGGCTAATGAGCATCACTGCACGAACTGAGAAAGTAAAAAGTTGTATTTAATTCCCACGCGTTTCGTCTGACAATAGCAGACTCCATCAAGGAGTTTTACAAGTAGTGAAAAAAAGGTAAACAATTTTTATTTCTCGAGAAAGGTCACGCCGTCACGCTACAAATACTACTCCTGCGTGGAATTTCTTGATGGTGGAAAGTGGAAACAACTTTTTCCAGGCTTATTTTCTGGAAACATGGCGCAGTTATGAATTTCATGGGGCTATGGATATTTCCTTTTAAATGAGGGGGGCAGAGTTTCCCGTCGACTACGGTCTGGAATACACGAAGCTGTTACCTCCGGGAACTTGTACGTCAACAAGCACGCGACATGTGACTTAAATTAAAATCTCCTCTCCTGATACAGTTTCCTTATTGTAAACTGTGTGATAATGATAATAAACATTCAAATCATAGACTAATGAATGTCATGTGCCGTAGAAAAGCATATTATACGAAAGAAGTAATAAACGACGATTTTCCAATCCACATTTCGCCTTCATCCATCTCTTTAAATGTGAAAATTTCCATTCCCACGAAAAAAATGAAATTTTTCACTCTTCTTAGCTTTTTTGATCAGTCATCTTGTATAAAGAGCCATATAATGTAGGTTTATTTGGTCAAGTGACCGTCTAGAGCCAGAATTGCGTGACAGGTGTAATTAAGAGAAGCTTGTCACAGTCGCAGATTTTGAAAGGCATCCAAGATAAAAATACGGTGGTGCCCAAATATTTTTTTTGATGGTTTTCAGAGATAAAATTATGGATTATAAAGGGGAATTAAATAAAATTCTTGTAGCTTCCTGGCAAGGGGAGAGATTTGACCTTAAAGTTGTAAAACATTTGGATGAATTAAAAAGTCTAAAAACACAGTCATTTATTTGCCTCTGTTGATTGACAAGCTGTTAATCAAATTGACAGATACTTGCGTCGCACATTGACTATGGATGTAATAATATGCGTGCAAACCTGCAGAGTAATCAGTTAAATACCATCGCAGTGAAAGATTCATAAATTTTACCTATTTTGAAGTGATTTCCGTGGTGAAAAAAACTCCCCCCTCAAAACACCAAAACAGAAACCAGCTTGTCCTTTTGAGTTTTAGGGTACAGCCTTTAAACTGGCAAAGTTTCACTGACATCGGTGAGATGACATGTAGCACGACTGCCTGGTGCCGTCCCGTGGACACACTCTGAAAACGTTATCTTTCGGTTTTCTCTTTTTCTTTCGTATATTTTTTAATTTATTCCCTTTCTAATTCATTCCTAATTTTTTTTTTTACCATTTTATTTTGCTCATTCTATGTTTTTTTTCTACGGATGATATAAACCATTCTAAAGGAAGTAAACAGAAGAAAAAGAAGCGAAATAAGGAGAAGAAAAAGAAAAGGAGAGCGAAGAAAAAGGCTCAGAAGAAAAGCGAGACCTCAAAAGGTAAATCACAGCGGTTCTTAACCTTAGAAAAAATTATCGTAATGAACGAATAATTATTTCAAGTGAGGTTAATGTTAGAAAATCAAGGCAAGTGAAGAGAAACATGCAGTACATGTTTCGATGAGTGATAGTTGCTGTATTTATTCGATTATGATAGGTTATCGAGTAAATGCATTTGAAAAAAAAAATTCTAAGCGGGCTTATGGTCCAAAGTATTTCAATGATGGATGGGCATCGCAAAGGTTACAGTTTTCCATTATTGTTAAGACTTCATATCGAATTCTACTATGGTAAAGTTCGGCTATAACGAGCGCTGTCATTGGTTGAAATAGCGTGCTCTATCAGAGTACAAAACACTCAGCTGAGCTTAAGCTGTCACGCCATCTGCCAGTTTGTACTTTCGTGCTTCAGCCACTTCCTGCGTGCTTTATAGCAAAATAGCGCCCATTCAAGACTTTTCAGACTTATTTGGTAACTATAAGATCTACTCGTAGATAGTACCCACAACAAAACCTGTAAATCTTTAATTCTCAATCGGCTTATTCTGACAACGTACCTTCCTTAGAAATTTCGTGGCCTTATTTCCTTTCCTACTTTCCTTCATTTGTTGAATTAGGGATTGCATTATGTTCTCGTTTCGTCCAACCTAACCTGACCTCGGTTAAGTATGTTATCTATTCTGTGTAACAAAATTGACCCTCTCTCTATGTATATGATTAGGTCTACCACCGGTGAGTAACGACACGAATTCATCACTTGATGATAGCCCGGACGAAGACGACTCGCAAGCAACAGATTCCGTCATTGAAGATCCAGATGATAGCTTAAGCTATCTCCACATGAACAACACAACTACTTTAACATATAGGCATAATGTTTCGGAAGTTGATGGACGCGAGGAGTCTGACGGGGAAGAGTTTACGCTTGTACAGTATACTCGCCGCCAACCGCAAATGAGAGGAAATGAAATTTTATTAGACAGCCCAAGGCAGTTTGAAGAGAAGGTATCCAGTCTTGACTACATCGTTTCAACAGGCGAAAAATGTCAATCATCCAAGAACGTTAGTATTCAGCCAATCGCTGAGAAGCAAAGCTTGCCACGAGGCGGTACAGCGGAAACTGTAAAAACTCCGATCACAGCAACAAAAGTTAAATCGACCGAGCTATTATCTGAAACAGTTATGGGATCACAGGATCACAAGACATCCGTTATTACCTCTACAGACAAAGTCAGCGACTTGAGCAAGAAAAAGACTGAAATCCCAAACCTTCGGAATGCCGAAGACTTTCCAAGTTTGGAAAGAGAGCCTGTCAAGGTATCAGTGAGTTCTTCTGGTGCTGCCTGGAGCAATTCGATAGCACCTCGCGTGCCAGTTAGAGTAACAACTTCTTTGAACAAAAGGCCTGATCAATCATCAAACATGATTCCTATCCAGCAAGGTCGTTCCTTTGATTTTCTTGGCTCTCCTATAGCTGAACAGGGGCAACGTTCTCCAACACCAGCGTCAATCATCCAGACCTTTCAAAACGGTAGACCTACAATAACAACCAATACGCACGCGGATCAGCTGACTGGTTTGAACAATCTTGCACTAATCCCAGAAAAGGTATTTGTCGTTTGTGGTCACTTTTTGGGTAGCTGGCCTCCTTGCGACAGTGCACAGGCCAAGACCTGTCAAAGCTGCGAGGATCTTAGTATGCTAAAGTACGCTACCTGGAATGACATCCACCGCCAATGGCAAGTAATACGGCAATTCCCTGCCGGTATGATTCCACCCACAGCTGTACTTGATATATGCAAGCATTTTGCAACGAGAATGTCTTGTCGAAGAGAGCCATGCACTTTTGCCCACGGAGAGTTAGAAAGGCATATCTGGGAATTGCAGCGAGGAGGCAGTAAGTGTAAATTTTTCTTTTTTCTCTCTTTGCCTCGTTAAAAGCTTAGGGGTTCAATTTTCTATATTTTTTAGGACTTCCCACCCCTGAAGAGAGTCTACGTATGTTACGATCCACAAACGCAGCAACACCCGCACAGCTCATAACACAGGCAAAAGATGGTAATTCCACAGCAGCTCAGGCGATTAGCAATAGATCAGAATATCTTGTGACAGCTTCTTACAGAGATTCTATTGCAAATCCCTCATCTGGCTTTGGTACTGTCACGAATCCAAGTCTTCCATCGAACACTTTTCCCGGGGCTCAGTTTGGAATACCTTTTAAAAGCAGCCCTATTTCAGCCACACCTGCCATTTTTGCATCCCAGGCGGCTCTTACACGAATTCGAACCGATGCCTATGTTAGCCCTACTGAAGACAGTTTTAACACTAAATCTCCTCTCGTTGCATGCCCAATTCCCTCGGCACCTGGACAACCTCTTTTACCCGTTCAGCCCTTACCAACGTCTACTATTAGGATTGCGGAGGTGGTCTCAACAGGAGCAGAAGCGATGGAAAACCCTATAACACATATTGCACCTCCCACTGACATGTCACCACTGGTTAAACCTGTGGAAGCGGTCTCACCTCACAACGGTTGGTCTTCATCTTCAGAGAAATCCGAAAGAAGTTCAACTCCAATCCACTCCTCGGCACAAAAATCCATTTCTATTTCCCAGGAGGTTGAGCAGAATGCTATATCCACTCAAAGTTTCTGTGAAAGAGGCCGAGAAAATTCTCAACCTTCCACTTGGTCTAGCGCCCTTAAGTCTCCTGGAAGACCGTCTACTCCGATTCAAAAGACGACTACCATCCTTCCAATTAACTCTCCTAATGATTATAGAAGGGTCCCTAACGGGGTATACGTCGTGTGCGACGACTTCCTTCAGAAAAATGGTAAGCGGGCAGCAAGTATTTTCGACAAAAGCAAAGCTTGTAAAGGTTGTGAGAACCGGTCGAAGCTCAAGTATGCTTTCTGGAGTGACATTTGGAAACAGTGGGAATTAATAAGGCCGTTTCCCAAAGAGGTGAAAATTACTGTTGCCTTCAAGGAATGTCGTCAGTATTCCAAACACGAACGTTGTCTTAGGATACCATGCTTATTTGCGCACGGTGAGCAGGAGGTAACCATGTGGACTATGGAAAGAGAAGGGGGTAAGTACCAGAGAAACGCTCTTCATTGAATATTCAATAGGGATATATCTTGTTGATTTTCATCACCATAATTCATTCACGATCATAAATGATTATGTTGGTTGGCCGTTGTAGAATTTCTGATTAGAAGCTTTAGAAACTCTGTACAGTGGCCGACCTTCTTTATCATCTCAGTCCATAAAACCCCTCCCCCCCCCACCGACACAGCAACACAGTTTCTTCAGAACCGAAATTTCTCTTTCCATTTCTCAACTAGTTCTTCCAACCCCACGGGAAACTCTTACTGGATCATCTAGTGGCATGCCATCTGCCTCTGCCGAAAATTCCGCAGCCAAGCAGCCTCCAGTCCGGCTACTGCATAGACCACCCCCGCCAGGAGTGACAAATGGCTCTTATAAACTGTGCAAGAGGTATGATAATTGGCAGATTTGATGAAATATCACCACTGCAGTAATACCATCTCAGCCAGAGGTATCGAAATTGATGACACTGATGTATCGTAAAATATCGAGGCTCAGTTACTGCCCCAAAATAGCGCTCTCAGTTGTAAGAAAAATGAATGAAATAACTGAACTTGAGGGTAAATTCTTGTTTATTTAGTAGAGTTATCCTCTTGTCATCAGTTTATATTAACATATTCATAGGAGGTTTCTCACAAATAATAGTGTTTCTCATGAAGATTATTCTATGATACAATTTTGTCTTATCTCAAAAACAGCTACTATACAAGTGAACGATGCAGATTTGGTAGAGGGTGTATCTATGCTCATAGCCAGGAAGAACTGAACGAATGGAAACAGGAGTACGATAGAAAAGTAATGGAGAACCGTGCGATGGAAATCAAAGAGAAGGACGAAGAGTTTTGTTCAGAAATGACATCGAAAATTTTAGAGGCACCACCAGAAGATGTAAGTTACTTACCTCATGATGGTGTCGTAGATGAGATTAGATAGTTCTTAAAATTTCCCTTATCAGCTATCATATTTGCGACTCGGATGTTACAAAGTTTCCTAACTCAGTGGATACATTTATCAGAAACAAACAAAAAACAAGTAAACACACAAACAAACGAAATCTGACCCCAATTATGTTCTCATTTCAATGTCAATTTTAGAAAAGATGTTACATAAATGGATAGACTCTAATTTAAGAAGAGGTAAACAATTGGGAACCTTTTTTCCATCGATTTCAATATGTTTTGTTTTTGAAAACTTACCTAATCATCGAAAAAAGATGGATCAGAAAATCTCGCAAACATATATTGACATGATCTTAGAATCGCGTTTGGAGTCAATGCAATGTAACGTTGAAAAAGGAATATTTTCTAGACTCATGACCAAAAGAACTGTAAGTCTAGACTTATTTAGAAAATACAGGGTGTTGACACAAAATTGATTACACTAAACGAGTAAAAATCTGTGCGTTTATCAATATTGTCCTTGGCTTTCAGAATAGCAAAGATTCTTTTACGATTTTGCACGGAAATATATCTCTTATCAAATTTTTCTCTTCGACGTCAACAGCGAGTGGAATGTCTGGCCGGAGTTGAGGTTACTTGCACTCCTTCCGAGCTTAGTGTAAAACTTCGTGACAAAGAGCAGCATGAGTGGACATTTACTCTTAGCTTCAAGGTAAGTTTATAATAATGAAGTTACGAATGCTTCAACGAAAAACTCGAGTCCAAGCTCAAGGCGCATTTATATAGCGTATCACACAAGATTAAGTTCACATAAAGTACATTTATGAGATTAAAGTTTTCTTATGTAAACTCGACTTAGCATGCAGCCTTTTATTTATGAAAATTACAATTTTTGAAATGGTAATTGATCATGATCGAAACAATTATTATAATAATGATGATTACAATAATAAATGATACCTTAAGTATATTTTTAAAACAACGATCTTATTATAATATCGACTCAACAGCAGTTAATGTATGGCATACAATGTATTTGAAAACTGGGAAGTAGAAAATAAGTGACTGGTCATTTTTGGTTGCCGTGGTGTCCGAAACATTTAGACTTGTGGCAGATAGATGCGGGTGGTGCAATTTTAAGTTTAAATGGTGAACCTTGGAATCATTTTAACAGAATGCATTGTATGTTATCACCATTTCAGCCAGATGAGGTAGGATCCTTACCGAATATTTTTCTCCTTCACCGATACCACAGCTGTTATCGCTTATCAGAAATTCGTGTTGGTTGCATTGAAGAAAAGCAAGGCTGTGAGACGTACAAGCTTTTATACACAGCCAAGCTGGAAGACTCTTGGTACAAGTCTCCGAGCCCAAAGAGGCAGGTTGGGCGTGTAAAGGTGGCTCTCACAGTCTCCTTCGAATCTCCTCTGTATGGAAGCTTTGAACAGTTAGTTTTATTCGACTTTGGGAGGAAGCCATACCTCATGAAAAAACTTAATGCTGATGTTACAAGTGAGTCAACAACCCTTCCCATCGCACCAGAACATCTCGCTACGCATACGCCTGCAATATGGGACGAAAGGTCTGTGGAAGTAGTCAGATTTGTCCACGAGACAAGAGAGGCTCTTCAGGCAGAACACTTGTCAAGGAAGTACAGTCTTCCCAGACAAGCAGAAATCGCCGAAGAGCTCCTGAGCCCTAAGATCTACAAACACGTCATGCATCAATTGCTATTTGTGGAGGAGAGGTTCATGAAAGAAGAAATATCACGGTACGCTCTAAGAATATTGTAGATATACTTCAAACTCAATAATCAATGACCAGGTAGGCTTTTCTAGCACATGTTCTGCTTCAGTGGGGCCCGAAGTTGGTGCATGTTTGAAATATGCTGCTCCATAAAGAGTGAAATTTCCAAAAAAAGCGTAGGCTCTTATCTATTCCATTACGAAGGAAGAACAGTGCATGAAGAGTTGGTTATCATTAAAAACCCTTGAAGAATTACAATTAGGATAAACGCCTGTTTGGTAAATCAAAGATGAAATGAAACGGCATAAAAACGATTTATATTTAAACACAACTTTTTCCGGTGGATGGTGAGGTTGCCTAATAACTAGTTAATTGATGATAAGATTTTGTTTAGTTTTTGTTTAGTTTTTCTCCTGGTTGTTTTATTTTATTTAGTTACACCTTAAATAATGCCCAGCTACATGCTCAGTGGAATATTTTCGACGACATGACTGGAATGAAGTGTGCCGTGGATGGCGAATTGTTTGGTGTCCTCCATCTGCAAGAAGAAGACGCTCTAAGACCAGACGATGCAGCTGGCCGTCTCCTTTACCGCAACGTCAATTCTGTCTGGCTCCAACTGGCCAATAGTGGATCTAAAACGGTTTACGAGGCTCCAGTAGAGAAAGTTGAGAGTGAGTGCGTTGTTCTAAGACTCCCGTCCAAACTGTGTTCAGACCTAAAGCTGCATGACACCTGTGATGTTGCCGTTCATGCTCAGTTCCAGCTGAATCGGTGGCCACTTTGTCAGTTGCACGAAGCTGTTGAAAGACTTACATCAGGACAGTTACGTCTCATATTCCCGGATCCAAGTGTTGGAACTGTCATAAGTGAAGTAAGCATTCATATTCTATAGGTGTGCATTGAAACCTTAGGTCGTTTTCTAAATATATGTTGCTTAAACAGACGGGAATGTTGAAATTGCAGGTAAAAATTCGTTGGCAATGGCTTCTCGACAAGCGTTTGAATTCAAATCAAAGGAGAGTCATCGAAAGGATTGCTTCCCTTGAGGATAATGCCCTCCCTCTGGTCGTATTTGGTCCGTTTGGAACAGGAAAAACATTTACTCTTAGCCAATGTGTTCGTCTTTTGGTACAACTGGACAAATCTCACAGAATTCTGTTATGTACTCATTCTAATCGGGCAGCAGACATCCACGTGGAATGGTTGCATAACTGTGGAATACCTGCAGCTAGGCCTCTAAGGGTTTATCAGCCAATGAGAAGGTAAAGAGATAAAATTAAAAGAGTCAAATCAGTTTTATACATATACTTAACTTCTCATTGGCGACTAAATCACAAAGGACTCATAACGGCTGTCTGACGGCCCTATCAGATAAAAAGCTGAAGTATGTGCTTCTGATTTCACAGAAATGACCATAAAAACTGCATAGGTGCTTTCTTTACATGGATAGGTATCGGTGAGTAACTGATTTCCATATCTCTAATTTCAGACTCGAAACTACATCTGAGATAGCCAGAAAATATTCTTTGATCAAGGACCGTATGTTTGTTTTGCCTTGTCGGGATGACGTCGTTGAGCATCGCGTAGTGATTACAACGCTGAGCACATCGCAAGTGCTTCTTGATCTGGAAGTTTTGCACGGATTCTTCACTCATATCCTCATCGATGAGGCCGCTCAGGCGCTAGAACCCGAGGCGTTAAACCCATTGAAGTTTGCGGGAACAAACACGAAAATAGTCTTTACGGGAGATCACATGCAGGTACAGATCCGGATTTAGGGGACTGAGTTCTGCAGTTTTCTTTCGACGACCACTGTTGTTGTTTTCTATCCATTTACTAGCATTGATTTTTTGTCCAATATCATTTTCATTATTATAATCATTATTATTATTATTATTATTAATATCGCTAATATAAACTGCACGTGGAAAAAAAACTAGTGAACTCAAAGAAAACTTCAAAGAAAGAACAACAGTTTGTGTTTTATGTTGTTACTTAAAGAGGTAACCAAGATTTAGGGGACTGAGTTCAAAAGTTTTATTTCGACGGCTACTATCGTAATTTTCTACCTATTTATTAGCGTTCATTATCAGTATTGTAACTATTATTTCTGTTTTTATCATCGATAACGTAAACTATACGTGGCAAAAAAAACAATGCACCCAGAGAAAACTTCACAGAAAGAATAACAGTTTATGTTTTAAGTCGTTACTTTAAGGGAAACTTTATACATTTATATTACGATAGATGAGCCCAGAAGTCTATTCGCCTCAAGCGCGAAGTTTGGGACTGGAAAAGTCACTGGCTGAAAGGCTGTTCGACCTCTATGAAAAGTATGAGGCTGAAGCACCCAAGAGGAATCCCAACCTAGACGAGGAATCCAATGTTATGTGGCTGACGGAAAACTACCGATGCAATGAGTGTATTCTCAAGTTTCCCTCTGAAAATTTCTATGGTAAAAAGCTGATTGCTCGTGGCCATGAATCCCAACCGGAGCACCCGAAATATGGCCCCCTTTTATTCTTCTCCGCACGCGGTAAAGAAACAAAAGAGCAAGACAATTCTTATCTAAACTTGTCTGAGGTTTATGAAGTAGAGAAGAGGGTGAAAGAGATTGCCGACAGTTGGCCAACTGTTTGGGGCCCCAAAATTCTGTCTGATATTGCAGTATTGTCCTCTTACCGTTACCAGGTTAGTGATTTTATTCTTCAGGAAAAGATGTTAAGATCAAGTATCTGTAAGAATCAAACATCTTGGGAAATGAAAATTTTCAACGCCCCTTAAAAATTTGCATGCAGCTAGGCACTCAGGGGGGATGCACAAAAATGCCCTTTTAAAAGGTTGCAGCACTCTTGTTGCCATGGTAACAACGGGTGCTTGTTCGAGGCCTGGGGCCTCATTTTCATAAAGAAAAACGTCGCAAAAAAGAGTGAAATGTTTATTTCTCTATCTCAAGCTAAATACAACATTACAAATTGGCACTTCTACCATACATAGTAACATCATATTTCTTCACTTTGATACAATCAATTTTTCCTGGGAGCGAATGTGAACACACCAATAGATTATTTATCTCGCTACATTTTCGGTCGTTTTTGTTGTCGGGTAAAACAAGGAAAACGTTTAGCTGAATTTCTCCAAAAGTACTCCGATTCTGGAACTGAAACTACCCACCTGGCTGGTTATAATATTCTAGTTTTTTAAATATGTAAAAAGCTCTGCGGACCTGCCTCTACTTTCCATAAGGAAATTCGTGAACGAAGCTCAAAAATCAGATATTGTATAATTTGGCGATGTTTACATCTCATGTTCTAAACAACAAATGTTTCAGAAAATTGAAACATGGATAGTTTCGTGTAGATCAGCCGACTTCAACATGTTTCAAATGACATACAAATATAAAAGCGTCTCTTCAGAGGATTTTGGATTGCTCAAATTCCCATGAAAGAAGGTGCAGCACTCGGAATCTGGATGATATGCACACGATTTGAGGTATATGTTTGTAGTTGCGTCGAGTACTCCTCCATGAAGGTTGAACAATTTTTTTTAAAGATGACAACCAGAGGCGAGATTTCTCTTCGGGATATTGCTCATAAGATAACATTCTTCCAAAGCCTCGCACGTTTCATTTGTCTGAAACGTTTGTTGTTTAGAACATTAGATGTAAACATCGCCAAATTATGCAATATCTGATTTTGAGCTTCGTTCCCGAATTGCCCCTATGGAAAGTAGAGACAGGCCCGCAGAGGTTTTTACATATTTAAAAAACTAGAATATTATAATCAGCTAGGTGGGTAGTTTCAGTTCCAGAATCGGTATACTTTTGGGGAAATTCAGATAAACGTTTTCCCTGTTTTACCCGACAACAAAAATGACCGAAACTGTACCGAGATAAATAATCTCATGGCTGTTTCAAAACGCCCGCCAGTGGAAATTTAGTTCGCGCATGTCAGATTGACATTTTCAGTTTGAAACCACTGAAAATGTACGCTTAACGACTCGACAAGAAAGAGCCCACTGATAACTAGGTGGCAAAAAGTATATGCGCAAAGCCCGAGGAAATAGCTAACTTATGCGCAGACATTGTGTTTTGCTTCCCTGGTTAATGTTCTCCTAGATGAGATTGCATTTGCGGGATAGTTAACTATACGACGGCTTGATGGCATCTTGTTTTGACGCGAAATGACTTATCGCCTTTTCGAGGTCTTCTCATTTTCAGGCAAGATTCTGATTGATTCAAATTTTTCTTTCAATAAAGGAACGACTCTGGCTTTACGTCTCTCCTTTGCCGTTAGTCTCTATAACTTGACGTTTTAATCGATCCGAATTGTTTTGAGCGGTGTAGTCTGCGATTACACTTCATCACCGAATAGTAAATATGGCGTCCATCTCCTCTTTGGCCTCGAACTAATGCCCCTGAACTACGCGAATTTATCCTCTTAATGCAATCATGCTTACCCATAGGCTAAACAAAGAATACACGATGTATGACAAAATGCTAAAATGTCCACGGCCTTCTGTTACGTGCAAGAAAGGTGCACTAAGTGCGCGTGACTTCCTTCCCGAAAAGAATACGTCATCGATCTGTCACGGGAAGCTACAGGAAATAGTGAAAGTAGGGACAAGACATTTCTATCGGTCAACATTTCAGTCACGACCAGGGATAATATAATTATCCTCCAATTACATTGTTACTATAGTGCTTTGATCTGGTAGTTAGATCGTTGTTCTTGGCCATGATCAACATGGTTTATTGCGAATATTCACTCCCCCTTCAAATGGAACGAACTACACGCAATAACACAAAAATTCAAATATTCCTGCATCCCTTCCTGAAAGAAGGTACAAACCCTAAGGGTATACCCTTCTGAAGAAATAGGTCGGTCGGAGAAAGGAACTTCCTGTAGACCGCATTCGCGAACTAAATTTCCATCGCGAAACAGCCGTGAATCTATTAGTGTGTTCATATTTACCCCCAGGGAAAATTAAATGTATCAAAGTGAAGACGAATGATGTCACTATGTATGGTAGAGGTGCCAATTTGTAATGTTGTATTTAGCTTGAGATAGAGAAATAAACATTTCACTCTTTTTTTGCGACGTTTTTTTATGAAAATGAGGCCTCAGGCCTCGAACAAGCACCCGTTGTTACCATGGCAACAAGAGTGCTGCAACCTTTTAAAAGGGCATTTTTGTGCATGCCCCCTGAGTGCCTGCCTGCATGCAAAATTTGAAGGGGGGTTGAAAATTTTCATTTCCCAAGTTGTTTGATTCTTACAGACTTCTTCTTAATAATGATATGGGGTTAAAATGGTATCAGTCTGTAAACGACTTCTCTTTTTCATCATTAATGCTGGAGCGATTGAATCAAGTGATATAGAATGAAAGATAGAGAAGCCTTGTCAAGTTCAGTCCCTGAAAAAAATTCTTCACACGTCAATCCATGCAAGAGATAAAGGGAGCGTTGCTATTTCTTTTGCTATTAAAACCTTTAATAGTAACATGCAAGCCTCTCGTTACTTCCATGCTTTTGCTTTTACTAAGAGGTCACAGAGATGCTAATTCACCTCTTTCTTGCCTACAAAATCAAAACAGCGTCCGTGTTACTCAAATAATATAAATGTTTTTCTCTATTCTTGCAAAGAAACCTCTTGATTTAGATTCTTCATCCTAATTGAACACGATGTATACCCAATACCTAGGTTAAAGCCATACGAAAAAGATTACGACAGGTAAAAGATCTGAGTGATGTAAAGGTGGATACAATCCATAACGTGCAAGGTAAAGTCTTCCCTATTTTTAAATCATCCAAGAACATGTGTAATAGATCGACTTACCTACTTTAATCTTTTTTTATCCTATTTATCTTTCATTTTGTTGTATTTTTTTTTTCAGGAGAAGAATTTCGGGTGCTTTTTATCAGTACCGTGCGTACATTTCATACCTGCAAGCCGCAGCAAGAAGAATTGCGTAACAGTGGATCAGGTGGACAACTTTATTGGGAATTTTTGTCAGATCCAAAATTACTTAACACAGCTGTGACGAGAGCGAGATGCATGGTGGCAGTAGTGGGCGATCCTGTCTCTCTTTGCACAGTGGGAGAATGTCGTGGAATCTGGAGAGACTACATTAAGAGATGTAATAAAGCGCGTGGCCTATTTGGGACAACAATGGAAGAGCTATCAAGAGAAATAAGCGCTTCTATTGCCAGTGTCCAGCTCAATCCTGAAGCTAAGACGTTCATTCCAAGTTTCGTTCCAAAGCTTGAGAAGAGCTTAGGCGCAAAAGCACCCGAGAAAACAATAGAAATTGCCCAAGAGGACGTTTATGTAAGGCAGGTGATAGAGGAGCAAAATTTTAGGAAAGTTGTGGAAACAGAGAGCGACACCCGAGAGGCAAGTGGCCAGCGAATCTCGAGTGAAGGATCGGCGGAAAATGATGCCTTGGACAGCAAAGGTATACCCATTCTCAGTCTTACGGAGCAGGATCAGGATCAGGGTGAAGAAGAGCCTGACGACGACAATGGAGATTCAAACGACTTTCAAGATAGCCTTCTTGAGGACGAGACAGTATTTCCGAGAGACATGGACGAAATAATTCAGGCATTTGTCCAAAAATGCGAAGAAACACTGAAAATGGACGAAGAACGCAAATCAATTTTTGACGACTGCGAATTCCCTTCTCTTCAAGCGGTGGAAGGCTTGAAAAAGCCACCAATCGAGCACGCACAACACCCTGCATTCAAGGGTGGTGCCGACATAAAGGATCTGTTTCCAGAGGTACGAGTCATAAACGGCCGTATTGAAGTGCGTCTTACTAACCTTGGCTTTTACAATTCTCCCTCTGAAAGAGCAAAACGAATCATGATTTCCTCAAAGCAACAGGATTTTCTTGATCCCTCTGTCTTGATGCAGCTCATTGCAGACGAACCTGAGAAATACATTGTATGTAACCTTCGTCTTAGTCCCGAAAAGTCGCAGGTGGGTTATGCAGAGGTAGAAGATACCAAGACGCCATCCATTCACATCAAGGGAAAGCTCCGTCAAGCATTCGATAGAGACAAAGTTGTTATAGAGCTAGTTGAGAGGAAAGCCCGTTCAAAGGCTGATGAAAATGAGCCAGGGGTCCAAGGAAGAGTTGTTGGTAAGATGATATACTTTTCTCCCTACATTGATTTACTTTAAGTGCAGTTACCTTCACAGTCCTAGTTAAGACTAATCCGATTGGTTAAGAAAACACGT